ATAAGGAGATAAAATAACGAGAGATGGTAACGAAAGAGCGCGTCGTACGGAGAGGTAGCAGCGGCGCGAGGGCACCCAGAGGTTGCTGCTGCCGGTGTCGGGCACGACTTTAAACGTCTGCGGCGGCGATCCAATCCCGATCTCCATATAGTACTGTGCGTCCATGAAATTGTTCAGCGGCACCACGTCCGGCCCGCGCTCGGCGCCGCTTGCGCCGACTTCTGCGCCGTCCGCGCGGAGACCGTTGGCGGAGAGAAGGCGCTGCTTGAACGCAGCGGACGATAGCCACTCGCGCTGCGCCGCGATGCGTTCGAGCGTGAGCTCCCCCGTCCGCCTCAGCCGCGCGCGCGCGAACCGCGGAGGCGCGGCCGTGGCGGAGTCATCGGAATCCGCCGCATGACCCGGCGCGAGGGACGCGGCGAGAAGAAATATCGCGAGGAATGAAACCACGCGACGCTGGATCAGCAGCCCCATGAGAACAAGCGAATCAAAAACTAAAAACCGTCCAGCAAAGGTAGCTGATACACCAGAGTTTCTAAATCCACAAAAGTGAGAACCTAGTGACGAAGGAGATGCTGGTGCACGAGGGAATAATGGTGGAATACAATTGACAGGCGCGGGAGGCGGTTTGGTTTGGAAAAATGGGGGGACTCAAGTATTGGGTTGGGTGGGTTGGCGCAGCTGGCGCTGTGGCAGGCGGATGAAGTGGCTGTTGGGCGCTAAGGACGTGTAACCATTTTGATTTTTTGTGATTTTCCGGACCGTCCGTATTTTTTCAAACGGACTGTCCTAATATCGAGAACCGGACTGTCCACGACACTTCTTGCTAGCACTCCGACTTCGCGACTACTGTAGTCTCGCGCAGTTCCTGCGACTCTCGTAACCAAATACACAAGAAGTCGCAAGTTGGCAGAGTGAAATTCGCACGCCATTCCCTGCGCAGAACTGGCGGACCGTCCGAAGGGGTTTCGGACCGTCTGAAATGCACGTTTCGGACCTTTGGAAACGTGAAAAAGTGTCATGACGGTTCGGAATGTTGGCGACGTCGCAAGGAGTTCCACGAACACACATGCGAAACAGTACGACGCTGGTAACGCTTCGCTAAACTGGACGGTCCACATTTCGGACCGTCCGGAACAAAAATAGGCAGAATGGTCACACGCCCTAATTCGCACCAGAGGCACGGAAACGGGGTGCGGGTGTGCGGCACTGGGGGAATTGGGGAATGTGGGGGAAGGCGGGTTGAATTTGGGATTAGGGGGGGTTTCCGAGGGATAGAATAGAACCGTTGCGCGGGGAAATGCAGGGCACCTTGTACGTCGTGGAGACGTCGTATGCTGCTGCTGACGCACCATTGTACCCATACACGTGTTTTTCTCGGATGCCACTGCTGATACACATTGATGACTCGATAAACGCATCGTATCGATACATAATTAATTATCATTTGCGAACTGCATGTGTTGGTCTAAGTGCTATTTGCTGCCAACCACCCGTTTGCTCCAGCAGCTAGAGACCGCAACACATGATCATACCTAAAATATAGATCCTTGTGAAAATAAGCTATGGAAACTGTCCGAACGGTCCCTGTATGCTGGAACAAGGAGGGCACATGTGCATACCCAACAAGCTTCTTTTTCTTCACAGTCTCTCCCAGTAGCATATCTGCTGGATTCTGCATAAAGCGTGACTCTACATAGCTGACCACTTTCTTGGCAGCATCAGCCCTGAAAAGGTCTGCTTGAGTGCAGCAGGGGAAATCGTAGGCATCTCCGTGCTTCGCACCCCAATGATATGTCGTCGGGTAGTAGAGTGCCACCAAATCCCAAGGAGGCTTCTCACGAAGATCAACCGTGAGAAACCGCTCAATGCCAGCGTCCCACAGCCACACCGGCATCACATCGTCTTCAAAGATGAGGACAAACTTTGGGTTTGTGAGCAGGCACTGATGCATAGCGTGAATAGCATCCACAGCTATCTTTGCCTCCCATGTCCATCTAGCCCACCCTTTCCTCTCGATGATCCGCTTCGGAACAGCAGCCAGCAGCCTACCGGCATCCCCAAAAAAGGTACACACGTCAGCATGAGCTGGCAGGATATCCACGTGGATGGACAGATTGGCTGCCACATTGCGGATGGCTTGGGTGTGGTTGTCAACGGTGGTGCTGCTGTCAAAGGCGGCCTGAGCAAGCACCTGAATGAGGGGTCGGACATACGTTTCACTCACACCAGCGCCAGCAGCGTACCTCCTCACTGCCTCATCCATCATCTCCCGCCTGCTCATCTCTCTCCCTCTTCCTCCCCTGCCTCTCGCTGGCGCCTCTTGACCGTTCCTTATTCCACTCTTCCTGTCCACTGCACCTCCTCTACCATTCCTCACTTCCCGCCTCTTTCCTTGCTGCGGTGGCTTCGTTTCCCTCCAGCGCTCCTCACCAAAAACGACACCCTGCTGAGTCAGCAAGTCCACAGGGTCAACCACGTGGCATGCTGAGCTGTACAGCACGATCCGCATGTCCTGACCCAGCACAAGCCCTTTCCGCTTTTTAAGCTCTCTAATCGCCTTCTCCACCCCCTCCCCCGTTTTAGGCACATCATCAGCAGTCACATCACCCTCTCCGTCCCCTTCCCCCTCCTCTTCCCCTTCCACTCTCTCTGTTCCCTGCTCCATCCCCTCATTAGCATTGCCACCAGCGTTACTTCTCCCCTCACCTTTGCCTTTCCAAGCGCCCACGCGCCTCGAGTCTAATGCCTGCAGCAGCCGCACGACTCGCTGCCACGTGGGCTCCAAGTTTTGTGGGTCCAATCGTGGCGCGGATGTGATTGCTATGCACAGCCCGCTCGGCGCGCTTGCATTCACGCGTCGCTCCTGTGCCTCTGAGCTGGCGGCATCTGATTGGCCGCTGAATTTTCCAGGTGATTTATCAGCTGGAATGACTGACCATGGTAAGGGAGGTACACGAGGCGCGAAAAAGTCATCGCTGACGTGGCGACGAAGGTGGAGAGGATGTATGGCGCTGGAATTGCGGAAGAACAGCCAATCCGTAGGCAGAATTGGCAACGCAGCTAGGATATGCAATGAAATCAAGCGCCAATCAGCGAATGTGTTCAAAACGCGGTCTGTCGGCTCGGCCCGCTTGTGTGAGGAGAGGGAGTGAAGACGGGAGACAGCGAGGTATGAGCGGGCAACGAGGATACCCCACGGGAGACAGACGGCTGCGATCGCCGCGAGGACGAGAACTCGCATTCCTACGCGTCGATTGCTGCGCGGCATTTTGGTTCGTCAACGCGGAGCACGTGAGCTCGAGTGACCATGACTTGGCGGGAAATTTGGAATAATGGGGAGCTGATCAAGGGAGACCTGTGCTTGTTTGTTGCTTCGGTTGAGATGGGTTGGGTTAGCTTTCAGCATGAGCAAAAAATGCTTCTGCGCGAGGTTATGAAGAAATCTCGAGGTGGTATTGCGAGCGCCTATAACGAGTCGAGGTCTGCACCTCCGCATTCGTGAGGGCGAACGAATGGGATGGGACTTCCACTTTAGCACTCTCCTGCTCATTCCACCATTCCACCACAGTTTCGGGAATCCCAAGGTTGCTGTGTTTGCCTGCTTGTCTCAAGCTTGTCGCACCTCACACGCAACCGGCTTCCTGCGCTCCTTTCCCTATATACTGTCGTTTCCCATTCGGACCCTTGCTGCTCCAAGGCATTGTCTGCGACATGTCCAGTAGGCGTGCGAAGGTGCTGCTAGGTGTAACGGTCCTCGCGACTGTCGCTGGCGTCGCATACGTGCACCAGCTGCAAGTGAAGGAGCGAGAGGTGTGCTACCACTTCTCATTGCCTATATTCGTGTCTTCCTCTATCATTCAGTCACGCTTAGATTCTCTCAGAAATGTGTTCATTGACACTAAGTGGCACTTAAGGCATTGCACAGATCCGCTTCGTCTGCTCATGGTGTTTAATCGCGTTTTTCAACTCCCACTCGCTTCCGCGAATCCCCTCACGCCACGTGGCACAGAACCTCCACCGCGGCGTGTTGCGCGACGACCAGCTTTTGGAGGAGAAGCGTCGCCAGTTCCAGTCGCAGGCCCAGCCGTCGCATTCACCGCTGTCGCAGATGCAATCGTCGCCGACATCCCCTCCAGCAACGCAGCAGCAGTAACCCGAATTCGGGACACCCGAGGCATCAGGACATTCTGTCTCAGATCCAATCACAACCGTCAGAGTCTTTCACCCGTCAGAGTCTTTTTATAACACCTCGCTATCCACTGGGTCAAAACGAGGGTGTTATTTGGCGCAGCGGAGTGCCCTTAACACAGCCCACAGGCGTTACACTTTTAGATATTCCGTTTCAAGCACCAGCAGCCATTCTTACCCTGCAGCCTGGCCAAGATACGAACGGAATGGCATCACTATCAGAACATCTTCACATGCGGATACCAGCAGCGGATCAGTCTCCACTGTTCCAGCTCTCCGCTATGCTCCCTCCATCTCCTCCCCTCCCCCCATCTCCTCCCCACTCCCCGTCATCTTCTCCGTCATCCCGCTCCCCCTTCCCTTCCTCCTCCGTTAACCCTCCCCTTTCCGCCTCCCCCTCCCGCTCCCCCTCCCCGTCCCCCTCCCCCTTCTGGCGCATGCCCCTCTCCCCCTCCCGCGTCTACCTTATTGATTCTCCCGCCTCCTTCCGGGCGGCAAGGGTTGACGTTATCCTGTCCAAGGCAATCATGGTGGGGCTTGATGCCGAGTGGCGGCCGTCCAGACTCAGACGGGAAGTGGCTGAGCTGGCACAACAGGCTGACGTGTATAAACAGGCTGCCGTGGCAGCTACATCATCACTTCAAGCAGCAGCGGCATCAGCATCAGCAGCATCAGTAGCAACGGCAGCAGCAGCAGCGTCATCTGTGGACATTCTTCCCCCTCATCGTGTGGCACTGCTGCAGATAGCATGCCGCGTACCCCTAGGAACATGCGACCACCACGAGCGTGACAATAACGGGAGTGATTGTATGGTACGCACGCCAGGCAGTGACGATCAGTCGCAGCAGCAGGGAGGAGAGGGGCAGAATGGCGGGGTAACAACAGAGGGGCAAAGCCAGCCACAGCATGTGGGGCAGCGTGAGAGTGAAACGGTATCCTTGCCACATCCGACGGACAGCTTGCAACCGACGGACAGCTGGCAGCATGCAGAGAGTTGGCAGGAGGCGGATGGGTGGGAGGAGGTGGTGCTGCTGCTGGACCTACTGTCTCTCCCGCCCTGCCTGTACGCCCCCCCTCTCCGTGCCATGCTGCGCGCGCCTCACACCCTCAAGCTCGGCTTTGCCTTCTCAGACGACCTCGAGTTCCTCCACCAATCCCTCCCTTTATACCACCGCTCCCTTTCCTCACACCACCACTCCCACTCTCCTGACCACCAGTCGCTTCACCCAGACCACCACTCCCTCCACTCTCAAGTTAATCCCTCCCTTCTCCCAGACCAGCACCGCTCCCCCCATTCAGAGCACGAGCACCCCTCACAGGGCCAGGACTGCTTCCACCACGTGGCACCCTTCATAGACATCGGCACGGCCTACCACGCCATCCGCCGCACGCGCCTGCACCTCAAGCGCGACAACCTGCTCTCGCTCCTCACCGCCGCCGCCCCTCCCGGCTCCCTCGCCGCCAGATCAGTGCTGCCGCCCGCGTCAGGGCTGTCAGCACTGGCGCAGGTGCTGCTGGGAGCGCCACTGGATAAGGAGTTGCAGTGCAGTGACTGGGAGCACCGGCCGCTGTCACGCCACCAGCTGCACTATGCTGCTGCTGATGCCCTCTGCCTGATTCACATGGCGCTCGCGCTTCTCCCACTCGCTCCGCGCCCCCACGCCCTCTCTGCCCATGCTCTTTCCCCCCATGCCCTTTCCGCCCATGCCCTTTCCGCAAATGGAAAAGATCAGGTTGGACTAGCAGCAGTACATGGAGGCCCATCCACGTCACCATCCCTGTCAGCATCATCCTCGTCAGCATCCTCGTCAGCGTCCCCTTGTGCTGTTCACCAGCCCATTCCGGCTGCATCTGTTTTAGTAACTGCGTGTACTGTCACGCCTGCACTCCCACCCTTACAGTCACACCATCGCCTCATGCACACCATGGAGCAACAGCACCACCACCACCATCAGCAGCACCACCACCACCATCAGCAGCAGCAGCAGCAGCAGCAGCATCATTATCAGCATCGTCATCACGATCAGCATCGGCAGCAGCAAAACAGGACTGCAACCCTCACCGCAGGCACCAGCACCACCACTCTCGTTGCTGCCCTGTCAGAGCTCATAGAGGAACACTCCCACTCGCTCTCCCTCTGCCACATCACTGGCAAGGTGCGCTCTGTGGGAAAGAGCACGGACGGCATTAACAACAGCACCAGCACTAGCAGTGGCAGCGACAGCAGTGCGAGTTCAGGCCAAGGGCGTGCAGGGAAGGGTAGGGATGGCTTAGGGAAGCGGTTGAACTCGAGGAAAGGGAGGAAGCAGGCACGAGAGAGCAGGATGAGAGAGGAAGGGGAGGAGGCGACAGGAGGGGAAGAAGGAGAGGGAAGTGGGGAGTCAGGGCGAGGGTCCAGAGGAGAAGCAGCGGGCACGGCTGTAGCATGCGAGGTTGAATCGCGTCGCAATGAGGCGTGTTCAAACGAGGCCCTGCCTGCAGGGGATGCTCGTGCTGACAGGCCACACAACGGACTGGTGTCACCATATCATGCAGTGCGCCCAAGTGACATGCATGGGAACGGATTGGTGCCGCCGTGGGATGTGTCGCAGGGAGGTGATGGGCAGGCGCGGTTCCTGTGTGATTCCATGGTGGAGGGGCTGGCACGGCAGCTGCGCTGTGTGGGCGTTGACACCGCCTCTCCCAAGAGTCTCGGGCGAGACACGTGTGACACCAGGTATGGTATGGTTGAGCTCGGATGATGGTCGGGTAAATTGGGCACGCGAAGTTTGACAAGAAGGGATCTGTAATGTGATTGTATCATGCCAAATGGGCTTGTGCTGTCTCCGTTCCTACACTTCCCACCCTTCTTCCTCACCCTGCTTCCTCACCCTGCTTCCTCACCCTGCTTCCTCACCCTGCTTCCTCACCCTGCTTCCTCACCCTGCTTCCACACCCTGCTTCCTCACCCTGCTTCCTCACCCTGCTTCCTCACCCTGCTTCCTCACCCTGCTTCCTCACCCTGCTTCCTCACCCTGCTTCCTCACCCTTCTTCCTCACCCTGCTTCCTCACCCTGCTTCCTCACCCTGCTTCCTCACCCTGCTTCCTCACCCTGCTTCCTCACCCTACTTCCTCACCCTGCTTCCTCACCCTGCTTCCTCACCCTGCTTCCTCACCCTGCTTCCTCACCCTGCTTCCTCACCCTGCTTCCTCACCCTGCTTCCTCACCCTGCTTCCTCACCCTTCGACAGGAAGCTGATAGAGTGGGCAGAGAGGGAGGGTCGTGTGCTTCTAACGAGGGACGTGAAGCTCTTCCGGCGCCGCCTGCTGCCGCCCACCCACATGCACCTTATTAGAAGCACCGACAAGCGCGAGCAGCTCCGCGAGGTGGTAACCGCGTTCCGCCTGCTCCTGTGCGAGTCCTCCCTGCTCTCGCGCTGCATCCGCTGCAACGGCACCTTCAAGCCGCAGGCGCTGGGGCCCTCAGAGGCAGCAGCGGCGGCGCCGTGGACACAGGTGGTGCCGAGTCACGTGTTGGATCGCGTAGCGGAGTTCTGGCAGTGCTGCCAGTGCCAGCACCTCTACTGGGAGGTGAGGGATGACATGTGTGTAAGAGTTGGAAACATCTCGAATGCCAGCAGCGGTGGTGTTATGGTCTCAGGTGGTCCCCTGCCTTGTCTTGGCTCGAGTGGTGGAGTTCTGGCAGTGCTGCCAGTGCCAGCACCTCTACTGGGAGGTGAGGTGTGAGATGCCTGGAAGGAGGTATGAGGTATGTGGGAGGGAGCTGCGCCTTGATGTCTCCTTGCTTCCCTGTCAACATCTCTCTCACAGTCTCTCTCTTCATCCATGCCTCTCCATTGCGCCCCCACTTCCAGGGCTGCCAGTTTGATCGCGCCATCAAGCAATTCACAGAGGTGTGCCAGCTGTCAGCTGCGCTGGCACAGACGAATGTTTCAGCCAGCAGTTGATTCTTTTGTCAAAGTCAAAAGCCACCAAGCGATTAGCTGAGGTGAACCAGCTGAGCTAGTGCAGCAGACTAACATTATGGCCAGCAGTACAGTTCATCTGCTCTGCAGGGGTCTTCATGTCATTCGATGCGCATCGACACGCCTACAGAACGCCTACTGAAGCAACAGTCTTCAGTGTGTTGCTCACCACTTTCAGATTCATCCCCACCCTAAGCCAAGTTGACACATCCAAGGCTGCATGCTGAATTTTCAGGTCTGAGTCACATCATAAATACACCGAGAATCAGTCTTTATAATAGCCTGGCTGGCAGCATGACAGATAGGAGGAGCTTTCGATGAGCTATAGTTTTGACATTATTGGAATTAGGTGAAATCACACTTCCTTCCTTGATTTATTCTGTATGTAGTCTGCTATTCCAAGAAATGCGCTCTGTTTTAAGGATCCGTATATAGAGCTGAAGCATTCATCTCGGTTGGTCTGTTATGATTAGGCTGGTATGTACAGTACAGCAGATGTGCGTGGAGGGTCGAGATGTCTTGAATTTGGTGATGTGGCGAATCTTATCAGTACGAGACAGCACCGTGATTTTGCCAGCGTGGCAGCAATATTGGCGCGGAACTCCTGCCGATAATTTACGTGGTCGCTTGTGTCGTTGCCATCAAGTCCACGAGGCAGCTTCGCAAGACTTTGACGATGGTTCCTCCTTCGGCGGCGTATGTGCTGTGACGTCAACAACACACTGCCTGTGCCCTTCCCCTTTCCCGCATTTCTGTCCCCCAAATTTGAATCGTCGTCAGAAACGCGCCTCGGCTGTGTGGTTTTTGTGGACCAAAGCGAGTAGTTTGTGATCTTATCCTCTTCGCAATGTTTCGCCTGTGATCTCCTGACGTGTCGTTGTCCAACCAGTGTCGTCGTAAGTTGACAGGCTGTAAGTACCACTCGCAAGGAGTGGTAGACGACTTTTGACGAAGGTCGCGCATCTTCCTGGCACCCTGCACAGACCCATTTCCCTTTGGATTTCACGAACAGTTCCGTCGGCAACTCGTCCACTTCCCGCCTGTCCCCCGTGGCGCGTCCCGTGCTTTGAATTTTCGGTTGTGTACTTTTTTGAAACGCAGATGTTTTACGCTGGCAACATCTTCGAATAGATCTCTAAACAAAGCAGTGACACAGGTCCTGATTTCAGGTTTTTTTTTTTTTCGAAATTTGGGAAATACATCGCATGCGGTATGTCTACCCAAAATGTTTTTTTGACCCGCAGCAGGTGGTGGTGACCTCCACATCCCACAGGCTTGCTGCAGTCTGACACTGTAGTTTTCGGCTTGTAGTGAACCAGCCACTCGTCTCCTCCATCCTCACCTTGCGGCAAGGATGCTGAGGGAGCCTCCTCACAGAACAGAAACACAAACATATCCGCAAGGAGAAACTAGAGCGTCTAGACACACTGCCTGTGTGTTGGGTAGTATGTATATAATACAGGGACTTCGACTTTGAAAGCTTTAAGCTCATAATTCCCGAGGTCGCCCACCACAATTTTCCGTCATCAACGAGCTTCATTCGCCCGAACTCCATGCGCTCTGGAGGTCGCCCACCATAATTCCCGCCAAGAACGAGGTTCATTCGTCTAAGCTCATAAACCCTGGAGATCGCCCACCAACCATTCGCCCCCATCACCAACTGCTACCCGCCTCCATCCGCACACCGCCCCCCGCCCAGCCTACCATTCGATCTCCTAAGGTAAGCATAGAGTTCTTATGTCTACTTGTTCCGAGCTAGACGTTTCTGAATGTAATTGTTTCAAAATTTATTTGTGTAAACTTCCTATTACTGACTCATCTGTGTTCGTTTTTTGCAGGTACAAAAGACAAGTCCAGTGACGAATCTGCATACAAACTGCTGCTCCGCAGCCGAACTTCTGCTCAAGCCGAACTTCTGCTCAAGCCGAACTTTAGCTCAACACGAACTTCTGCTCAACCCGAACTTCTGCTGTTCAAGCCGTGCGTGGCGCTCTGACACGTTGGGGGTGCTGCTGTTCAAGCCGTGCGTGCCTGACTTCACGGAGTCTGACGCTTCACCCTGGAGATCGCCCACCACCACCAACCAACAAACCATCCATCCATCCGCTCACCGCCCCCCGCCGAGCCTACCATTCCGATCTTCAGAGGTAAGCACGAGATTTTTCTGTTTACTTACTTTGACTTGAACGCACGAGATCTTTTAAAGTGTACCTTGTTCTTGAAAATTTCCTCCTATACTTCTGTTTTCGGACTCTTTTGTGTTTGTATATTCGCAGGTTCAAGAGACTTGCTTCTCTCCATCAAGTCCAATGAAGAATCTGCATCCGAACTTGCTTCTTTCCATTTTGAAGTTGTTCTTCATCAAGCCGTGCGTGGCGCTCTGACACGTTGGGAGTGCTGCTGTTCAAGCCGTGCGTGCCTGATTTCACGGAGTCTGCTCACCGCCCCCCGCCAAGCCTGCCCTTCCGATCTCCAGAGGTAAGCATGGAGCTGTTACGTCAACTTGTTTTGACGTTTATGCACCGCATCAAAGCCCTTCCTGTACTTCCAATTTCTAACTCATGTTTGGTTGTATTCTTGCAGGTTCAAAAGCAACAAGAAGTTCCTCGTCCTCAAGTTGGAATCTCAAAGCTCGTCTCTGAGAGCTGTGGCTGGTGGTCTGGCATTGGAGTGCTGCTGCCGCCTTGGCTGGCCCTGACGCTGTTGATGTGGTGGAACGTGGTGCTGCCGCCGTTCATCCCGCTGCCAACGTTCATAGGGGAGTGTTGCTTCCCTTTTCCCGATCCCAATTTCGTTTTCCTCGCTTTCGTTTTTCGTCATCATTCTCATCATCATCCACAACCGCCATTCGTGCATCGCCGTTTTCCATCGTCCCTCTGATTCATACGGTTGCAGCTGGAAGATGATCCTCCGCGGTTGGGTAGATGGGGTGGCTAGATTAGATCCTCCCTCTGAAGGCTGCAGCCTATGAATCACGGACGTCCGCCCTCGTTTCCTTTGTCGTTTTCATATTCATTATCGTTTTTCGCATTTGTTTGTTTGTTTTCCCCTTGCTTTTCTTCGTGTCATCGCTGTATACTAACTTCGTGCTTCTGTGTGTGTTTCTTCCCCCCGTTTCCAGCAAAGGAGGATCATGTCGCGAGCGGTTTACCAAGGAGCCTTCGCAGCAGATGCAGGAGCCCACAAAGCCGCCATGGAAGCTGTCAAGTAAGTTTCTGATTCCTGGCATTGTTCATCCTTGTCATTTGCCGTTTTCTGCTTGAGCTGCTTGAGCTGATGGTTTATGCGTCTCTTGTTTTCTTTAACAGGTCAGCTGAAGGAGCAGTCTACAAAGTCTCCTACGAAGCGCATGCGCGAGCAGTCTACGAAGTCTCCTACGAAGCGCATGCGCGAGCAGTCTACGAAGTCTCCTACGAAGCGCATGCGCGAGCAGTCTACGAAGTCTCAAACGAAGCGCATGGCGGATCAGCCTTCAAAGCTGGATGGATGTGCGTCGGGCTGCAAGGAGTGAAGCTACAAGCAGCTGAATTTGTGGTAAGTTCATCCGTTTTTCGTTTAGCCCTTTTAACCGGGTTATCCTTAATCTAGCTGCAAAATGGTGTCTTTCCTTTGAGATTTTGATTCAGCAGAATACTAATTTTTGTCTGTCGTTTTCTTAAAACAGGACCAAGGAGCCCGAGCGGCCTACCAAGGAGCCTTCGCAGCAGATGAAGCGTTCCACGAAGCCGCCGTGGAAGCTGACCAAGGAGCCTACGCGCCGCCAACCAAGGAGCCCGAGCAGCCTACTATCAAGGAGCCTACGCAGCAGATAGAAGCAGCGCACGAAGCCACCATTGAAGCTTCAAGCTTTCAAGGTAAATTTCTGTTCTTGATCCTTGCTGTTTACTGCTTTCTACTTCAGCTTTGTGCAAATCGTTTTTTTAGGATTTTGATACACACTAATTTGTGTTCCCTATTGTCTCAAACAGGACTAACCAACAAAACAGCCATCGAAGCCAATGGAGAAGCATCTGACGGAGCAGCCTACTACCAAGCAGCCTACGAAGCAGATAGAAGCAGCCCACGAAGCCACCATTGAAGCTTCAAGCTTTCAAGGTAAGCTTTTGAACCTCTCGTTGATCCTTGCTGTTCACCGTCTTCTACTTGGGCTGAGTGCAAATCTTTTCTTAAAGATGTATATATATACTAATTTGTGTTTCGTTTTTGACTTAAACAGGAATAATCAACGAAGCAGCCAACGAAGCCACTGGAGAAGCACCTGACGGAGCAGCCTACTATCAAGGAGCCTACGCAGCAGATATAAACAGCCCACGAAGCCACCATTGAAGCTTCAAGCTTTCAAGGTAAGTTTCTGTTCTTCATCCTTGCTGTTTGCCGCTTTCTACTTCAGCTTGCTGCAAATCTTCTTAAGAATTTTAGTACATACTAATTTGTGTCTCGTTTTGTCTTAAACAGGACTAACCAACGGAGAATTCAAAGAAGCTAATGGAGAAGTAGCTGACGGGGAAGCCTATTACTAAGCAGCTTACGAAGCAGATAGAAGCAGCCCACAAAGCCGCCATTGAAGCTTCAAGCTTTCAAGGTAAGTTACCTCTCGTTGATCCTTGTTATTAACCGCTTTCTACTTGAGCTTGCTGCAAATCGTCTCTTAAAGTTTTTTATACATACTTATGTGTGTTTCGTTTTGTCTTAAACAGGAATGATCGACGAAGCAGCCAACGAAGCCAATGGAGAAGCACCTGACGGAGCAGCGCACTACCAAACAGGCGAAGCAGATAGAAGCAGCCCACAAAGCCGCCATTGAAGCTTCAAGGAGCAGCGAAAGCGGTTGCTGGGCTGCGGAAGAGTTGGCTGGGCTGGGGAAGCGGAGGCTGGGCTGCGGAAGCGGATGCTGGGCTGCGGAAGCGGATGCTGGGCTGCGAAAGCGGATGCTGGGCTGCGGAAGCGGATGCTGGGCTGCGAAAGCGGATGCTGGGCTGCGGAAGCAGATGCTGGGCTGCGAAAGCGAATGCTGGGCTGCGGAAGCTGTTGCTGGGCTGCGGAAGCGGAAGATGGGCTGCGATGGCGGAGGATGGGCTGCGGAAGCGGAGGCTAGGCTGCGGAAGCGGAGGATTGGCTACGGAAGCTGTTGCTAGGCTGCGGAAGTGGTTGCTGGGCTGCTGAAGGGGGGACTGGGCTGCGGAAGCGGAGGATTGGCTGTGGAAGCGGAGAATGGGCTGCGGAAGCGGAGGCTTGGCTGCGGATCGGATGCTGGGCTGCAGGAGCGGAGGCTTGGCTGCGGATCGGATGCTGGGCTGCGGGAGCGGATGCTGGGCTGCGGAAGTGGATGCTTGGCTGCGGAAGCGGAGGCTGGGCTGCTGAGCGGCGAAGCGGCGTACAAGGGAGCGGCGAAGCAGTTGACAAGGGAACAGCTTAGCAGTCTACAGGGAGCAGCGTAACAGCCTACAGGGAAGCAGCGTAGCAGCCTACAGGGAAGCAGCGTAGACAGAGGCTGGGCTTCAAGGAGTAGACTGAGGAGGAAGCTGCGGAAGCAGTTGCTGCGGAAGCGGAGGCTGTTCGGGAGCAGTGGCGGAGCAGTGGTGGATGTGGCGAAGGGTTACGCAGATGGTGACTAGACGGGAGCTCAAGGGTGGCCTAAGAGGTGGCTGAGTCTAGTGTGTGGCTCAGCCGGTCCTAAGGCGAGTGGCGCGGTGTGGGTGTGATCTCAGCGGTGATGTGATGGAGTAAGGGCCGGGCTTGATTCTTGGCAGTGCAAAGTCGCCCGGGAGGCTTTGCACTGCCTGGGCCCAGAATCAAGCAGATCCGGGTACCTGACGCTCCAGGTAGCATCACTGTTGGGGTTGCACTTGCACCACAAGTCAGCACCGCACCGGGGTGGGTGCGGGGGGCTTGAGTCACTCTAAAGAGAAGGGAGACCGCACTGGCGTGGGTGCGGAGAGCTTCTCTTACCTCTGAATGATGAGTCCACACTGGCGTGGGTGTGGAAATACTCATTCTAGGTCACCTGAGGGTTTCCGTTTGGGAGGCTCGCGGTTTTACTTAAAGCTTCGCGGCCTTCTCACACTGGCGTGGGTGTGGGGGGTTCGTTCACTTGATGCGTCAGCCTGGAGCCACAGGGAGAGAGGGACGGAGCAGTGGAGAGGAGCAGCCGCCGTCTGATGCAGCAGCCGCCTGGAGCGATAAAGGGGAGAAGCCGCCTGGTGCAGAGAAGGGAGAAGTAGCTGCACGTTGCAGAAGGGGAGTAGCAGCCGCCTCCTTGTGCCTACAAGGGGAGTAGGAGAGAAGAAGCCGCCTCCTGGTACAGACAAGGGGAGAAGCAGCTGCACGTTGCAGAGGAGAAGGGAGTAGCAGCCTGGTGCAGAGGAGGTGTGAAGTAGCCTGGTGCAGAGGAGGTGTGAAGCAGACTGGTACAGAGGAGGTGTGAAGCAGCCTGGTGCAGAGGAGGTGTGAAGCAGCCTGGTGCAGAGGAGGTGTGAAGCAGCCTGGTGCGGAGGAGGTGTGAAGCAGCGTGGTGCAGAGGAGGTGTGAAGCAGCGTGGTGCAGAGGAGGTGTGAAGCAGCCTGGTGCAGAGGAGGTGTGAAGCAGCCTGGTGCAGAGGAGGTGTGAAGCAGCCTGGTGCAGAGGAGGTGTGAAGCAGCCTGGTGCAGAGGAGGTGTGAAGCAGCCTGGTGCAGAGGAGGTGTGAAGCAGCCTGGTGCAGAGGAGGTGTGAAGCAGCCTGGTGCAGAGGAGGTGTGAAGCAGCCTGGTGCAGAGGAGGTGTGAAGCAGCCTGGTGCAGAGGAGGTGTGAAGCAGCCTGGTGCAGAGGAGGTGTGAAGCAGCCTGGTGCAGAGGAGGTGTGAAGCAGCCTGGTGCAGAGGAGGTGTGAAGCAGCCTGGTGCAGAGGAGGTGTGAAGCAGCCTGGTGCGGAGGAGGTGTGAAGCAGCCTGGTGCGGAGGAGGTGTGAAGCAGCCTGGTGCAGAGGAGGTGTGAAGCAGCCTGGTGCAGAGGAGGTGAGAAGCAGCCTGGTGCAGAGAAGGGGAGATTAACCCCCAAACCCTGAAGGGGAGAAGCCGCTAAGGGGTAGAGGAGGAGTTGGGAACTGCCAAGGGGAGAAGCAGTTGGAGTGCAGCAACAGCGACGTGCATCAAAAGCGACCATGGAGTATTATAGCCGGGCGTACGGCACGCCCCCTCGTCTTTGAGGAAGTCAGCCCGTCGGCATTCAAGGGGATGCGGCGGGACGGATTTTTCTATCCATGGCTCGCGCGCGCGCTGAACCAAAAAAAAACATGGGAGATTGGGAATCAGTGAAGGCATGGTGCAGAGGAGTACAGCTGACATACCGTAGCTGAGGTGGATTTGGTAGGCTTTATCTGTGAAACAACATCAATATTGTGAAACCAATATTGAAATCCACAGTGCTCGCATGTTCTTGTGAGCAAGCATGATCCCTTGTACAGTACGTGCAACAACTCAATCAATTAGTGACCAACACTGGACCCCAATTTCCCTACTGGCATCCAACCACAAAACATCAACATCAAGTACGGTATATTCGTTCAAATGCAGAGGCAGGGCTCAGGGGACAAGCAGGATCACCGCGCGAATTCTCCAAGCACGTGGCTTTCGCTTCAAGCGCGAATTCTCCAAGCACGTGTGGGGGGTTCGTTCACTTGATGCGTCAGCCTGGAGCCACAGGGAGAGAGGGACGGAGCAGTGGAGAGGAGCAGCCGCCGTCTGATGCAGCAGCCGCCTGGAGCGATAAAGGGGAGAAGCCGCCTGGTGCAGAGAAGGGAGAAGTAGCTGCACGTTGCAGAAGGGGAGTAGCAGCCGCCTCCTTGTGCCTACAAGGGGAGTAGGAGAGAAGAAGCCGCCTCCTGGTACAGACAAGGGGAGAAGCAGCTGCACGTTGCAGAGGAGAAGGGAGTAGCAGCCTGGTGCAGAGGAGGTGTGAAGTAGCCTGGTGCAGAGGAGGTGTGAAGCAGACTGGTACAGAGGAGGTGTGAAGCAGCCTGGTGCAGAGGAGGTGTGAAGCAGCCTGGTGCAGAGGAGGTGTGAAGCAGCCTGGTGCGGAGGAGGTGTGAAGCAGCGTGGTGCAGAGGAGGTGTGAAGCAGCGTGGTGCAGAGGAGGTGTGAAGCAGCCTGGTGCAGAGGAGGTGTGAAGCAGCCTGGTGCAGAGGAGGTGTGAAGCAGCCTGGTGCAGAGGAGGTGTGAAGCAGCCTGGTGCAGAGGAGGTGTGAAGCAGCCTGGTGCAGAGGAGGTGTGAAGCAGCCTGGTGCAGAGGAGGTGTGAAGCAGCCTGGTGCAGAGGAGGTGTGAAGCAGCCTGGTGCAGAGGAGGTGTGAAGCAGCCTGGTGCAGAGGAGGTGTGAAGCAGCCTGGTGCAGAGGAGGTGTGAAGCAGCCTGGTGCAGAGGAGGTGTGAAGCAGCCTGGTGCAGAGGAGGTGTGAAGCAGCCTGGTGCAGAGGAGGTGTGAAGCAGCCTGGTGCAGAGGAGGTGTGAAGCAGCCTGGTGCAGAGGAGGTGTGAAGCAGCCTGGTGCAGAGGAGGTGTGAAGCAGCCTGGTGCGGAGGAGGTGTGAAGCAGCCTGGTGCGGAGGAGGTGTGAAGCAGCCTGGTGCAGAGGAGGTGTGAAGCAGCCTGGTGCAGAGGAGGTGAGAAGCAGCCTGGTGCAGAGAAGGGGAGATTAACCCCCAAACCCTGAAGGGGAGAAGCCGCTAAGGGGTAGAGGAGGAGTTGGGAACTGCCAAGGGGAGAAGCAGTTGGAGTGCAGCAACAGCGACGTGCATCAAAAGCGACCATGGAGTATTATAGCCGGGCGTACGGCACGCCCCCTCGTCTTTGAGGAAGTCAGCCCGTCGGCATTCAAGGGGATGCGGCGGGACGGATTTTTCTATCCATGGCTCGCGCGCGCGCTGAACCAAAAAAAAACATGGGAGATTGGGAATCAGTGAAGGCATGGTGCAGAGGAGTACAGCTGACATACCGTAGCTGAGGTGGATTTGGTAGGCTTTATCTGTGAAACAACATCAATATTGTGAAACCAATATTGAAATCCACAGTGCTCGCATGTTCTTGTGAGCAAGCATGATCCCTTGTACAGTACGTGCAACAACTCAATCAATTAGTGACCAACACTGGACCCCAATTTCCCTACTGGCATCCAACCACAAAACATCAACATCAAGTACGGTATATTCGTTCAAATGCAGAGGCAGGGCTCAGGGGACAAGCAGGATCACCGCGCGAATTCTCCAAGCACGTGGCTTTCGCTTCAAGCGCGAATTCTCCAAGCACGTGTGGGGGGTTCGTTCACTTGATGCGTCAGCCTGGAGCCACAGGGAGAGAGGGACGGAGCAGTGGAGAGGAGCAGCCACCGTCTGATGTAGCAGCCGCCTGAAGCAGTTAAGGGGAGCAGCCGCCTGGTGCAGACAAGGGGAGAAGGAGAGAAGCAATTGCCTCCTGGTGCAGAGAAGGGGAAAAGCATCCATCCTGGTGCAGAGGAGAGAGGTGCCCCCAAACCCTGAAGGGAAGAAGCAGCCGCCTGGTGTAGAGAAGGGCAGTAGAACCACTAAGCCCTGAATCGGTGAAGCAGCTTGGTGCGAGAAAGGGGTGCAGCCGCCTGGTGCAGTTGATGGGAGAATGGGAGAAGCAGCCGCCTTCTCTAGAGGAGGGGAGAGGAATCCTTTAACCTTTAACCTTGAAGCAGCAGCTTGGTGCGAGAAAGGGGAGCAGCAGAAGCAGCCTGGTGCAGAGGAGAAGGTGTGAAGCAGCCTGGTGCAGAGGAGAAGGTGTAAAGCAGCCTGGTGCAGTTATAAGGAGACAATCAGCCGCCTGGTGCAGAGAAGGGGAAAAGAACTCCCAAACCCTGAAGGGAGAAGCTGCTAAGGGGTGGAGTTGGGAAGCTGCCAAAGGATTTGGGAAACTGCTAAGGGGTGGAGGAGTTGGGAAGCTGCTAAAACAGCGACGTGCATCAAGAGCGGCCATGGAGTTTTTTAGCCGAGCGTACGGCATGCCCCTCGTCTTGGAGGAAGTCAGCCCGTCGGCATCCAAGAGGGGATGCGGCGGGACGGATTTTTTTATCCATGGCTCGCGCACGCGCTGAACAAAAAAAAAAAACTTGGGAGATTGAAGGAATGGTGCAGTGGAGAAGTAGCCTCTTGGTCTAGAGAGAAGGAGCAGTGAAGGGGAAGTAGCAGTGAAGGGGAAGTAGCAGATAAGGGGTGATGGAGTGAACCAAGTGGAGAAGCAGAGAAGTGGAGCAGAGAAGCAGCGAGCCTACATGTACCCAGTTGGCAGTGCCAGTACCAGCTACCAATAGCAGCTTCCAGCCATAGAATCTGAGCTGTTTATTTTCCTTGCACGTTGTACGGTACTTGGTTCGTTAGTGCATTACTCACACAGAGCTCCTTATTGTATGTTACGGAAACATTTAACTACCAACAATTTACCCTGGTTGGCTGTCTAATAACGCTGCATTTGTTCAGATGTGTGAGCTGAGCACACTTCAATAGCACGCTGTGTGAGCATAGCAGGTTGGGAATCCTCACATTCCTTGGGAACGTACGGTAGTTCAAAAGGGCTTGTTGGCATGATCCAATAATGCTGCATTTGTTTATATGATACACAGAGGAAGACATGAGACACAATTCAGAGTGACACTGGTACCATACGAGCCAAGAAGACTGGCAAGGAATCTTCTCCCCTGACTGCTCTGCAACTTCAAAGAGGAAGCGAAGCACCTAAGGCACAGAACTTGCATTGGTGACATGTACGGTAACCAGGTTCAAATGACATGTAACTAGCTTCAATTATATGCAACTAGTAGCTTTCCCGACAGTAGCAGCACGGATCATATGACATGCAGCTCGGCGAGGAAGTCGGCACTGAGGTCGAGGAAGAGCATGTGGGAGCCGTCCACGTGCTGCACGTCCAGGAGATACTTCTCATCGCGCACCTTGAACAGCTGTGTGCGGTGCAGAGCGGTGCAGGGAATGGATGGAGTGAAAGAGCAATCATCATGACTCGGGTAGTGATTTCAGGAGCAATGATTACATCCCCAACCCGGCAAGTTTTGAGAATTTTCTCTCTCACAACAGAGCAGCGGGAACCATGTGCGTTGCGGTATGCATGGTAAAAAGGCATAGAAAGGCATAAAAAGGCAACGAGGGAGAGGCGGGGTGCACAAGCAAGGGCGATGAGGGCCGTTGCTCAATGTAAGTTCGACCGAAGAGCAGCAGTGAGAGAGACTGACTGTGACACACAAGCTTACCTGCATCTCAAACCGCAGTAAACGCCGAACCCCGCCGCCCACCAGCGCCTCCACAGGAATCACCGGGCGGCCTCTCTCGTCCTGTATCGTCCTTACACCATCCAGCCTCCCGCCATCCACCAGCATCCCATCCGCATCCCCACCGCCCCCACCATACCCACCCCCACGCCCATGCCCATGCACCCAGGAGGCTGTGCTAGAGGCAGCACCGGAGGAGGAGGAGGTGGGGGGGAAGGGGAGGGGGCCGTCCCAGCGGCACTTGACGACGTAGGGGGAGAGCTTCTTCCACCGCACCTGCAGCGCTTGCAGTGCGCGGAACACCTCCCCCATCACCTCCATTGGGTGCGCGCGGGACTGATGATGAAGGAAAGGAGGGGGGGATGGAGTGGGGGGAATCAGGCCTGTTAATGACACAAAGAGTCACCTGCAGCGCTTGCCGTGCCTGGAACACCGCCCCCATCACCTCCATTGGGTGTGGGGGAAGGGGAGAGAATGGAGGGGAGGGAGGATGAAGAGGGAATTGGGGAGAGTGAGCGGCGATGGAGGAGGAGGAAGGGGAGGATGGTGAGGGAAGAGGGTGAACAGAAAAAGGTGATGGAGGAGGGGAGAGGGGTGAGGGAGGGGGAGGAGACCTTCACCTGCAATATTGCATTGCCTCTCCACACACTCACACACAGATGCATGCACACAAGCACATTAACCCCCGTGCCTGAGCAGGCCCACAACCATGCACACATACACACATACACACATACACATACACACATACACACATACACACATACACATACACATACACATACACATACACATACACATACACATACACATACACATACACATACACATACACATACACATACACATACACATACACATACACATACACATACACATACACATACACATACACATACACATACACATACACATACACATACACATACACATACACACATACACACTCACGTTCACCCTCTCACCTGCAGACCCAGTGCCCACTTCCTGTCCGCCACAACCCGCTGGTGATTATGCGCCGGGGACCCCGGCACCCCCATGCCCAGCCCTCCACTCCCCCCGCCTCCCCCGCTCCCAACACTCCGCCTCGCCACCAGCGCATGCCCCAGCCCGCCCCTCGCCGCCACCAGCGGGGACCCATCAGCCGCAAGCGCGTGTGAGGCGTGCTGCTGCTGCCCCTCCTTGTGCTCGTTGAACTCCGCGCCCAGATAGCCCGTGGAGATGCGGCGGTGCGAGTCGAGAAGCAGGTAGTAGGCGACTGTGGCCTTGTTGGTGCGCCGCTCCCGTAGGGACTCCGCCAGGTGTTCTTGATCGAACCCCATCTTGGTCACCACCTGAAATATCTCCTCGTCGATCTGACGGTTGTGGGAGGAGAGGGGGAGGGGAGACGGGAACAGGAGGTGGGGAGGAGGGGCAGAGGATGAGGAGAGGGCGGACTCTGCCTTGTGCTCCTGGTCTAACCCCATCCTCGTCACCGCCTGGAATATCTCCTCGTCGCTTTGGCGAGTGTGAGTGTGAGAAGAGAGGAGGGGATGGAGAAAGATTAGAGGAGGGGCAGAGAGAGCGAGAGGAGAGGAGGGTCTCCGCCAGGTGCTCCTGGTCGAACCTCATCTTGGTCACCACCACCTGGCCTAGAATATCTCCTCGTCAATCTGATGGTGGTGGAGAAAACAGCAAGGGGGGCAAAATATATGACGGACTCTGCAAGGTGCTCCTGGTCGCATTCCAGAAATCCAACCTCTCCTACCTCCCCTCACTTTCCCCCCTTCAACCCACCAATTCCTGTCCCCCCGTTCTAGTTCCCCCTTCCATTCCTGAAACCCCCTCTCATCACACATCCCCATCCTGCATCTCACCCCGTTGGCCTGCTTGGCAGCACTGGCTGCAAGCCAGGTATCGCGGGAGCCTGGAGAGGAACTGTGGGTGGTGGAGAGGAACTGTGGGTGGTGGAGAATTACCCCTCATCATCCCCACACCCTCCCCCATCCCCCCTCCCACCCCCTGACCCTGTAACCACGTTGGATCTCATATTGCACCTCTCACCCGCTTGGCCTGCTCGGCGGCGTTGGGTGGCGGAACAGCGAGGTAGCGGGGGAGCTTGGCGAGGAACCAGGGGTGGTGGCGGATCTCGGGGATGGTGATGCGCTTCATTGGGTCCACCAGGAGCATTCGCGGTATCAGGTCGCGCGCACCCGCTGAGAGATGGTGGGGGAGAGCGTAGATGCCTCCCTGCACACAGAAAGCATCATGGGGCACGGTCATGGGCACAGGATGGTGATGCGCTTCATTGGGTCCACCAGTAGCATGCACGGTATCAGGTCGCATGCACCCGCCGACAGGTGGTGTGGGAGGGCATAGATGCCGCCCTGCAAAGGCAGAAAGCCATACGGGGGGCGGGCGGCGGGCATGGGCATGTCATGGTTGGAATGGTGATGCGCTGCGCTTCATGGGGTCCCCTAGTAGCATTCGCGGTATCAGGTCGCGCGCGCCTGCTGAGAGGTGGTGGGGCAGGGCGTAAATTCCACCCTGCAAAGATGTGAAGGGGATGCGGGGGCACGGGCAAGGGTGGGGTATGGTTGGGATGGTGATGCGCTTCATGGGGTCCACTAAGAGCATGTGCGGTATCAGATCGCGCACGCCTGCTGATAGATGGTGAGGAAGGGCGTATATGCCGCCCTGCATGATGGGGAGAGAGGAAAGTGAGAGCATGGGCATGAGAACAGGATGGTTGGGATGGTGATGCGCAGCATGGGGTCCACTAGTAGCTTGCACGGTATTAAGTCGCGCGCCCCTGCAGAGGGGATGTGAACTGAGGCCAGTTCACAAGGGGTTGTGAAGTGGGGACAGTTCACAGGGGGTTGTGCACGCTCATACGCTGCACCGCCCGCTCATACGCTGCACCGCCCGCTCATACGCTGCACCGCCCGCTCATACGCTGCACCGCCCGCTCATACGCTGCACCGCCCGCTCATACGCTGCACCGCCCGCTCATACGCTGCACCGCCCGCTCATACGCTGCACCGCCCGCTCATACGCTGCACCGCCCGCTCATACGCTGCACCGCCCGCTCATAAGCTGCACCGCCCGCTCATACGCTGCACCGCCCGCTCATACGCTGCACCGCCCGCTCATACGCTGCACCGCCCGCTCATACGCTGCACCGCCCGCTCATACGCTGCACCGCCCGCTCATACGCTGCACCGCCCGCTCATACGCTGCACCGCCTGCTCATATGCTGCACCGCCCGCTCATACGCTGCACCGCCTGCTCATACGCTGCACCGCCCGCTCATACGCTGTACCGCCCGCTCATACGCTGCACCGCCTGCTCATACGCTGCACCGCCCGCTCATACGCTGCACCGCCTGCTCATACGCTGCACCGCCCGCTCATACGCTGCACCGCCCGCTCATACGCTGCACCGCCCGCTCATACGCTGCACCGCCTGCTCATATGCTGCACCGCCTGCTCATACACTGCACCGCCCGCTCATACGCTGCACCGCCCGCTCATACGCTGCACCGCCCGCTCATGCGCTGCACCGCACGAACCTACACTGCACCGCACCACACCTTGATCTTCTTAAAGAGGTTGGGGATGTTTTCGTCATCGAATGGCAGGGTTCCACACAGCAGCGCGTACAGAATCAACCCAACCATCACCCACCATCACCGCAACCGCACCTTGATCTTCTTGAAGAGGTTGGGAATGTTTTCATCGTCGAATGGAAGGCTGCCACACAGCAGCGCGTACAGAATCACCCCGCAGCTCCACACGTCCACCTCGGGACCTCCGTACAGCCGCCCTGATATCACCTGACGAAGGGTGTACGGGAGGGGGCGAGGATGGATGTACAGGAGTCAGTCCGGCAAGTGATTGATACCAGCTCCACACATCCACCTTCCCTGTAATCACCTGAAGGGAGAGGGAGAGGTGGGGAGGATGGGAGGGTGGGGGGGCGAGGAACGGGTCTACAGAGGTGAGTCGAGCATTCAGAGTTCCAAACCAACTACATACATCCACCTCGGGACCTCTGTACAGCCGCCCTCCCTGATATCACCTGAGGGAAAACAGGGAAAGGCGGGAAAAGAGGGAGAATGATTTACAAGTAACTGAAACTAGCTCCACACGTCCACCTGGAGACCTCCTTACGGCTGCCCAGGTGTCGCCTGAAAGGGGTTGGGCAGGCGGGATGGCAGAAGCCAGAGGGCAGAGGAGAGGAGGGAAGAGGAGAATATGACGTGACAGAGCCAGTGTTGAAAGATTCCGTGAGTGAAAGTCAACAAGCGTACCATTGACAAGCCACCTGGGTCTTAAAAGTTCCTCTATCAAGCAACAGCAGCTTTGCAAAACCATGCATTTGCCCCATTCATACCTCCGGAGCAGCGTGGTTGGCGCTGCCGCAGGACGTCTTGAGGAAGTGGCCGTCACGCATGACGTTGCTGAGCCCAAAGTCAGCAACGTTTACATCAGCTCACACTGAATGAATGCCATCTGAATCGCCCACACGTACCTCAGGAGCAGTGTAGTTGGGGCTACCTGGCGACCATATATCGGGAGCTGCATAGAGCTGCAACTGCCGTACCTCAGGAGCAGTATAGTTGGGGCTACCTGGCGACCATATATCGGGAGCTGCATAGAGCTGCAACTGCCGTACCTCAGGAGCAGTATAGTTGGGGCTACCTGGCGACCATATATCGGGAGCTGCATAGAGCTGCAACTGCCGTACCTCAGGAGCAGCGTAGTTGGGGCTGCCACAGGACGTCTTGAGGAAGTGGCCGTCGCGCATGACGTTGCTGAGCCCAAAGTCGGCGATCTTGACGTTGCCCTTGGCGTCCAGCAGCAGGTTCTCGGGCTTTAAGTCGCGGTGCACCACCATGTTGCGATGGCAGTACTCTATGCCGCTCACAATCTGAATTGTGGCAGGAGGCGGTGGGTGGGGGGGAGGGGGGCGCGAGGGAGGGGGGGAAGGGGGAGGAGTTTGAAGGGATACAAGTGGGGATGGGCTTTAAGTCGCGGTGCACCACCATGTTGCGATGACAGTACTCGGTGTCACTCAAGATCTGAACCACGGGAGGTGGTTTGGAGTGATCGGAGGGAGAAGGGGGGGGGGGAACAGGGAGGGGGAAGGGGATATGGAAAGGGAGAAAGAGGCTAAGGGGAGGTGAGGAGGGAAGGGATCTGAGCGGTTTCTAAAAGTCATCAATGCAGCGGTCCCAATCAAAAGACCAAGTTCATTGAACGGCAGTTCTCAACTCTCAAGGCCTCCCACGCGGTGCGAGAGCATGAAGCGCCTTTACAACCTCACACGCCTGTTTAAAGTAAAACGTTAGAAACATGCACTTGTTATAACGACTGCATGTTGTAGGGAGCACACACTTGCTGGACGAATCGCTGTGCCGTGGCCTCAAACAGACGCCCCTTGTCCAAAATGCAGTCAAGTCTAACTAGCTGCCACCAGCGCCTTTACCACCTCGCAGCACCAACCTGAGCGCAACACCCACCTGCTGAAAGAACCGCCGAGCCTCGCCCACGAGAAGGCGGCCCTTTCCCACAATGCCTGCTGGCGAAGATGCCTGTTGGCGAAGATGCATACTGGCGTTACCACCGTAGCACCATTCTGAGAGTAACACCCACCTGCTGGAAAAAACGTCTGGCTTCATCCTCAAGTAGCCGCCCCTTCTCAACGATGTAGTCAAAGAGCTCGCCCGCTTTGATTTACTCCATCACCACGACGATGACTCTTGAGGCGCCTCTACCACCTTGCGGCACCATTCCACGGGCAGGCAACACACACCCACCTGCTGGAAAAAGCGTCTAGCTTCATCCTCGAGCAAGCGCCCTTTCTCAACGATGTAATCAAAGAGCTCGCCCGCCTTGACGTACTCCATCACCACAAAGATGTCCGCGGGCGTCTCGATGACCTCGTATAGCCTGATGATGTGCGGATGCATGAACAGCCGCAGGATCTTGATCTCCCTCCGCACTGCCAAGAGGTGGGGGGGGAGCGGGGAGGGGGGGTGCAGGAATGCGGGGGTGAAAGGGGAGGAGATGAGTGAGAGGGGAATTGCGGCCGAAGGGCGTCTCAATAACCTCGTATAGCCGGATAATGTGCGGACGCGTGAAAAGCCGCAGGATCTTTATCTCCCTCCGCACTGCCGGGTGGAGTGGGGTTGCAGGGTGTGGTGGTGTGGGGTAGCGGGTGTAGGGTTGCGGGATAAGGGGGGTCGGGGGTTCAGGGGGATGTACGGTATGAACGTAAGGAGAGACAGATGCATGGACAGATATATGAAGAGCGAGAATGCCAGTGGGATGGGGAAGTGGAAGGAAGGAAAGAGTTGAATGGGAGTTAAAGCTTAATCGCTAACAGGAACCGGAGACTAAGAAGCTCGCAAATGCCAAGCAAGTGATGGTACAAGATATAATAAAATTCGAGAAAACCAGGTGTTCATGAATTTCACGCGCTTAGGGTTCCAAGACCGAAAATCAGGGTCGGCGTACCTTTTTCCTCCATGTCCATGGATCTAATCTTCCGCCGGTTCAGGATCTTAATCGCCACTTTATGTCCCGTTAGTACGTGCTCCGCTACCTTCACCTTGCCGAACGACCCCACACCCAGCGTCTTCCCTAACCGATAGTTCGGCAGGTAAAACTCCGCATTTGCTCCGCTGCCACGTGGCGGCGCAGGCGCGCCCTCCATGGCTGATGTGGCGACGTCTGAAACCTAGATTAGTCAGTATTCAAGCGGAAAAGGTGTGCTTTTTACACATGGACTGCTCACGGATCCGTGGTACAAACCTACTCTGTGATTATCTACTATCGAAACGTCTGCATGCCCATCTCGTACCTATCGTATACATATGCCACTATGTCGCATTGGTCTCACATCTCACATCTGTCGCGTCGCGAACAGTGTTCCCCAACGACTACAGAAACCAAATCAAGCATTAGGCTGTGCCGGTGCGGTCACGGCAATGCGCTCTATGCCGCGAAACATACGGCAACGCGCCGCGCGAGACACGTGCGAGGTACACGCTGAAGTTTCGTGGGTAAGGATTCTGACTGATCGGCAGCAGGTCAGTGCATTCGTCATTTCACGAAACCATTCGCTGGCCAAGATCGAGTTTAGACTCGTCAGCCATAAACGCTCGAATTGTAGTCTACCATACCACAGCCCAGTTGCCTTCCCACGGCAGGAACTAGTTTAGGTAGGAAGTAGACTAGGTGCGTGCTGGGTGCGATAGTCACTGCTTGACGAGCAACTTTCATCAAAACCAGGGCAGATCTTTTGCGGGAAACTGGATTGACGGCCGTGAGTACTAGCTACTTTCCAGGACCCGCTGAGGTGGACTATCCAACGAATGGCACGGCGTGGTTCGGGGCTGGTGCTTCCCAGAAAATGGACGGCTGCGCGTTTCCTGACAAATTTTCCCACCTCCCAGAAAGTGTAGGTATGTATTAAGTGCACTTGAACTTAATACAGCAGTACAGTAATCTTTCTGACGCCTACACTGAATAAAATGTACAACAATAATCAGCCACTAAAGCCGTAGCCCACAATGCACAAAGCTATATAGCAGATACTTCATGAATCCTATCATCTTGAGCTTCCAGAGCCAGAATAGAACCGTGTAGATGCACACCGCAAGCTCTCTGCAGTGTCGGCCCCCGTTAAAGTATTCACTCCAGAAGCCCTCAAGCACAGTTGCTTCAACTGCAGAAGAGAATTTGAAAGGATTAGAGGACAGATTAGAGAGTGTGCAAGTCTTCGGACAGAAGCAACTCTTACAAACCAGAGAAACACCCATACTTACTTGATACTTGTCAATGATGGCATCAGTGAAGTCAGCCCCAGTGATATCAGCTCCTCCTAGGTCAGTGAGAGCCAGCCACGCCCCTCGCAGTACAGCGTTGCGAAGATCTGCATCATTCAGTACTGCTCTGTCAATCAGGGCATCTGATAGATCAGCTCCTGATAAGTTCGCCTTGTACAAGACCGCCTAGGAAGTGAAAAACAGAAAAGTCAGATAGAGAGAGAAGGTTCATTAAACGGCAGGAGAACAGACAAACTGGAGTATTCAACAACGTGAGTCATAGCCTAACATGAGAAGTGACATGGCTCTATCCAGCACCATGGCGAGCAGATATAAGAAAGATCGATTTGACATGGCATACCTTAGTGAACATGGCCCCTCGAAGGTCAGAACCATGCAGGTCGGTGCCACGAAGGGAAGCTTCCATGAAGGTCGCGCCTTGCAGATCAGACACTGACAAATCTTGGCCATCCCTCTTGACGTACGACTCGTTGATTTGCTGATCAATGGAACATATTTTAGATACAATAAACATTGTGACAGATGAAAAACAAACGCAGGAAATTGGTACTTTAGGGCTAAAACTTTTTCTTCTTGCTCTTTACTCCTTCTGCCATGTAAACATATTGATGGCCAATCTCTTACCTCTTGCACTCGCGGTCTTAGCGTCTGAATGTCCAACAGCGCGTCATTTTCAGCAGCAGCCATGGCTGGACTCAAGGCGAGCAGCAATGAGCACGAAGCGGCTGCGAGCGCCACGGCTGTGATGCGCATGTACGGTGGAATGCAAAGCGTGGCAAGGCTGATCGCTGAATTTCCCTGATGAAGATATTGCGATTCGTCAACCCGTTGCATGGCCGTGATTACACGAGCGGAAGCAATCCGATGGCTTTGGAAGGAAGGCCGACGTTGAGAAGGCCATTCAGCGAGAGTGGAGGCTGCAAGGCGCCTAATGAGTCGCGGTGAGCATGGTAGATTGCATCGGGATAGACAGGATCTAGCAGATCCATCCGTCCCGATGAGCCATTGTGGGGGTGAAGCGGTGATGGAGGCAGGACACCGAATGCTAACCAGAAAAGCGGCCATAGCTTCGTAATTATGCCTTGCTTGACTATGCGGGCTCCTCAACCAAGTAAAATTTATTGATTAGTAAGGAGGTGTCCAGCTCGTTCATTTACTGTTCGTAAAGCCCTTCAGTTACCACAATTTGAGTTGTAACACTGAGTTTTACAAAAATGCCAGACACGATCAGCTCCCGTTCACGATACGGCACACCCCCTGCACGTACCTCGAATCGTGTGACGCACGTTACAGGAATCAGCGTGCGCATCGAACAATGGTACAGAGCCGCGTCCTGCCCACTACAGTGAGTGCCCATCGTATCGCGAGCTTGATTTCGCATGTGCCGCCTGACACTCGCCAAAACCTATAGTGGAAGTGTTGGCCTGGCGAAAATTCTAACGCTTTGGTTGACGAGGGAACTGTTTACCTTGGTTGCCACACGGCCCCTGCACTGTTGAAGTCTGTGTGGGGGGATGGTGTCCGCGCGCCAGAATGACAGAAAGGGTGGACTCGAGCAAGGCACTCTCGTTTATAGGTACAGTGTTCAGTTTTGAACCCCGGATCGTGAGGAGGTACTAGATTTCCCGAAATGAACGAGCTGGACACGCCCTAATGGCAATAGAGAAAATAGAGAACTAGAAGTCATGGGGGGATGATGTGGGACATGGATCGTGCTGTGTCGATGCAATCCGTCAAGAGTTCACCCCAAATTAGGGTGGGCGAAAGTGAGCGACTAGCAAGCAAAGTTCGCCCTCGGATGTGTACACGGTTGACTCTCGCCAATCTGCTCGTCACAAAATGATTCGCGATCGACAACTCAGAAAAAAGCCCCAATCAACGAACTCCTCCACCTCCACCAAAAACCACTCAAATGTCCCCTCAGAGGAAAAACGACAATTTCGCGCCTGAGCATGCTGGGCTGAGGTGGTGGGCCGGGTACTTGAGTGTGCAGAAGCTTTGAAACCCGGTGCACCGGGGAGGGCCATGGCATTCCGTACCACGTCATTCATCACTCCATTCGGCTTGATCGATGCTCGGAGCAACCGATCGAGACGAGACCACTGATTCGTGTCTTGCCAGCAGTGCTAGGCCGCGCAGCATGGCGTCGAGGCAAGATTGCCTGTTATTCACCACGTACCTGCCAGACTTGGTCTCTTATGGTCGTTCTTTCGAGTTCGAATAAATAATGTCCTTCAGTGAGATAAAGAGAAAGCTGCTTGTCGTGTAACGCTGCTCAGAATTCACGCCAGTATGAAGCTTCCCTTGATTCCGATTTTAGTTGCATGCTTCGTTGGGGTAAGCTCGATGTAGGTTTCAATCCTTCACTGACACATCAGGGAAGCGTCGACTCCCCTTCACAGTCCCTCCAGGGCACTGACAAACTCTCGAGTCTGGATTGCAGGTGCTTTTCTTCCAATGGCTCCTTCTCGACAACGCCATCTCCATTTCTAGGTTTGACACGACGGCACCACTTGTCCAGTTTCATGCCGTTCCGCGTTCACTTCGACAGAAAGTAGGTTTCGTTCAGCAGACCCCCGATGCTACTCAGGCTGATCGTCTCCTGCGCAGATCAAGTAAGCCGCCAAGCTCTCATGCGCTTGAAGCAGCTTTTAATGAGACCGTTACATGGGTGGATGAATTTGTAAATATCGGCGAAAAAACTCGTGAAATTCCACAGGTCAACAGGGAGAAAGAGCTTCCCGAGTATTTCAGGTTCATAGAAGACGACCTCCGGCCATGGAGGGAGAGAGGCGGCATCCCACAGGAGGCGCTCGCTAACGCACGCGCCGTAGGAGCATCCTTCCGTGCGCTTATTGTGAACGGCCAACTCTTTGTGGAGCACTATGCGGTAAGATTATACAACACTCGTGTCCATTCACCACGGATGATGAGGATGCAAATATCTTTCAGTAAGCAGCAGCTTTCTTCGTCTGTTCTGCTTGTTGAATGATTCAATCTGCCTGCGGTTTACCTCGTTTTATGTTCAGGAATGTTATCAAACCCGAGCGCTTTTCACGCTGTGGGGAATCCTCCAACTCTTGCGCAGCTACCCTCCCTGCCCAGCTTCTTCTCCCCGTGCCGCTGATGCATCAAATAGTAGAGCAGCAAATTACAGTGTAACGATGACAGACGTAACAGGCAACGTGTCATGGTGTGTGCCTGACGTGGATCTGATGTTTGAGTGCAATGATTGGCCGCTGGTGGAGAGAGCTGTCCATGCAGCTGCCGCCCACCCCCCGCCACTGTTGCTCAAGTACTGTAGCACGGCCCGGCACATGGACGTGGTGTGGCCTGATTGGTCCTTCTGGGGCTGGTGAGTGCATCTGGAATCAGGCTATTGAAAACTTTTGGTTAATACCTGACTCTCCATGAACATGCAGCTGGCAAAATCTGATGCAATTTGAAGCTGAAGAATCCGTGCACCTTAAGAACGTAACAGTTCTGAGGCGCCACTAGTTGTGCTGGTTTCTTTTCACAGGCCTGAAGTGCGAATCTGGGAGTGGGAAACGGCAAGGAAGCTGATCAAAGAACGCACAGGTTCAATTCCCTGGAGGGACAGAATCCCTCGTGCACACTGGAAGGGCGCCACGTGGGTTGCCCCGGACCTCAGGGGTCATCTGGTCAACTGTAGCAGACAGGGGGGAGGGGAAGGAGGGGAAGATAGCGAAGAGGGTGCTGGCGGAGGCGGTGGTAAGGAAGGGGGGATGGTGGGGGAGGATGCGAAAGGTCAGGGGAGTGAGGGGAAGGAGGCAGAGAGGGATTGGGGAGTGGATGCGTGGGATACGAAATGGGTGCATGAGATTGCAGAGGAGACCACGCGATTGGAGAATCAGTGCACGCACAGGTGGGTTGATGGCAGCACAGGTGGGTTGATGGCAGCACAGGTGGGTTGATGGCAGCACAGGTGGGTTGATGGCAGCACAGGTGGGTTGATGGCAGCACAGGTGGGTTGATGGCAGCACAGGTGGGTTGATGGCAGCACAGGTGGGTTGATGGCAGCACAGGTGGGTTGATGGCAGCACAGGTGGGTTGATGGCAGCACAGGTGGGTTGATGGCAGCACAGGTGGGTTGATGGCAGTACAGGTGGGTTGATGGCAGTACAGGTGGGTTGATGGCAGCACAGGTGGGTTGATGGCAGTACAGGTGGGTTGATGGCAGTACAGGTGGGTTGATGGCAGTACAGGTGGGTTGATGGCAGTACAGGTGGGTTGATGGCAGTACAGGTGGGTCCTGTTGTGGATCACACATCATTCTTGTGCAAAGAGAAGCCTCACACACAGGCTTCGCCCTTGAGTATGGTGCCCTTTCGGATTTAAATCTCCTCACTTGTCGTGTTAGTTATTTTCTCTGCAATGCTGTTCCTGCTTAATGCATGGCGAGTGTAACCTTGGTTGGCAGGTATAAGGTGTATGTGGAGGGGACTTCATGGTCATGCAGTCTGAAATACATCCTCGCTTGTGCTTCCACACCCATATTCATCAAAACACAATACTATGATTTCTTTTCAAGAGGGCTACATAACGGCGTACATTTTATTGAGGCACCTCTTCCAACCGAGTCACCTATATGCCCCAGCCTCAAGGTAAGCTTGTAGAGCGTGAACTTCAGTTGACGTTCCTTTTTCCACTCTCCTTACCTTAAATCTATTTCATCCTTGTGATGTATCATGTACTCTTTCTGGACAGAGAATTGTTGATTGGGGTAATGAGCACCAGCAGGAAGCAAAGGCAATTGCAGCTGCTGCTTCAGACTTCGTGCAGGACAAGCTCTCAATGGAAAATGTGTACAAGTACATGCTTATGTTCTTGAATCAGTATGCCTCGCTGCAGCTGTTTGATCCTTCGCAGTTGCCGCGCGAAGGCATGCAGCTAGCAACCACGGATTTGCTGATGCGAGAAGCACCGGCTGCATTCAATAGTAGAGAATTTCTCAGCAGTATCTGATGTGATATGACCAGCACTCTTAGTGAAGCTTGGGATGAACTCCTGTATATAGTATTTCAAATGGTACAAGTTACGAATGTTTTTTATTGCAGAAACTCGATTCCCTGCAGGCTTATGTCGAGCATGTATTGTGCGCACTGCAAGCTATGTTTGAATCTGGGACTTGATTTCAATCCAGCCAGCGCTCGTTTTACTCAGGCAGTTTGCTTCCGAAAGCGACCACTCTAGCTAGTCTGTAGTGACTAAATCGCCGTGCAATGGTGATGGAGAAATCAAAACGAGCGCGCGCGAGCGATGCGGGCGGGAAAGAGGCGAAGAAGGCTGCGGGGGCGAACGGACAAGCGGCGGCGACAATGGCGGAGGAGAAGCTAGCGGAATTCGTGGAGAAGATGCGGAAACTGCACGAGGAGATCGAGGAGGTCCGCATCTGACGTAGATTAGGGTTTTTTTTTCCGGACTTTGCTCCGCTGGTTGTTCGCTGGCTATACTTTCTGGCGAACCCTGAACCTCGTACACACCCTGTACCCGTTATCAGATCCGCCATCATCCCGTTTTGGCAGTTCTTTGTTACTACAACTCCTTCTCGATTTCGCCTTCCACCGTGGCCATACTTTTTCGCCTGCGCTGCGCGCTTCTTTCTCGCATGCGCGGTGCGGCAGGTGACGGACAAGGCGACCGAGGAGGTGCTGGAGGTGGAGCGCTCGTTTGTGTCACAACGCCGGAGGCCTCTGTACGATAAGCGCAAGGCCGTGCTCGATAAGATCCCGCACTTCTGGCAAAACGTGGTAAGCACTTCTGGCAACACGTGGTACGCACTTCTGGCAACACGTGGTACGCACGCGTGCTGTCACGCCTCTCCGATTTGCCTCTCCGCGATTGTCGGCCATTTTGTCGTATCTTTCTTCCTTTCCCCTGTCCCTCAACCCCTCTCCCTTCTCCCCTCTCCCCCATCCCCCGTTCCCTGTTTTCAATCCACTCTCTCTATCACCCTTCTCCTTTCCCCCTCTTTCCCACCATTGCCCCTTGCCCTCCCCTTTCCTCCTCAATCTACTCCCTTCTCTCCCCTCTCTTCCATCCCTCCCCCCGGTGCTTCTAAGGTGCCATACGGTACAGCACGGTGGAGCAGGATGTGCAGCTGCTCAAGCACCTTCTTCCCTTCCCTTCTTCCGTTCTCGCCATCTTTACCCACCCCTCTTCACCGCACTGCACCTCTCCTCACAATTCGTCACCACCCCTCTTCCAGCTGTGCAACTGCGGTGCCATACGGCACAGAACGGTGGAGCAGGACATGCAGGTGTTGAGTTGAAGCACCTTCCTTCCTTCCCTTCTCCCCTTCTCCCTTTACTCCATCTTCCCCACGCTTCCCCTCTCTGCACTCTCCTTCCAGCTGTGCAACTGCGGTGCCATACGGCACAGCACGGTGGAGCAGGATGTGAAGGTGTTGAAGCACCTCACGAGTCTAGACGTGGAGGAATGCAAGGAGGAGGGCGATATCGGTTACACCATCACCATGGTGAGACGTGGTTACCATGTTACTGTGTGGGAATTTCGTTAACAAGATGCGGTTACCTGATTGGTTGGAACATGGTATGTGAGGTGGAATCATGTGGATCAGGACCTTATCAGGACCTTATCAGGACCTTCTCAGGACCTTCTCAGAACCTTCTCAGAGCCTTCTTGCTCGTACCCATACCGTTCTTTTCCCCATTTTCCCGCCGCTCCCATCTCCCCTCCTCACCAGACGTTCAGTCCGAATCCGTTTTTCAGCAACGAGACCCTCACACGGGCGCTGATAATGCAGGATGAGCTCACTCTGCGCGTCACAGGCACTCGCATCAACTGGAAGGAGGGGCAGGTGGGTTGGGAGGTGGGGTGGTAGAGAGGCTTGGGTCGGGTTTTGGGCTGCGTGTGTTGAGTGGGCTTGGGACACGGCTTTGGTCGCTGGTGATGCAGGATGAGATCACTCTGCGTGTCACAGGCACTCGCATTAACTGGAAGGAGAGGCAGGTGCGTGGGAGGGAGGCTGGGCAGGTTTAGGATGTTGAGATGAGATCTGTCTTAGCCGCTGGTGATGCAGGATGAACTCGCACTGCGCGTCACGGGCACTCGCATCAACTGGAAGGAGTGGCAGGTGGGCAGGGCAAGAGGAGAGGCTTGGGGCAGGTGGGCAGGGCAAGAGGAGAGGCTTGGGGCAGGTGGGCAGGGAGGGAGGGTGGGGCCAGGTTAAGGGTGTTGAGATGGGACTTGTCTTGGTCGCTGGTGATGCAAGATGAGCTTACACTGCACGTCACAGGCACTCGCATCAACTGGAAGGAGTGGCAGGTGCGTGGGAGGGAGAGAGGGGGAGATGGAGTGGGAGGGGAGGGGAGTGAGAGCGAGGGAGAGGTAGGGTAATGACACGATTGGAAGAGGTAGGGTGAGTGAAAGGAAGGGCAGGTGGAGCGGAAGGGGGGAGAGGGACAGGTGAGTTGGCTCCGATGCCTGTGGTGGGTTGGGTAGAGAGGGAGGCAGCTGCGGTGGGAGGGGAAGATGGGCGGGATAGATCACTTTAGGTGGATCATGAATGCGGGGCCGCCGATTCGTAAATGCATGCCACATCATCTGTTATTGAGTAGCCTAACAAACATGCGCCTGGCCCTTTCCTCTTGCACCTCACAGGACTACAGTCACTACACAGCAGCAGGCATCAAGGCATATGTGGACGATGAGGAGGAGGAGGCTCACCCTTTCACCCACATCGCTTCCTTTCTCACGCCCCTCTCCTCTCAACCCCTTTCTCACGCCCCTCTCCTCTCAACCCCTTTCTCACGCCCTCCTCTCAACCCCTTTCTCACGCCCCTCTCCTCTCAACCCCTTTCTCACGCCCCTCTCCTCTCAACTCTCACCTCGCAGGACTACACAGCAGGCATCAAGGCATATGTGGACGATGAGGAGGAGGAGGAGGAGGGGAAGGAGGGGGAAGAGGGCAAGGAGCAGCTCGTCAGGTGAATTGACAGCTCGTGAGGTAATTTGGCAGGTTTCCAGGTGGTGTAAGATTAGTTGGTTCAATCGCCATGCACACCTCCCTCCTGCTGTCTTCCTACTCACCTTTACCCTCCTCCCCTCTCTTCCCCCTCTCCCGCTACACCCCTCTCCCTCCCTGAGTGCATGCGCTGCAGTTTGTTCAGCTGGATGGCATTGGACAACGACCAATAGATCCCCACGTAGGAGGCAACATGGCATCTGACAACGACTATCCCATCTCTGCACGTGTCTTCCTACTCACCTTTACTCTCCTCCCCTCTCTGCTCCCTCCCCCGTTGCACCCCTCTCCCTTCCTGCCTCCTCGCGCTGCAGTTTGTTCAGCTGGATAGCATTTGGGGACGACGACCCCATCTCTGTCGCGAATGACGATGTGAGTGGGGAACAAGGGGAAGGGAGAGGTGTGAGGATGGGGTAGGGGGAGTGGTGTGGATGTGGAAAGGAGGATATAGATAATGGGGGGGGGGGAGAGAGGGAGATGACCCCATTTTCGAAGGGAGGTGGGTGTAGTAGCGCAGCTTTCGGGTTTTAGAAGGGGACTGTTCACCTGTATGCCGACACTGCGTTCCAGGGATGTGAAGCGTGGGCCTGTTCGTCCACACGTGTTTTCAGACGTCTCAAAAGAAGCGTGGGCCTGTTCGTCCCCACGTGTTTTGAGACGTCTCAAAAGAAGCGTGGGCCTGTTCGTCCACATGCCACACACGTGCTTTGATGAATTCCCAGTGGATCCTCAGAAACCGCTCCATGGGCCAGCCAATCATACTGCCTGTTTTACAAGCGCTTTCATTGTTTTCTCCAATGGATTCGCAACAACCGCTCACAGGCGCTGTTTGCGTTGCCCGTTGACCTGCAGATTGGGAATGCCATTCGGGATGATATCTGGCCAAACCCTATCAAGTACTACCACAAGGTAAGGCCATGCGCTTTGAGATGTCTCAATAACGCTTCAAAGACTCTCTCAACTACTATTTCCACAAGTTAGAGTCGTGCTGCTTCTCGTTGTGTTGACCCTCATGTGTCACACCACTCCATATTTTCTCCCTCACTCTCTCAACCCTGTCTGCAACCCACGTATCATGCAATAGCTTTTACCAGCCGTGGTCATCACTCATGACTTGCACCCATTCTCAAAATAACTGGTATTCACATTGCTCCTTCAACAATACAGGATGAGGATTACAGCTGGATCCTCCTCCCCTCCTCTCCCTTCTCCTCTGCCTCTCCCTTCTCCTCTGCCTCTCCCTCACACCTGTACCTTGCAATGAAAGAGGGGAGTGCAGCCTCAAGAGGTGGTAGTGTTCATACTTCCCACCCTCTTAGTGCAATGACTAAATCCTCCCTCTTCCTCCTATCCATGCCTCCTGCCCGTACCTCCCATCCATACCTCCCACCTTTCCTTGCCCTGGCAGGAGGGCGTGCGGCCACGAGAGGAGGTGGAGGAGGACGATGACGAGCCTGAGTTTGGGTTTGAGTACAGTGGGGATGAGGAGGAGGGGGAGGAGGGAGAGGAAGGAGAGGAAGGAGAGGAGGGCGATGATGATGAGGTACGTTGTGAGACTGGTGGGTGTGTGTGACGGTGGCAATACATGGGATGATGGGTCATGGTGGGAGGGATGGGTGAGAGTAATGATGGTAACGGTGGGTGGGGATAATGATGGTAGCAATGGGTTTGGTGCGGTGGTGATGGGTGTGCTATGGTGGCAATGGTGGATGTGTGATGATGGGGGATTCACACGTGTGCTGACAGCTAGTGTCCTGCTGTGATTTTTTTTTTTTTTTTTTTTTTTTTTTTTTTTTATCTCAGTCATGAGACTAGTTGTTTCTCTTCCCTGCTGTTGTTAATGCTGGCTGGCAGGCAGAGGAGGCGGATGAATAAGAATCCTTAAGTGCGCACCTAGATGACCATACCTGCAGCCTTGGGTAATGGGTAATGAGTTACGGGTTAGTTTTACTAATATGGTTTGGATTACTAGCTGGAAGAGCAGCAGTAGCAGAGCAGCAGCAGCAACAGTTGTTAGTGCAGCTGATTAAACAAGATGCTCTGCTTCGAGCTTGAATGACACATGTACAACTATGTAGCATCTACTAGCTTTCCATCATGCATTGTGTACAGTGACTGCACAAATACAAAACAGAGCAGATGAGAATGGACAAGTAGACCCAACAAAATTATCTATGGAGGTACAGAACGGCTAAATACAGGACTACACCAGTTACATAAACTTACTGCAGTAACAAACTATCCAAAAAGTCTTAAAATACCTACATCATACCTCACGCAGGTCTTTAAATTTCTAACCTTACCCCAATAAACCATCTAGGTATGATGCTCAATGCCCATAGGACATGCGCATGCCCGCATGCCCCACACCAGGAAACCCAGCAGCACCGCTACCACTGCCAATCCTGCCAGTGACTGAGAAGTTGGAAGCTCCAGAGCTGCTGGCGGGGAGGGAGAAGCTGTCCAGCGAGGCGGCTAGAGACTTCTTGGTGCAGTCGTACGGGCCCACCTCTGCCTTGCGCACCTGGGTGGTTCAGAGCGGTACGGGGGAGGGAAGAAGACGGGAGTCAATGAAAGCCATGGAGGAAATATTGTGCCCAGAATACACTCGCGAGCACCCAAAAATGCTACTCAACCGGAATGACTACTCACAGGTGACCAGGGATTTCTGGGCGGTAATGGCTGCTTGGTCATCATTGGCGAGTTAAGTACCCTCCCTCCTTTCTTCTCAAGAGCAACCTGAAACACAACACAACCAGAGACCAGACACAGTGAGAGCCGTGAGCAGAAGGTAGGACAGCCCAGCGTTTTTCAAGCACTTCCCAGCAGTCACACTCCATAACACAAAGCCATCCATCCACCCACCAGCAGTCACGCCACACACTCACCACGCCCAGCGCCTCCGCCTCCAGAACCTTCCTCATAAACGGATCTAGATCCTCTCCTTTCGCCCCCACCGCTGCCTTTGCCTGTTCCACCCCTCCCCCCTGCTTCTCCGCGCTCCCAGGAGGAGTAATCTCCCCTTCTTCCTTATCCCCCATCTCCCCTCCTCCCTGCTTCTCCGCGCTCCCAGGAGGAGTAATTTCCCCTTCTTCCTTCTCCCCCATCTCCCCTCCCCCCTCCACCTCTGCTTCAGGGGACGCAGGAGCAGTGAACATACCCCTGCCAGACGCACCCAGCGACCTGCCTCTGCTCGCACTACCACCCTTCTGAGAAAGTAAGCTCCTGCTCTCGCCCTCCTGCCCCTCCTTGCTCTCCTCCTCCGCCTCAGGCGAGGCAGGAGCTGTATACATGCCCGCTTCAGAGGAAGATGCTGCAGACTGCAAGCTTGTGCTCGGAAGGGATGACTTGTGAGGCGGCTCAGAAGGCTGCTCACTAGTGCTCGAGAGAGGTGCCTGGGGAAAATCTGGCTTGGGGAAGGCCCCTTTGAAGAGGTCTTTCCTGGCGAGGTCGGATTTGAAGAGGTCAGTCTTGAGCTGCTCTGCTTTGAACAGGCTCCTTCTGGGGAGGGTGGGGCTTTCAGCCGCTGGAGTTGGCATTGCCTCGTGGTAGCTCTCCTCCTGTTTTTGCTGCTGCTGCTCCACCTCCTCCTCGTGCTGCTGCTGCTGCTGCTGCTCCGCCATTGCTGACGACGACTGGCGTATTGTGGCAGTCGCTGGCGTCCCACTTGCTGCCACGTGGACCTCCTGAGCCTTCTTGTTGGATCGCTTGGGGCTCTGCACAAGGAAAGGGGAAGATAAGTTCAGGACATGCATCAAGGCCACAAAGAACAAGACTCTCGTGAGGCACGGAGCATCAACCAAGCACACTCAAAAGGGGCACCATGCAAACTTTCAGCAAGGAGCATGGATGCGTGAAGACAGTCCCTGTACCTTGAACAGGCTGGCGATGGGGGATCCAAGGAATCGAGGCAAAGGTGAGGTGCGCCGCTGCTTGCTGTCCCCCCCTCCCTTGCTGCCAGACACGCCTCCTGACGCTGCCACTGCCACTGGAGTAGCCACCGCCACTGGAGTAGTTACTGCCGTTGCAGCAACCCCTGTCACCGCTGCCGCCACTGGCACTGGCACCATAAACATCTCCCCTGGAACAGCCACGGTCCCAGCGTTCAGCTCTGACTCTTTTGGAGGGGTTCGCCTCCTCTCCGCTTGCTCACAGCCGTCGGGCGTCCCAGCGGTTTCAAGCACCTCGCCCACCCACTCGCCCACCTTCTCCGTGCTCGCCCACGCCCCCCTCTCCCCCTCCTTCTGAACCGTCTCCACACTCGCACCACTCTCCCCCGTCTCCACCTTGCCAGCCCTCCCAGGCGACTTTTGTGGAGTGCACACAACTGACCCACCCTTCTCCTTCTTCTCATTCCTCGCCTCCTCCGATTCCTCTCTCTCCCTCTCCGCCGCCACCTTCCTGGCCGATTTCTTCCACGGGCTCCCACCAGCAACAAACACCCCAATCGCCTTCAGAGACAGCCCGTTCCTCCCTTTCTCGCTCTCGCTCCCGCTCTTGCCGCCAGGCGTCTTGAGCCCCTCGTCTGCCGCGTCCTTCCCACCCTCGCCACCTCCCTGCACTGTACCAAACTCCCCTCCAACATCCTTCTCAACCGCACACTCACCCTGCTCCTCCAGCATTTCCATCGCAACCGTCAGCACCCCCCCAGGGTGCACAGCCTGCCTCCGCTCCTCATCCTGCTGCTGCTGCTCCTCTTGCCCGTCGTTGCCAGTGCGTTTCTCTCCAGCCCTTTCCCGGCTGAGCTGCTGCCCAGCATCGCTGCTCCGCGGGGTGGACATGGCGGAGAACGCAGCATCCGCCGCGGCAAGCGCGGACGGCTGCGCCACGCCCCCCGGCACCCAGTGGGTGCCGCTGCCCGCCTTCTTCTCCACCCGCGGGGACGGCTTCTTCTGCGCGCTGCTGCTCCCGCGGAGCGTGCTGCCCGTGTGCGGCGTGTTACTCGCGCGAGGCGTGTTGGTCGCGTGTGGCGTGGTGCTGTGCTGAGACGAGCTGCTCCTGTGCGATGCATTGCTCTCTCGACTCGCTCGAGGGGTGACAGCCTGTGACACACAGCACGACACACGAATCCAGTTGAAAGCATATTAGAAACACTATCACAACGAGTCCAGAACACCAGGTTTGTCACAAGATAACCAGCCATGCTCACCTCGACTTTGGGCTGGGAAGGCCCTGCGTGGGCCTGCTGCGTCTTCTGCTGACCAGCCCGCCCGTGCGTCGCCTCAACCTTACCACCCACACCCGAACCGTGCACCCCCCTCCCCGCTGCCTTCTCACTCTCCTTCCCCACGCCAGCCTTCGCGCCGGACGAGCTCCCGCCAAACCCGAACCTCCCCGTCGCTTTCGGAACGGGAATCCTGGAGGCGAGGCCCAGCAGCTTCGAGTGGTTCGCGGCCACTTTCAGCGCCGCCGCGAGAGGGGACGTCGATGCACCTGGCGCTTTCTCCTTGGCGAGAGCTCCGCCCTTGCTCACCACCAGCTGCTTCCCGCTCGCCACTTTACTGTCCGCCGCCACCCGCTTCGCTCCCCCTTGCCCCACTGCCTGACTGGAACCGCCATAGCCTGCCTTCTCCTTCACTTCCTCCTCTTTCTCCTTGGCAGTTGGTGCTGCCTTCCCGCCGATGCCGAACCCGAACCGTGCCTTTCTCGCTCCCACGCCGCTGACCCGCCTGGAGGTAGCAGCGGGAGCGCCTTTCTTGACAGCAGCGCGATCATCCGCCTTTCCCGCAGTGAACTTAAGTCCAAACAGGCCACTCGCACTGATAGCAGCACCCGCACTGGGAGCTCCTCCCGCTCCGCTGGTACTGCCCTGTGAGGCACCTGCAGATCCCTCCGTGCTCACAGCCTTCACATCCTTGCTCAGCGTCCGTGGTTTCGCAGAAAACACTGTGCGAGCAACAGCACTCGCAACCTTCGCCGTCGCAGAGTTTGCAGCGGCGGAGAAGGCGAACCCAGCAGCAGCTGCGGCGCGGTTCGTGCCGTGACCCCCGCCATGACTCCCCACACCAGCGAACCCCACGCGTTTCCCGGCATCGGCAGACGTCCCAGTGGAGCGAGTCGACGACGTTCGCAGCACGTCCAGCCCCGACCCCCCCACGCCAGACGACGCAGCGCCGTGCACCAGCGAGCGGCTAGCGGGAACGAGACTCGTGCAGTGACTCGTGGATTTAGGCACCCCTGCTCTCGCCGCCACTGCTCCCGCACCCACACCAGGCTTCCCGCCGATGCTCGCACCAGCCCGAACAGCCGGCCTGGGGGGTCCTCCTGCGGTTGCGCTGCCTGACGGCCGGGATTTCACCGCCACAGCCTGCTGACGCTGCTGCTGCCACTCCCGCAGCTGCTGCTGCTTCGAGTCGTTCGAGCTCCGCACGCTGCTCACACTCCCACTCGAGGCTCGATGAGCAGCAGCTGCGCTCGCCTGCGGCGGCATCGGCTCCCGCGCGGCGGCAGGCTTCATCGGGGACGGCGCGCACGCGCGCATGGCCTTGGATCCGCGCCCCACCATCCCGCGCAACGCGCCTACAGGCGCATCCTCAGACTTGGTCACAATCTCCGACTCGGACGCGTGCGAATGTGCATTCCCTGCGGGCTTCTCAGCGCCAGAAGCGGCTAAAACCACCGAGTCTTCCTCCTCGAAACGCACTTCTGCCGTCGCTGTACTCTGCACATCGCGCTGGCCTTCAGTTGCCGTGATCGCGCTCTCGTTCTCCCCACTCACAGAAATCGCATGCGATTGGGCCTCATCGAGCGATTCTTTTTCTTCAGGGAGACGCGATTGCCCAGCGTCATTGGAGTCCTCAACGTCTGTGGACGACTCAAAGCGGCTGTGCAGATCCACTCTCGCCCCGCATGAGCCAACCCCCGCGCCTCCCTTACTCGAAAACTCTGACGACACCGCCTGACGGGAGTGAGAGGAGGTACCGGACGCCGCCGTCGCCCTCTTGCTCCTCTCTGCCGTTCCCGCGTGTGAGGTGGTGCTACCGCCATGCTTCGACTGGCTGCATGACCCAACACCGCCGACAGCGCTCCCACCGCTACCTTGCTTTGCGAGCCTAGATGCGCCCACGCTCTGCTGCCGGCTTGTACCCGTCGCTGTCGTTGTCGCTGACTTGGGAGTCCTGCTCGAACTGGCGGGAGTCTTTGCGCCTGGAGCGGGGGAGGCTGCCGCTCCCTTCGCCGCCTTCGCATTTGACGAATGAAACCCTGAAGACACAAGCAACACACTTGTTGAATTAGCAGTTTGTAGGTAACGCTAACGTAATCCAGGACCATAATCCAAGACAAAAACACATTAGACAACATCCTGACAAAAGCGCTTACGAGGGGCTGCGCCGGGGAGCTTGAGTCGTGTACTTGACGGGCCCTGATCCAACCCTCCCCTTGTCGCACTCTTCGGGACATTCACGCAGTCGCTCGTGCTGCTCTTCTCTACAATGGCCGCTACTTTCTGCTCGCTCGTCATTCTCTGCTGCTCGCTCGTCGCCCTCTGGTGGTCGGCAGCACCAGCTAATTCACTAGTACACATCGCGTCTTGATCATCCTTCGGAGTATTGGCGGATTCTTTAGCAGCGGTGTCTCCGGAAGGGGCGGCGGCATACATGGGAAGAAAAGACAGGTCGACCGGAGGGAGATCTGGCGCAAGCTGGTCATCGTCGTCGTCGAGGTCTAGAAGCGACTCTGCACATAACGAAGATAGAAGCAGGAACTGTGTTGTTATTATCGCGTGCACGAACGCTGAGCGACATGGGTTTGAAGGGCGATTCTGTAATGAGCTTCATTTGATCTGAATCCTGGCTTGGGAAGCACGAACCTGCGTTCTTGTTGAAGAAAGCCTCGTTCCAGGCAGCGCTGACGCGACGATCCTTGCGCACGGATTTCGGCTCAGGAGTCTGAATCTTAGCCAGTGCTGCAGAGGCGCTTGGGTCGGAGCCAGAGCCGCTTGGATCGCTCATCTTGGATACTTCCTTGGATGTGTCATTCTGAGGGTCTTCAGGCCAATCGATGTCGGTCATTCGCTCCATGATAAAGCTGTCATCAATGACTTCGCCGTGCAACTCGTCATCATTCAAAAGACCTGCATGTCAGAAATATGAAAGGTAAGTCTTCTTTTCCCTAGAATGCTGATTGCTTGTACGGATAGATTAGACACCAGGGTTTGTTTCCCACCTTCGTCTTCCAGGAACGCGTTGTTCCATGGCAGGCTCTGTCGTGCGACGCTCCGTCTGCTCTTCCTTCGTGCAGCCGTCGGTGTCGGAGCGAACTTAGACGCAGCGTTGAAGTTAACTGAAACTGGAATGCTGACGTTATTCTCATTGTTCTCCACTAGATTGCAGGTAAGATGTGAGGAGTGATTTAGATTACCAGCACCATTTTTTTCCTGCTGCACGCTGCCATGTATGATGTCACCTCCGCCAACCGTGTCGTTTAAAATTCGCTTCTGAGGTCGCAACGGGGTAATTGCGAAGTCAAATCGTCCTGGGAACTTCTGATTCGCCTCATCTGCATATCAATAAGACATACTCAGTTAGTTTCCTTTACAGCAAGTCACCAGTTAACTCAGAAAACGAACGAGGAGGGTACGATAGGTAGCACTAACCAAAAGCTGATAAGGTATTCAGGCTGACGTTTCCTAGAATCAAGTCGTCCGTCTCCATTGCTGATCGCAAATATACACCACACTGGAAGGCTATGAAATCTAGTAAAAATCCGACGAGATGTCAGATCGATTCGGTAATACCTATGAAGTGATCGCAACTAGGACAAACTTTGCTAGACAATGGCTTCGGCAGGCTAAGACACACCGGATTATACTCCAACGTGAATAGTCAGTTATGCCCTCGAGATCGTCTAACAGTTCGCCATGGAATGACCTTGGGAATTGGGATGAGATAGCTTGTGGTTTGGGTATCAGCAGCGTGGGGGGGAGAGCAAGGTGAAGTGCTTTTTTGGTTGCAGGTTTCAGGCGGTTCGGGTCAGTGAATGAGTCTGTCACAAATTTGGCGGGACGTTTGAAATCCTCGCTCGAGGTGCGAAGCGACAGGTGGGGAAATGATATCCGCGTTACAAAGCTGATAAATTGGACCGTGACTTGGGTACACCGTTTCATTATTTAGATGCTATTTCTCCTCAACACAATATCATTCTCGAAAGGCCACTACACATCTTTGTCACATTCATTTTCACATATACCCGTTTCCCGTACACAGCTCGTTTCTCCGCTACTTGTCAAAATGGCTGCCGCTGATCCTGCTCCAGCGCTAGTGGCTCTGGACAATGCGATCGCGCAGATCGACCTCCTCATCTCCCGCCTCACCGCGTCGTCCGCCTCCTCAGCTGACGTTCCCGTTGCCGCTCAGCCGAAAGCTTCAGTAGCTGAAAGCAATGGCGAGAAGCAGTCGTCAGAAAAAGGGAAAGCAAAAGCTGCGAAACCAGGTGATTTATACTCTGCAGAACCGAGGAACTCCGCATATGCTCCCGCTGAACATCATAGATCGTAGTTCGCCGTTGTCTTTCTGTGATGTTTTTCCTAATTCGTTTGGCTGATCCTTCTGATACTCCGTTCCCTCTCCGCCAGCAGCGCAATCATCAGCTGCTCCAGCGTCAGCGGGGGAGAGCGTAGAGAATTTCGACAAATGCGACATCAGGGTGAGCGTCGAGCGACAACCCGCAAACTTTCGTTAGATCAGCAAACGTCGTCAACAGTTGCCTTCTCCTCTCGCTGTTACCACATTCCTGGCCGTTGGCGAATGACTATTAATGCGAACTTGCAATCTGCGTATCCTGGATAACTTCAAAAGAATAACGCGCCGTCACCCAACTGTATGAGGAGATGCAGTTTTCCCCTTCCTCCGCCTCTCCTCTCCCCGCGCGCAGGTGGCGCGGGTGCAGGCAGTGGAGCCCCACCCGGTGGCGGAGAAGCTTTACGTCTGCCAGGTGGAGGTTGCGCCGGGGGAGGTCCGCCAGGTGAGTAGCGCCAGCACTGCGTATTACTTCCTCGCATAAACGTTTGCGCTCCTCTCTCCATCAATTGTTCCCCCTCTTCTGCTGCCTCAGCCGCTTTACCTCGTGCATGCAGCATGCACGCACCTGCCTTTCCCTATGCTCAACTGTTCCCTGAGGCTCGATCTCTTCTCCTCAAACAACTATCTTCTGCTCACCTGTGTCCGTGTGAACTGAACCCCTCCAGGTGGTGGCTTTGAGGTGACTTTTGAGGCGCCTCAAGACTCAATCTCTTCTCTTCAAACAACTATCTTCTGCTCACCTGTGTCCGTGTGAACTGAACTCCCCCTCAGGTGGTGGCTGGTCTTCGGAAGTTCATCTCGCAGGAGGAGCTGCAGGGGCGGCTGGTGTGTGCCGTGTGCAACCTCAAGCCCGCCAAGCTCGCCGGGCAGCCCAGCCAAGCCATGATGCTCGCTGGCTCGCACCCCTCTGCTGAGGCTGAGGCCGGGGAGGTTGTCAAGGTGAGCAGGCCTGGGCGATGGCTTTTTGAGTCAAGAAATTACTTCTGGCCTCAAACTGAGTTCTTTAGGCGCCTCAGGCTGAGGGGGTTGTGGGGGGGGCGGGGGGGGGGGGGGGGTTGTGCTATGAAGGTGAGGAAGGAGGAATGGGTTATGCATGCGTGTGTCAGTGGCTGTCCAGCACATGGGTCGCGTTGCGCGCTCTTTGTGCTGATGCACCTGAAGCTCCCCACCCACTCCACTGTGCACTCCATTTTCCACTTCGGTTCAATCTCCCAACTGCCCCATCTCCCCCATTTCAACCCATCACCCGAATCTCCTCCCCAACAGCTCATTGATCCGCCCCAAGATGCTGCAGTTGGTGATCGAGTCTGCATCCAGGTACGCACTATGCCTGTGATCACTCCCTGTGCTGATACGCCCTGTCCATGCCTGTATGCCCGCCCTCCTGCATGAGCTGTAGCATGCGTGCAAGCTCACGTGTGCATCCTTTCATGCATGCCTATGTATCCCCCAATGTGCGTGCTTACTTCATACACATATGCATGACCTTTCGGTTTGCCCCATGCCCGTCATATTCCACTTGCTTTTGCCATGATTCACACGTTATTCAAGACTCTCCCTGAATTTTCGTTGTTCTCCTGTCTTAATCTCCCTCGCGTTTCATTCACTCCCCCTGCAACCCCAGGGCCGGCCTGCGAGTGCAGCCCCAGTGAAGCAGCTCAGCTCCAAAGTGTGGGAGAAGGTGGCAGGGCTGCTTCGGGTGCAAGGTGTGTACTATAATCCTGAAATAACAAATGTTCCTATTCACACTTTGTCATCTTTCGCTAAGTCCCCGTTCATATGTATCTGCTGATTCATTCAAACTGATGTGTTGTGTTTTGTTCCCCAGGAGGAGCTGCGATGTTTGATGGGCGGGCTCTAGTCACAGGGGTGGGCGGAGGTATCACTGTGCAAGGCCTAGTTGATGGCAGTGAAATTCACTGAACTGAGAGAATTACGGTAGGATTGGGTCGCACATCACCTTGTATGTTTTAGCTAGAATAGCTAGCTATTCATATTCATGTAAAATCAAATTATGCTCTAGCTGGATTATCTAGCTATTGGTGTGCATGAAAAATCGTTGTAGAAACGAGTGAGTCGCGCTGACTGACGCACGGTAATTATCTTCCATTGGTACTTTTCATGTCTTCGCTGGAAGAGTGCGAGGACATCCCAAGATTCCCCGCATTACCGTTGCTGATTCGAGCAATTCTGCTTCAATCGTGTCGACTAGTTGACATCTCTCCCCCATTGAATAAATGGTTCATGCTTGAATAGAAAAGGTACCATTCCACATTGTTCCGAAGCAACCTACTCCGTGGATCCATTACAAGTGAATGAGCGATGACGCTGGTTAGTTTTCTAACGGGGTCACGCGTCGTCCTTCCTTTCAAGCACACCAGCTTGCGTCACCACGGGAGCTTGTCAACTCGCGGGTTACCATTTCGCCGCGACGATGCGACGGCACTCTCCGGAATCTCGGGAATCTCCCAGAATAGCCGTTCGCTCGCCGTGACTGCGCGGTTCAGTCGGGACCGATCCGACGAGCGGCGAAGGGGGAATGCCACTGTTAGAGACGACTTAGCTCCAGGGGGGAGCCGGGCTCGGAGAGAAAATGGGGAATGGAGTGAGAGCGAGAGGCGTTTTGCTGGTGAGAGCAGGGGGAGGGGAGAGGGAGAAGATCAGAGGAGTACGGTGAGGGGAGATGGTGGAAGAGTTGGTCCCGAAATGGGTGGTGATTATAGGCGGAGTGCGTATAGAGGGGTGGAGAGCGATGGAGGGGAAGGTCGTTGGGGGGGCAGAGGAAGGGGTGGTTTAAGCGGGAGAGAGCGAGGGGAGAGGGACAAGGGGGGACAGGCGCGGGAGGGTTCAGGGTTCAGGGACAGAGGGGGGTTTAGCGATGGCGATGGCGATGAGAGGGTTCGTTATAAGGAGGACCGATATGCGTATGGAAGTGCGGGTCGAGAGGGGTATGGGAGGGAGCGAGGAGTTAGGGGATATGGAAGGGGAGAAGGGTTGATGGGGATTGATGAGGCAAGGAGAAGCGAGAACGAGAGGCGAGAGGCGTATGGGGATGAAAGGGAGCGGTTCCCAAAGGGTTCAGAGCGGTACCAGGGGGTAAGAGAGCGGTACTCTGGGTATGGCAGGGAGAGTGGGGGGCGAGGAGGCGGAGAGGGAGAGAGGGTGTATGGGGGAAGGGGTGGGCGGAGGATTGAGGAACGGTGGGGCGAATCAGGGGAGAGTGGGGTTGAGCGGAGCGAGAGGTCGGGGGATGGAAGGAGAGAAGGGGGAGATGGGGAAGGGAGGAGGGGTTATGGGGAGAGAGAGGGGGTCGATTATGGGAGGAGAGATAGGGGCGGTTATGGGGGGACAGAGAGGGCGGGATATGGAAGGGGGGACAGGGGCGAGTATGGTGGAAGGGGCAGGGGGTCGTATGGGGGGAGCGAGAGGAGTGTTTATGGGGGGAGCGAGAGGAGTGGTTATGCGGGAAGGGAGAGGAGTGAGTATGGGGGAAGGGAGAGGAGTGAGTATGGGGGAAGGGAGAGGAGTGAGTATGGGGGAAGGGAGAGGAGTGAGTATGGGGGAAGGGAGAGGAGTGAGTATGGGGGAAGGGAGAGGAGTGAGTATGGGGGAAGGGAGAGGAGTGAGTATGAGGGAAGGGAGAGGAGTGAGTATGGAGGGAGGGAAAAGGGTGACTATGGAGGGAGGGAGAGGAGCGAGTATGGAGGCAAGGAGATGGGCGGATTAGAAGAAAGAGGGAGGGAGGGGTACAGGGGAAGAGAGAGGGATGATAATGGGGTGAGAGGGAGAGGGAGGGGGGATTATCGGGAAAGAGGGAGGGGCGACTATGGGAGTACAGGGAGGGGCGAGTATGGGAGTACAGGGAGGGGCGACTTTGGCAGGAGAGGAAGGGGTGGTTACGGGGGAAGAGGGAGGAGTGACAGTGGCAGGAGAGCAGATACGCAGTCAGACTTCCATCGCCGTCCTCGCGAAGAGGAACGAGGGTGGGGGCGGGCGAGGCTTGACGGACAGCAGGAGGAGAGGATGCCAGATGTCAAGGCGAATGGAGTGCAGGAGGGGCATCTGTCAATGGACAGGGACTCACAAGGGGATGGGCATTCTCCGAAAGAAGGGCATTTGCCAACGGAGGGGGTGATAAGACTCATGAATGTGGATGTGCCGTTGCATGCCGACCCTGGCAAGGATGACGTGGCAGTGAGTGAGGGGCTGGTGCGGGCGGCAGCTATGGCGCTGCACGTGCGGGCGGAGCACCTGCCCTCGTCTGCTCTCACGGTCGTGCGCAAGTCCTTTGATGCCCGCAAGGTGCGTTGGGCTGGGTTGTATGCATTGCAAGGTGCGTTGGGCTGGGCTGTATGCATTGCAAGGTGCGTTGGGGTAGGGTGCAAGGCCCTTCACCCTCTCCCTCTCTCCATCTTTCACTCTCTCCCTCGCCCATCCCATCCCCACCTCCCTCATGCACAGGCCCCAGTGTTCGCCTATGCCATTGACATTGATGCAGCAGCACTGGTGCAAGCCTTCACCCTGTCTTGCTCTCCCACTCTTTCACCCTCTCCCTCCCCCACCCCCATGCGCCCCTCCTCGTTCACAGGCCCCTGTGTTCGCCTATGCCATTGACATTGATGCAGCAGCACTGGTGCAAGCCTTCACCCTGTCTTGCTCTCCCACTCTTTCACCCTCTCCCTCCCCCACCCCCATGCGCCCCTCCTCGTTCACAGGCCCCTGTGTTCGCCTATGCCATTGACATCGATGCAGCAGCGCTAGCGCAGGCCTTCACGCTCTCAGCCACGCCACCCCGCAAGCGCAGAGATGTGGCCCTTAAAGCCCAGGTCGTGCTGCCTGAACCGCCCTTCAGCCTGCTCGCTGCCCGCACCCCTGCTGCTGCTCCTGCTGCTGCTCCTGCTGCTGCTGCTGCTTCTTCCACTGCTGATAGTGTTGGTGCTGGTGCTGGTGCTGGTGCTTATACCAGCAGCAGCACAGGTGCTCCCACAGGAGCAGTGGGGGCGAGAGACAAGCCACCGAGAGAGCGAACGCGCAACGTAGTGGTGGGGATGGGTCCAGCGGGGTTGCTGGCAGCTCTCGTACTGGCAGAAGCAGGCGAGCAGGTGACAGTGGTGGAGCGGGGTCAGCCCGTGGAGGAGCGAGGGCGGGACATCGGCGCTCTAGCCGTGCGCCATGTGCTCAACCCAGACAGCAACTTCTGCTATGGGGAGGGTGGGGCTGGGACGTGGAGTGACGGCAAGCTGACGACTAGGATCGGGAAGAATAGTCAAGATGTTAGGGAGGTGCTGAATGTTCTGGTGAGGATGGGTGCTCCCGAACGTATTCTTGTGGACGGGCGCCCGCACCTCGGCACCGACAGGCTCGTGCGCATCCTGCAGCAGTTCCGGGCCTATTTGTTAGGTTTGGGCGTGGAGATCAGGTTCGGAACGGTGGTGGAGGATCTGGAGGTTCGGAACGGGCGGGTGGCTGGGGTGCGCGTGAGGCCTGCTGGGAGTGTGGTGGGAAGCGGTGCAGAGGAGCGGAGTGTGATGGCAGCGGATAGGGTGCTGCTGGGGGTGGGGCACTCAGCTAGGGCGGTGTTTGACATGCTGCTGTCTCACAACGTGCTGCTCTCCCCAAAGGACTTTGCAGTAGGCTTTCGTATCGAGCATCCCCAGCGAGAGATCAACGCCATCCGGGTAAGGCTTTTGAGGTGTCTCAAAGGGGCGGTGTTTGACTGCTGGGGGTGGGGCACTCAGCAAGGGCGGTGTTTGACATGCTGCTGTCTCACAACGTGCTGCTCTCCCCAAGGACTTTGCAGTGGGCTTCCGTATCGAGCATCCCCAGGGAGAAATCAACGCCATCCGGGTATGCGGGCTACGTCATATTCACTGTTCAGTTTTGTTTTGACCAGCGCTAGCGATGGTAAGGCATCACCCTTCTCCATCTCTCCCTTCCCCGCTCTCCCCCCGCCAGTACCGGCGGTGGCAGGGCAGCATGGACGTGGAGGCGGCAGTGGCTCGTGGCAAGGGACCCATCCCCGTTGCTGACTACTCCCTCGCCGGTGGTGGAGCAACCCAGACAGCACACACCTGAGTGTCTTGCAAGGCCCCTTGCCCCAACACAACACCCATGACTCCCCCTCCCCCCTCCCCTCACCCTGCTCCCCCCCGGCAGTACCGGCGTTGGCAGGGCAGCATGGACGTGGAGGCGGCAGTGGCGCGCGGCAAGGGACCCATCCCTGTAGCCGACTACTCCCTCGCCGGCCAGTTCTCCCTTACTGGCGGCACCACTAGCAGTAGCAGCACTGGCAGCAGTGATAGCAGTGGCAGTGGGCAGCAGGGGCGCAGCTGCTACTCGTTCTGCATGTGTCCGGGAGGGCAGGTGGTGTGCACAAGTGTGACAGCGGACGAGCTGTGCCTCAACGGCATGTCCTTCTCCAACCGCTCCTCGCTCTGGGCCAACGCGGCCCTCGTCTCTTCCGTGTCTGCTGCTGGTGGCGACTTTGACGAGTTCACAAGGGAGCACGGCGCCCTTGCAGGCATGGAATACCAGGTATGTTGGAGCCTGGCAAGGAGGGAGGGCAGGTGGTGTGCACGAGTGTGATGGCGGACGAGCTGTGCCTCAACGGCATGTCCTTCTCCAACCGCTCCTCGCTCTGGGCCAACGCTGCATTGGTGTCCTCCGTCTCCGCGTCTGCTGGCGACTTTGACGAGTTCACCCGGGAGCATGATGCCTTAGCAGGCATGGAGTACCAGGTACGTTGAAGTGGTTTCAAGAAAATAAAGAAAAAGAAATAAGGCAGAAAGATGAAAGATGTCTCAAGGAATGGTGGGTGTGCGGCTGGGGTGGTGGTGGAGAGGGAAAATAAGGCGGGCATTTGGTTGTGCGTGCAAGTTCCATCTGCCTGGCGCCCAAAGGGACGCCTGTGAGTTTGTGTGGTGTGAGGGCGCAAGCGGGAGTTGCATGACAAATCGGAAACACCATGCCTTGAAACCGCAATACACTGTGCAAACAGGTGAAGGCCCGTTGTGCAGACAAATGAAGTGTCATGGTGCCCTGGTACAGTTTTGAGACGTCTCAAAACGTGCCCTGGTACCTGCCTGATATCCCTCTTCACCATTCCTGCCTCTCCGCGTCTCCTCATGTTCACCCACCGCCTTCCCAGAGGGCAATCGAGCGGCAGGCAGCCGTGATGGGAGGTGGCAACTTCGTGGCAGCGGTGCAACGCGCCTCTGACTTCCTTCGAGGGTCTCTCTCTCCTGGTGAGCAATGGGCATCGCTCCCCAGGAGGGTAGCTCCCTCCTAGAGACACGACACACTCCCTGTCACCCTGAGCGGGTCCTGTGTGTTGCCTATGCAGACACACTCTCCCATGGAGACACACTCTCTCAGCTCATGCGTCCCTCTGTGCTCTCTTTCTTTTCCTCTCGTGTTTGCCGCAAGAATTCGACCTGCCTGCTTCCCACTTCCGCAATATTCTCCTCCACCATCCTCCCCCGCCTCCCCCCCAGTCAATCGCTTCGAGAGCGACATTAAGGAGATCCTCCCTTCCAAATCTTCCCACCGTCCTTCCTCCCTGCTGACCGCAACCATTGCCACCGTCCTTCCTCCCTGCTGACCGCAACCATTGCCACCGTCCTTCCTCCCTGCTGACCGCAACCATTGCCACCGTCCTTCCTCCCTGCTGACCGCAACCATTGCCTGGGAGTGGCACCCAGCTTGGCTGGAGTCTTGATTAACACAACCCACCCTCCTCACACATGTACCCTTCAATTTCCCCTCTCCCCCACCATCCAGCTATGGCCAAGACGTGGCATCAGCTCATTCGTCCTCCCGTGACCCCTCCCTCTCCCTCTTCCCCTTCCAGCGTCCGCCCTGCCATCATCAAGCTATCGCCTGGGGGTGGCCTCGGCCCGCCTGGACCAGCTCTACTCGCCCTCCATCACGCTTGCCATCCGACTCGCTTTAGAGAACTTCGATAAGAAGGTGATGCACATTCCTTGTTTCACTGCGTCCCCATGCATGCATCCCCCCTTGCACTCCCCTTGGTCCTCCACCCTCTATTTCCTCGGTCTAATCTTGCCAGTCATCTCGGTATCTCCCCGCCTTTCCCGTTTTCCCATCTCCCTGCCTCTCTAACCTTCCACCCTTCACCCACCAGATGCCTGGCTTCATCTCCCCACACGCCCTGCTACATGCTGCCGAGGTGAGACCAATAGCTTCCCTTCAAGTGGTTCATTGTGGTTCATGCGTTACTTTTGAGTTCTGAAGCGTGAATCCGAAATCGGAGTGTTTCATTGTAAGTTATTGTACCTGACAAACAGGTGGCTAGTAGCTTACCCTACTTTGCCTCCTCTCCTCCTTTCCCCTGGGTCTTCCCCAGACGCGCACGAGCTGTCCAGTGCGCGTGGAGAGGGGGGCAGAGAGCTATGAGAGTGTGTCACTGCCAGGGCTGTACCCAATAGGCGAGGGGGCGGGGTACGCAGGGGGCATTGTGAGCGCTGCAGTGGATGGCATGTTGGCTGCTCGAGCCATCCTCCGCACCACTGCTGCTGCTTCTTCTGAACTGACTGAAAAGTAACTCGGGGGTACGCAGAGAGCGGGGTACGCACGGAGCGGGGTACGCAGGGGGCATTGTGAGTGCTGCAGTGGATGGCATGCTGGCTGCTCGAGCCATCCTTCATACAGCTGTGACTTCTGAAGTGACTGAACAGTAACCTTGAGGTTCACATATGTTGCCTTCCTTCGTCCTGTCCAGTCTAACCAACTGTATGTCCAGTTACCTTGGTTGGCAACTATAAGCTGCTGCTTTGCCCCTAACATGTAGTACTGCTGCATGGTTTCAACGAGTGTACCAGGAATAAGTGGTCACTGTTTTATTCATTTATTCTGCTGATATACAGGCATACATTAATGAAAGAATCATGCTAGCTAACAGCATGCCTACCTAATACATATCTTTGTTATATATAACATTATATGACAATGCTACCATCTTCCTGTAGAATGTAGGAGCTGGAATATTCCAGTCCTTGTAATACGTTTGTACTGACACCGGCATGATCCCAACTCTCGCTCTTGGACACGAAACAAACCCCTTGTGCTTCTTATACACTATCGAGTCCGCTTTTACCCCATAATCCCCTTTACTATAATCGCGAAACCGCATTTCATCACCAGTGTACCTGTAGAGCACCTGCCGGTTCACCTTCCGGGCGGCAGGCACCCCCCCGCAGTACCGGTACTCGTCCGGGCGGCTTGTGTCGGCATCTACTGCGATGAGCTCGACGTCGTTTTCGGTGGGCAGGCCGCTGCATGCGCCGGTCTGCTTGGAGGTGAGAGCCTTGTGACCTGCGGGGTTGCAGGACTGCGTGCCGATGCGTGTCTGCCTGCACACATGCTTCATCCACGGCCATAGCTGGTGGGTGGAAGAAATGAGGGGAGAGATGGGGGAACAAGGGAGAGGTGAGGTAGGATGAAAGTGAGGAACTGGAGAGGCGGCAAGAGGCGGGCAGTGAGAGCGATGCGTGTCTGCCTGCCTGCACACATGCTTCATCCACGGCCATAGCTGGTGGGGGAAATGGGGGGAAGATGAGGGATAGATGAGGGGAGAGATAAGGGGAGAGACGAGGGAAAAGGTGCTGAGGTAAGAGCTGAGGAACTGGAGCTGAGGAACTGGAGAGGTGGGGAGAAACGGGGAGAGGTGAGAGGAGAGATGGGGAAAGAGATGGTGAAGAGTTGAAGGGAGAGGTGGGGAAGGGGAGGGAAGGAGGAAAAGCCTCACCTTATTGATCTCCGGGGAGTTGTAGTAGCGCTTGCGCATCCTCTCCCAATAGGTCCCAGGGTCCTTCCCACAATGGTTGATTGTGACTGTCAGGCAGGTAATATAGCCCGGGCTCTGCCCCAGGCTGACCATGAGCAGGCTGCGGATCTTGTTGCGCTTGCCGTTGTTCAGCTTCACTCCGTCCCACAGCTGCGCACACACGCCCCCTGTGATGTCCACTCCTGATGTGCAGTAGTCCAGGTAATAGCAGTGGTCCCCGCCTATCACATAATTGCAGGCCACTGTGCTGCCTGTGGAAGGGTAGGGTGGGGGATGGATGGAAAAGGGTGAAGGGCAGGAATGAGTCAGATTACCCACAGCTGAGTGAACACGCCCAGAGTAATTAAGTGCCACCAGCCGGAATTGAACCTGCATCGGTCGCCACTTACCAGGGTTGAACCAGTGAGTGCAGAAATAAATCCCGGCCGAGTCAAACGTCAGGCGGCCCTTGGACTGAGGCGTGAAGACAAAGTTGTTCTTCACTGACGTCAGCATGCAGTCCCACGAGTAGTGCACGTCAGCGCCGCACCGGAACCCCGCAAAGAGGTAATCATGGAGGAAATTATTATGAACCTTCACGCCGATCGACCCGCGGTAGAGGTTAATCAGCTCCCACGCGCCAAAGACATCATTATTGGTGATCACATTCTTGGATGATACCAGAGTCATGCCCAGCCCGCACATGCCCATGCGGATCACTCCCGGTGACCTCTCGTACGTCCCAGGGGCGGTTACAAAGAGTGAGTCCAGCTTGGTGTAACCCGATCGGAAGACGTCGATTCGGCCGATCACGGAAGCCTGGGTGAATTGAATCCCGAACGAGCGGTAGATGTGGAGCGCCGGGCAGATGATTTCAAAGCCCATCAGGCTGCCGTATTCGGGCAGCATCTCGCAGAAGGGCGAGGAGTTGCGCACGGCGCTGCGCAGCCCGATGCCGATGAACAGGACGTTGCTGGCGTTGTGCACTCTTAGCACGGGCTCATCGGAGCGCGAGAGGGAGATGGAGTGGCGCGAGGGCAGGGAGCGGGACCGGAAGATGGTGCAGGAGAAGTTGGTCCCGAAGAGGAGCCCGCGGGAGAGGGAGAGCGAGCGGTAGAGCACGAGCGTGACGGTCTGCCGGGGAGGGTATCGCGTGCGCTTAGCGATGTCGGACACTGAGTAGACTTTGATCACCGGGCTGCTGTGCCGCGGGGAGCATGGCTTTGCTGCCCCCTTGGGAGTGACGGCTCCCTTGGGATTGACGGAGGCGATGGTGGCCTTGAGATTGTTGGGAGTGCTGGGGTGGGCGGCAGTGGCGGTGGCTTTCAGGCGCTGCCAGGAGAGTGTGCCGCCCGGCATCATGTCATCCATATCGTCTTCTGTCATCACAGAAAACCGCCCTGCCGTCCCTGCCGTCCCTTCCGCCCTCTCCCGCCCCTGCGCCGCTGCCGCCCATCTGCTCCTCGCCTCTGCCGCCCACACCGCCTCCTTGGCTTTAGTCACTTGATTCATCCGCTTCGCCTGCTGCCGCCACTGCCGCAGCCTGGTCTTAACTAGCCCTTGCTGCTGCCGCCAGTGCTCCTCCTGCATCGCAATCTCCTCCGCCGTCTGCGGCCGTTGGTCCCGCTCCCACCGCTGCTGCTCCCGCTTTGCCCACTCCGGCGCCTCTCCCGGCTTCTGCTGCTTCCCCCCCTGCGCCCCCCACTGCTGCACTCCTTGCTGCTGCTGCTTGAACTGAAGGCTCGCAGTCCGTGCGTGTTTCTGCGCGCGCAGCTGCACCTGCTGCTGCCACTGCTGGTGCCCGGACGGCCTGTGGGAATACCAGGGACCATATATCCCGCTATCATAAGGCCCTGCTTCCTCCCACAGCTCTCGCTTCTTCCTGCTTTCCTCCTCCTCCTCCTCTTGATCCTGGTCCCCCACTTCCTCTTCCTGTTGTTGTTCGTCTGGTCTGTATCGCCGGTCCTGTACTATTGTATTGGTAATCAGCCCGTCCGAATGCGGCAATTGCGGCCCTTCAAACACAGAGGGAAGTGGATTTTCCCCTTCCCCTTCCCCTTCCCCTTCCCCTTCGCCTTCGCCCGCCCCCACGTCCTCCGCCAGTTCCTTCCACCTCTCCTCTTCCGCCTCATCCCTCTCCGCTGCCTCTACCGCGGTCTCGTCACCGCACAGCACCGCATATCCCCGCACAGCGCCGCCCTCTGCCGATCGTTTATCACAGATCGGGCCATCGCGTATCCCCCGACCACCTGGCGGTGTCAATGTGCGGTTCGTGCGTCGGGGCAATGAAAAGACTCCGGAAGTTGTGGATCCGCGGAAGATAGCGCGCAAAATCCCTGCGGTGTCGGGCAGGCGGCGGAGCTCACGGGGAATGATCGGCGGATGTGCCGCTGCAGCGGAAACTCCCACAAGAGCCGCGGCGTAACACAGCGACAATAAAAGCGCCGCCGCGAGGAGCAGTGGTAATAGCGCCTTCCCTGTGAAGACGACGCGCCGCATCTGATCGATATGGGGATGGCTTGAAACTGTTTCGACTTGGAACGAAAATATATGTATTGGTCGCTACAATCTAAACAAACTTCTGGTACGCGGCGTATCGGCGATAATTATAAAGGTTATGATATAGGTACGCACGAAAAGAGACAGACGGAAGAACCCAAGTGAAAGAACAAGCGTCGAAGCTTTGTCACGACGCTTTGTACACAACGGAATGAACACGACGGTTGCACCTGCCAAACATTTCTGGTCCTCAAATGCAAACACGACAGAGAGAAGGCGCACAAACACATGCATGCGCCGAAGTTGGAACAAAAATGCTGCCCTGCATTGCCGCGTTGCCCCCATTTCAACCCCCCTCTCTCGCTCAGCAGCAGCACTCCAGCACTCCCTCCCCCCAAAAAACATGTTGACTCATTGAACCTGTTGCGTTGGCCCCATCTGTCGGTGCGGGCAAACAGAAAAATGCACCAGGTCTGCCCAGCCCTCAGAAACGTCGCAAAAACTGGTTGGTGAGGTTGTCTGCTCGGCTGTATGTGGTTGTTCTCACTACTTTCCGCTTGCCCGTTTTCCGCATGACCGGGTCAGCACTTTCTTCCCGTGCCGCACACTGAGTGCCAGGCACCAGGAAGAATTACCTGCCCGAGTGGTTTAGTTGAAGTCGGTGCTGTGATGCCAAACCAGACTCGCGAGTTCGACACCCCACGATGGTCAACATGTTCCATGCGAACAAGACTACGTCGTTCGTCGTGCTATGGCGAAGACTGGCGAGAGTTACCACGACAAGCGGCACTGTGCAGTCCAGCGCTTCAGGTGGAACCACAGATTTGCCTGGTCAACGTCAGCGCCGCCCTGGACCTCGTTGACCCCTGCATGCACAAAAATGACTGGTAGTCCCTACAATTACTGGGACATTATGAACAACACTTACAAGAAACAGAAATACAATGCAACCATCAATATATTGTTAGAAGGTACAGCTAACCAATCAGACAGCTTCGGCCAGCCACAGCCCACTGCACGGATAAAGCATCTCTACAAAGAGCTACGACATGCAGTGCTCCCTATTCTGCAACCGGCAAATCACCAAGCTAGAATCAAACAAGCGGTGGTTAGGCACATCTATACAAAACAAACTACACAAGATCAGAATTCTCCTGTCCAAGCCTACACCGCCACCAAAACGGCAAGAGAGACCCACGGTCAAGAATTGGCAGGGGCGCCATCGGTGGGGCCTCCAGCCAAGTCGATTTCACTGAGCTTGAGCAGGGCTCGCAGTGAGGAGCGGCTCTTAGAGAAGTGGCGCAGACTGCCCCTGAGGTCCGTGCCCTTGCGCATCATCACCTTGAACTCGTCAAAGCTGATCTTGCCGTCCTGGAGGAAGGAGAAATGGGAGTGAGGGCAGGGATAGGAGAGGGGAGCACAGAGAGGAGTGGGGAGCATAGAGATGAATGGATGAAAAGTCTCTGCTGAGGTGTGAAGAGATGACAATAATAGACTTGTGGGCATGTTGTTGGCAGGCTATGGCCTTATTACTGTCATGTGATGTGCATATTGTTGACATGCCCTTTTTGATTGACATGCCCTTTATGCAGCTCATATTGTTGGTGTCGAGCTCAACCAGAATCTCCGTGAGAAAAGTCCGGTCGGCGACCAGGGCATCCGCCAGCTCTTCAATGCCGATGAACCCGCTGCGATCCGAGTCAAACAAGTCAAACAAGTAGTGTTTCTGAGTATTCTCAGAAACACCCGGCATGTCCATCGCAAGCTCAAGTATGCCAATCCAGAATGCCATCGCAAGCTCACATTGTTGGTGTCCACTTCCGCAAGGATTTCCTTGAGTGACGTCAAGTCCGCGCCCAATGCATCCGCCAGCTCCTCGATGTCAATGAACCCGCTGCGGTCCGAGTCAAAGAAGTCAAACGCCGCCTGCAGGTTCTTCTCGTTGTCCACGCGCTGCAGATGCATCGTTGCCGCCACAAACTCACTGTAGTCAATCTCCCCGTTGCCGTCGATGTCCGCCTGTTGGTGGGCCGGGGGGGGGAGGGGTGGGGTGTGGGGGGGGGGGGTTGAGTCAGCTCAAGACGCGTTGCAGATGCATCATTGCTGCGACAAGTTCACTGTAGTCAATCTCCCTGTTACCGTCGATGTCCGCCTGTTGGTGGGCCGGGGGTGGGTGGGGTAGTCAGTGACGGATGAAGGATGAATCAGTACATGCATTGTTGTGAAAAGACACCACCAACTACCACAGGCACATAGCCATGCATCCGTGCTTTCAAAGCATCCGTGCTTTCAAAGCATCCATGCACACCCCACTCCACTCACTGCATCCATGAGTGCCTGCACTTCGGGGTTGGAGAGCGGAGAGCCGATGCGGCGGAGGTCACTAGCAGACACTAACATATAGCCATGCATCCATGCCTCTGACTACCAAGAACACCCCACTGCACTCACCGCATCCATGAGTGCCTGCACTTCGGCGTCGGAGAGCGGAGAGCCGATGCGGCGGAGGCAAGGAGTGCTAGCTAGGAACATAGACAGCCATGCATCATATCACATCACACACACTCTAAGGCATCAAAGGCTACACATACCGCGTCCATGAGTGCCTGCACTTCAGCGTCGGAGAGCGGCGAGCCGATGCGGCGGAGGCCGTTGCGGAGCTCCTCGAGGGTGAGCGTGCCGTCTCCGTTCTCATCTATGATCTTGAACACCTCCTGTAGCCCTTGCATCTCCTCTGCCGAGGATAGCTGGTCGGCGATGACCTAGGGAGATAGAGTATGAGGGACAAGTGAGGGGGTGGTACAGTGAGAAAGGGGTTCAGAGGCGTTGGCGTGCCGTCCCCGTTCTCGTTGATGATCTTGAACACCTCCTGCAGCCCCTGCATCTCCTCTGCCGAGGATAGCTGGTCCGCTACGACCTAGACAAGGGGGACGAGGGGGTAAACAAGGGGGAGAGTGGCGGGAGAGTGAGAGTAGAGCGAGAGGGAGAGTTCAGGGAGAGGGAAATGGGATGTAGGGTGGAACGGGTCCAGGACAGGTTAAAGGCAGGTGTGTTTTGTGCTTAGAGGCAGCAGCAACGCACCTGGAACCACCTCAACTTGAGCTTCTTCGTGGCCTGGAACGTGTGCAGCGTGTGTGTGGCGTGCAAATGGCATGAGGGGTCTTCCTGTTCATGAGCGCCTTCTTCTTGAGCTTGTTCATGGCCTGGAACGACTGCAGTGTGCGTGCGCATGCACGCACTGCAATGGCATGCCGTGCCTGTCTCGAGAGACAGAAACAACTCACCTTGATCGCCTTCTTCTTGAGCTTGTTCATGGCCTGGAGGGGCTATAATGTGGGTGTGTAGGCAATGCAATGCCATGTGGCACGCTCCTGCTTCGGGTGTCAGCAGCAAGCAGCTCACCTTGTGAGCCGTTTTCTTGAGCTTGTTCATCGCCTGGAGCGACTGTACTGTGTGTGTGCATGTGGTGCAATTGCTTGCTGTGCTGTGGTGTTCCTGTCTCGAGTGGCAGGGCAGCAGGCAGCAGCTCACCTTGAGAGCCTTCTTCTTGAGCTTGTTCATGGCCTGGAGGGGCTATAATGTGGGTGTGTAGGCAATGCAATGCCATGTGGCACGCTCCTGCTTCGGGTGTCAGCAGCAAGCAGCTCACCTTGTGAGCCGTTTTCTTGAGCTTGTTCATCGCCTGGAGCGACTGTAATGTGTGTGCGCATGTGGTGCAATTGCTTGCTGTGCTGTGGTGTTCCTGTCTCGAGTGGCAGGGCAGCAGGCAGCAGCTCACCTTGAGAGCCTTCTTCTTGACCTTGTTCATGGCCTGGAGGGGCTATAATGTGGGTGTGTAGGCAATGCAATGCCATGTGGCACGCTCCTGCTTCGGGTGTCAGCAGCAAGCAGCTCACCTTGTGAGCCGTTTTCTTGAGCTTGTTCATCGCCTGGAGCGACTGTAATGTGTGTGTGCATGTGGTGCAATTGCTTGCTGTGCTGTGGTGTTCCTGTCTCGAGTGGCAGGGCAGCGGGCAGCAGCTCACCTTGAGAGCCTTCTTCTTGAGCTTGTTCATAGCCTGGAACGACTGCATACGGGACAGCACCTCCACTCCCAGCGGCGTGTCTGGCGCCTCGTTGGCATCCCTCAGCCACGGGTGCTCTGATGGCCGCAGCAGGTGGGGAAGGGCGATGTGGGAGTTGGCGGGAAGTGGGGAAAAGTGAGGGAGATTATTTATGAAGTGCGCCAAAAAGCGCCTCGTTGGCATCCCTCAGCCACGGGCGCTCTGAAGGGGGGGGAAGAAAGAAGAGGTAGGAGCAGAGCGGAGCACTTGCTTGGAGCACTCACGCAGCACTTGCTGAGCAGTGGGGCGCTTGGAGGTACCGGGCTGGGGCATGAGCATGACGAGGTGCTTGGCGCCGTCTGACACGACACCTTGGGATTGGCACATGAGCATGAGTGCACCTCACAGCAGCACTCACGGAGGCACGCAGCGGAGGGGAGCAGCCACGGAGGCAGGAGGAACGGAGCACTCACGCAGCACTTGTTGCGCAGTGGGGCGCTTGGAGGTGTCGGGTTGAAGCATGAGCATGACGAGGTGCTTTGCCCCATCCGACACCTTGGGCCATGGGTCCCGCTTCAGGTCCACCTGCGACCGCAGCACCGCCTGCGCCACTCCCTGCTCCGTCTCTGTTGCAGAAAGTAAGAGGTGCGGAGGGTGAGGGGGTGGGAAGAGGGAGGTTGGGGGGGGGAGGGTGGGGTGGGGTTGGGGTTGGGGGTGGGGTTGGGGGTGGGGGTGGGGGTGTAAGGGCGAGTGAGAAGAGTGAGGGGAATGAGAACGGCGTGGGGGGATGTGAGCAGTGTGTAGGTTTGCAGTGAGCAGAGCAGCACGGGTACTTGCCTGCCCAGAAGGGGGGCACGCCGCAGAGAAGAATGTAGAGAATGACGCCGGCGCTCCACACATCCGCCAGGGGCCCGTAGTTCTTCCTTAGCACCTCGGGCGCCATGTAGTACGGGCTGCCCACGATCTCGCTCAGCGACTCGCCCGGCTTGAACATGATGGACAGCCCAAAGTCGATGGCTCGCAACGCCGCGTCCTCCTGGTTGTTGGCGAACAGGAAGTTCTCGGGCTTTAAGTCCCGGTGCATCACTCCGTGTTTGTGGCACACCTGGAAGGGAGGGGCGGGGCGGGTTGCAGCAATGCAAGGCGTTTCGAAGTTTTCCTCCTTGCTAGCAGGGTTGGGCTTAATGGCTGGTGCAGACTCCGTGATTGTGGGACGCATGGGGCGGAATGGGGTGGCGTGGAGGACACGCAAGGTCTTTTGGATGTTTCAAGGGAGGTGAAGAGAGGGTGGCCTACGCGCAGTGTAAGAAGTAGGATTTAGGATGCACACTGCAGTTTTAAAGTAAAGAGGCTTTGTGCGTGCCCTTGACCATCTTGTTGCGATTCTTTACGTTGTCTCCAAAACTCTGCCTCCCGCGCCTATCCCATTCCGTCCCACTCCGTCGTACCATTTCTGAACCGTTTCCGTTCCATCCTTTTCTCTTATACCATTTTCTATTCCCTCCCACTCCCCTTCCGTTTTTCGTTACCAGCACACGTCCGAAGCACACTCACCGGCGCCAATCCCGCTCACCTACACAGCACCATTTCCACCCACCAGTACTCCAGTGCTCCTAACACTCACCAGCGCCTTTCCCGCTCACATGCATTGCACCATCCCCACCCGCCAGAAGTCATAACACTCACCAGCGCCCTTCACACGCACCTGCACCACCTCCACGATAGTCCGTGTGATAACCGCCGCCGCTCGCTCGCTATAATGCCCCCTCGCTATAATCCGCTCGAACAGCTCCCCGCCTTCGCACAGCTCCTGAACGATGTGAACCGCGTGCCGATCCTCAAATACCCCTTTAAGTCCCACGATGTTAGGGTGCGACGGTAAGTGGTGCATAATCGCCACCTCCCTCCGCACATCCTCGATATCCACGGCCGTCTTTAATTTCCGCTTAGGGATAGACTTAACGGCCACCTGCTCCCCGTTTGCCTTGCTAGTCGCGAGACACGTCACGCCGAACTCGCCACGCCCTAACTCTCGACCTAAGACGAAAAACTCCGCAATGGATCGGTCTACCATTTCCGGGAAGGGGTTGTGGAGAACGACGTCGTTTCGCGGCTGCGAGGGAGGACCGTCGGATTGGTTTGGAACCGCTGTAACGGCGGATGCTGCTGAGGAGTTCTGGTGAGGCGCGACATTGCTAGGCGGAGGCGGCTTCTGCTGCTGCTGCTGCTGCTGCTGCTGTTGCTGCTGCTGAGGCTGATGGTGTTGTTGTTGTTGCTGCTGTTGCTGCTGTGGAGTCTGCGCTACGTAGTCTGAACGATCGGTACTTCGCGGGGCCTCTTTTCCCGCGCAAGCGCCCATTGGGTACCTACCTAAGAGGCTGACGACAGCTAGAGGTGGACAATGAAAAGTTAGTGGTGAGTTAGGTCTGTTAAGCTTATACGCATATCGGGTCAACGATAAACAGGCTGGTCAGGCTAGACATCAGACCGTTAAAGGTCGGTATTGTTGACTACAAAGCGGCCCGACTAATTTTTCTGGTCAACATTTCGGCACAAAGACAGGCACCAATCGACATGCAGCGACTCCAGAAAACCGCAGGTATCTGAAACAATGTGGCACTTGTCGATAGCGACTGACACCAATAGTTCGTCCTTAGGTTAGCTTGCAGGTCTGGTCCTAGTTTAGTACGAAAGGCGGGCTCAATGTAGTTGACCAGAAAGACAAGTAATTACGTGCCTAGACTGTAGGAAGCTAGACTGTAGGTTGTGGAGTCAGGGAAGTGGAGTTGGTTGGAGGGTTACTGGTTCAGAACCAAGACGGGAAATTACTGACGGAGTGCGAAGGACAACAGAGGGAGAATGACAAAATTGAGGTTTCCCTCCAACGGAGGATAGGATCGAGGCTGCAGTGAAGTGACACAATTGGACGGTCCTGTCCTGACACGACCAGGATCCCCTCGATAATGTCGTTCACAGGGAATATGCTTGGAGTTCTGCTAGTCAACCAGCTACATGATTGCGCTAAGTACAAGCGCACATAACGTTCAGACATTCTGAATTTCCATATCTCCACATAAACATGCATTCATATGCACAGATACTGTAAAACGTTTTAATGAAACTCCTGGCTTCACTATTTGCAGTCTGCAACATTTGCATGACTTTTATGGTGCTACTTCAGATGGCCTGCCCAAAACCAGGTGCCGCAGCTTACGGAAAGCAGCCTGCAAAGAGAACAAGCGAAATAAGTATCTAACAATAACAGTGGAAGGATCAGAAATCCGACAAGGGATAGCAGCACACACACAGCAAGCAGCCGTACCTTGGTTTTGCTTTGAGTTCGTCGCAACCAATGCTGACCAGCTTCTTCAGGCCCACCGCCCGCACAGGTTCTACCCCACCATTCCCTGCCCTGAACCCTCCTCAGCACTGCTATCAACTCATTGTCCTGTCTCTCCGCTTCACTGCAATCACAATCACTAGTCTCCTCACTGACATAATCACTCTCTGATAATCCCCCTCCATCGTCCTCAGTCTCCTCTCCCGCAAATTCATCAAACCCTGCCACCTCCTCCCCTCCTCCCATGGCTGCCTCTGCCAACTCCTTGAGAATAAAATCCATATCGTCCGCCCGAACACCAATCCACTGTAGGCCTTTACTGGAGCGACAGGCAGCTTTGGTCCTAGGGGAACTGCTACTGACTTTGCTTGTGTCTTCACAAGAACCTGCTGCTACAGTTGCACCATAAATGGTATTCTCCAAGGAATCTCCTGCAATCCCAGCAGCAGCAGCAGTACCAGTGGCGTCAGCAGCTGCTTTCTCCTGCTGCCGTCTCTGCCGCATCTCGGCAAACATCACACTGAAGCCCTTATCCTCCGCACCCGCATTGTACTTCAACGCGGATGACATGGTGGGGGGGACAGCCCTGCCCCGGGACTGCGAGGAAGCAACACTGCACGGAGCACGTGGAGCTGCTGCAACGCGCAATGCTGCTCTGCCCATTCCACCCATCCCCACCGTGCCAGGGCAGCAAGGAACTATACTTGCACCCACACTTCCATCCACACTTCCACCCACACTTCCAACCGCACTTCCACCTGCATTTCCAGTCAGCGACTTGTCATTCTTCCCAGCATCAGTCTCACTCCTATGTGCCGTGGTGCTGTCAGGGTAGGCATGCGGCGCTGTCATGCCGGCAGGGCGTGCACTCGCACATGATGAGCTGCTGACCGGCTCTGCTCTGCTCTCAGCGCAAGCTGTCTCAACCTTGAACCTCGCTTCACCTGTCCCGACCGCTGTGTGCGCCCCTGGAGGGACTTCCGCCTGACGCTCATCCCCGCTGTTTTCCTTCATGATCCCCGCACTTGACACCACTGGCGCACCTGGCGCGGTCGGAGCCACCGCGGAGACCTCCGCAACTGCAGCAACTGGCGCAACTGGCGCAATTGGCGCAGGTTGCGCCGACGGCGCAAGCGGGGCGAGGCCAGGCTGGCAGAGCCCGAGCAGCTGAACCACCTCCTGGCGGCACAGCCGGCTGTGCTCTAATAGCGCCAGCACTGACGAGTCATCCCAACATCTATCTGCGGCTGCTGCGTCCTGCGCGCGCGACCCTCTCCGCCCAGGGGTCGCTGATGAACCTCCTTCACAGGGGAATGCGGAAGGGGAGCCGAAGGGGGAGCCGAATGCGCCGGATGCGCGCACGGGGGAGGATGGCGCGCTGTTGCTGATGTCCATGAGCTGGCGCGAGACGGAAATGCGGAGGCTGCGCGAGTTGCGCAGCCGCTGGCGGACCCGCTCCGCCGCCTCGCCTGGGGAAGCTTCGCCGCTGGTTGCGCCTGGAGAGGAAGAGCAGTTCTCCTCGGGAGCCGGCGAGTGAAAGGTGAAGGAATACCGGGGAACGGGAGGCGAGTCGAAAGTCGGCGAGTCGCTTCCGCTATGATCGTGACGAGGACGAGACGACGACGCACATTTGGCAGCGCGATGTGCCGCAAGCGAACTCGAATCGTCGGCATCGTTGGCGGGGATTAGCGCATCGGTGAAGTCGGCACCGGAGTCGGAGGCTTGCAGCGAGGAGCTGGCGGAGAGAGGGAGCAGCGGCGGCGGCGGAGGCATGTTGAGTTGGTCGAGCTGCGATGAGTTCAGCAGCACGGGAAGTTCCCTTCGCTTGCTCGCATTCTTACTGCTGCCGCCGCTGCTTCCACTGCTATTGCTTCTGCTGACGGATTTTCCGCTGCTCCTACTGCTGCTAGCTGCGAGGAACCCGCCTTTCCGTCCCTGGCTGATTCGGCGTTGCGGAAGGATCGGCGCCCATTGCGGGAACAGACACGTGTCGGCCGCTGGAGACACGGGGGACAGGGCTGACGTGGACGGCAGGATTCGGTCCACGTCATAACGGACTCCTGCGCTCACGTCTCTCGTAGTCGAAGGAAGGCTGTTGTCGTCACCATTGCAATCGCTGCTCGAACCTCGAGAATGCCGAGATGCTGTATGAAAGGAAGAGGCGGAAACGTCGGAAGCGGCGGACGCGGCGGACGCGGCGGACGCGGCGGACGCGGCGGAAGGTGTCGAGGACAATGCGGGGAGAGAAGAAGCGGCGGAGTCGAAAGAGGCGGCATCTAGAAGCAGGGAGTGCGGGGAAGGAGGGCGGCGGGGCTTCTGGCGCAGGAGTGCGAACTCGTGGGTGTACTTTAATCGTCGATCCGAGGTGTCGCCCTGGCTGTCATCGTAGTCGTCGAGAGCCCAGTCGCCGAATGCGGGGATGCGCGAGATGCGCGTAGTCATGGCGATGCGCTGCCACCGTGGCCGCTTGCGAGGGTACAAAACGAGTAAATGAGAGATCTAGAAGTGGGATTCATACGGAGGAAAATTCAACCGAGTATTAGCGACTCTGCAGCAAACGAGGAGCTAGTTTGGGTCGTGAATGTGGTTGACGGATAGCCAGAACCAGAAAATACGGCTCTGACCCATGACAAGCAAAAGGTACTAGAGTTTTCTCGTAGCGCCGACCAAATGCGAGATGCGGGTTGATGTGGGTGGGATGGATGGGATGGGATGGAGATGGAGAATGGAGGGAGAGGAAGGCGCGAATTCGCAAGTACGGGTGCTGCTGTAACGGGTGACGGCGGGGCTGTTGGTGGTCGGAGGGAGGAGAGCGGGGTGGGTTTCTGCGAAGGGCTTGGTTGGAGCCTGGAAGGTTATGCTCTGTTTCGCCAAGGTCATTACCTGACTATCTTGAAATCACCCGCGCGTTTCGCACCATTTAGGGAGCTTATCAGCGAGAGTGGCGGAATGCCAGCTTTCGTGGATATCCACGGGTCGCACTAACTTCGCTGGGATTGGTCGGACAAGTGAAAGTGACGGCGGGTATGTTCTTGTAACGCATCACGAACATTTGTCCCAGGTGAAAGGACAAAAGAGAATAGAGAGCGGACTCCACACAGCTCACTTCCTGACTCAATAATATAAGCTTACATAAAAGTATACTTTACATGAGCCACAACCTTGTACAATTATCTTTTTGCCATTTAGTGCCACATGGTGACTAGAAAGCACACAGAAGGCTGGTTATACGTTCTTCCTTTCACAGCTGGATGAACCTGCTCAATTCATATAAACCTATTCATGTAAAACTGAACAGAACTTGGCCGCGGCCAAGTGTGACAAACTAGGCTAGAAGGCTAGGCTGGTGCTGGAGGTCTCACGCGCGGGAGCCTGGCCTGTGGTCTGGCTATTTACAAAATGAATTACTTCACTCGCATGCTTCCTGTTTACCCCAGACACTCACTTGTCTCTGAAGGCTGGCTCAAAATATTCATATGGGAGGTGCAGGGAGGGTGGGATGCGAAGCGAGAAGCGGTGCGTGCGTGTGCTGACCGGTGCTGGCCCCCAGGTGGTGAGAGACATGTTCAGGACCCTCTCACCCTCTCCTGCTCCTGCCGATTCCGCCTGCCGTTGCACCTTCTCCTGCCCACACACCCGCTCCTGCCCTGCCTCCGCCTCCTCCTCATCAGGCTCTCTTCTAAAGGGCTTCTGCTCCACTGGCTGCAATAACAAACCGCTGCCTGAATTGTGCCGCTCATGCTGCCCTGTGTGCCCTGTGTGTGCTCGCTTCTTTGTGTGGTACCTTGTGTTCTCTATGTGCTCCCTGGCAGCAGGAGAACCAGGCGGTGCAGCATGGGAAGTGGCCATGCAGAAGTTGATGGTCATGCTGCCGCCAGCAATGAGAATGCCTGCCCCAGGTAGCACCTGCACATGACAGCAACCCACAGACATGGCCATGGTAGGCCAGGAGCAGCACTTGAAAAACAGCACATGAAGTTCCATTCCAGCAAGTTGTTTGATTCAGGGGAAGTCAAAAGAAGAACCATGAAGAGAACTCAGGAGGAGGAGGGGCATAGGTGTTGTGTTGTACCTTGAGCCAGAGAGGGAAGCCACCACCTGCCCTCACTGTTTGCCCCGTCTGCCAATCACCTCCCCCCTTGCTGCCACTGCTTGTGCCTCCCACAATGCCCTTCCCTCCTTCGGTTCCTTCATCTCTCCCTCCCTCACTCCCTTCCTGCTCTTCCGTCTTTCCCTTCCTTCCAGACCGTAAAACAGACTCCCCGTCACACTGCACTATGAACCCCATAGAATCACTTTCGTTCCGATTCATTACAATCACCGAAGCCTGTCCGGTCGACGGATCCACATCCACACACGTGCCGGCAGCTGGCACGTCGGGCAGGTGGTGCGAATTTTGCAGGGCTGCCCGGACCTGGGAGCTGAGGGTAAGAAGACGCCCGAGCAGGCATCTTGTAGCAGGCAGGTCGACAGAAGCAACGGAGACATCTAAGAGGCATCTGACAGGCTTGTGGTCGCTCTGAATGGCCTCCATGCATGCATCATAGCGCAACACATGGGCCTTCACTGGCTGCGCCAGCGTGCACTCCTGCTCCTCGATCGCTCTTTGAGGTGCGCTCACACTCAAACTCGCAGTCAGAGCGGCACCAGGAGCAGCAGGAGCAGGAGAAGCAGTGGAAGCACCAACAGGTGTCTGGGAGCTGATATTCCCATCCTTAATCGTTATGCTACCTGGGCCTTCCTTACCATCCAACTCTGCTGCTCTGTCATGACCCAGTGCCGGGCTGACCTCATCATCATCATTATCATCTGCCTCTGTGTGTACCAATGCAGTCGTTGCCACTGCTGCTGCTGTGGATGGTTCTGCTCCTGCAGTGCCTGTTGCTGCTGCTACTGCTGTAGAAGGAGGAAGCGCGGATGGTGAAGCGATAAGTGAATGAGAGGTGAGAGTGGGACTAGGGCCACATTTAGGGCTGCTCATATGGTTGGGGCTGGGGGTGCGGTTGGGACTGGTGGTAGTGGGAGTGGGAGGAGAAGCGGGAGGATACAGAGGCTGAGAGTGGTGATTTGGGGCGGCAGGCATGGAGAGAGAGAGAGGCAGAGAAGGCGCGAGGATGGGTGCCAGAGTGGGCGGCAGCATGGGCGGCAGGCTTGGAGTGAAGCTGTCACGGAAGAGCACTCGGTCACACCAAGCAGGCACACGGCGCTTCTCCCCCGAGTCATACGCTGTCATGCGGGGCGTGGGGCACAGAGGCAGAGCGTGGAGCACAGAGGCAGGGCACGGGGCAGAGAGGCAGGGCACGGGGCAGAGAGGCAGGGCGTGGGGCGAGGCAAGGGTTGGGCAAGGTAGGAAGGGAGATGGGGAGTTGAGAGTGAGCTTTGCAAAGAAGGCATAATGAAGAGGCCAATTGGTTACAAAGATCTGACAGTGCCTAACCCTAAATCCATGCACAGAATTGGGTAATCTTGGAAAAAAAAACTGGGGAAAACAACAAACAAACAAACAAAAAAAAAAAACCCGGGAAGAAAAACACATACCCAGCGGATCGGGTGTGCCACGATCAAACTTGTAGGTGGGAGGAAAGGCAATGAGCCCTTCCTCCATGCCTCGGAACGCACGCCCGCCCGCCATCTCTCTGAGCAGCTGGTCGCTCGCCAGCAGTGCAGGCAGGTTGCGCGCCGCCACCTGGTGCCGCGCATGCTCGTATGGCACACCCTCCACCCGGTAGTTGAGGTCGCCCATCCACACCAGCAGGTCGGCTTCTGCTAACTCTGGTGTTTTCATTTCCTCCAGATCCTACACGGGAGAGGTGTGGAGGGGTGGGGAGAGGTGGGGAGAGGAGAGGTACAGAAAAGGCTGTGTTGCTGCCTCGTGTGACACACCCTCCACTCGGTAGTTGAGATCGCCCCCACTTAGCGCCCCCACTAAGCGCCCCCACTTAGCGCCCCCACATAGCGCCCCTACTTAGCGCCCCCACTTAGTGCCCCCACATAGCGCCCCTACTTAGCGCCCCCACTTAGCGCCCCACTTAGCGCCCCCACTTGGGAGTGAGGTGCAGGTTTGGGGTGCAGGTTTGAGGTGCAGGTTTGAGGTGCAAGTTTGACGTGCAGGTTTGAGGTGCAGGTTTGAGGTGCAGGTTTGACATGCAGGTTTGAGGTGCAGGTTTCAGGTGCAGGTTTGAGGTGCAGGTTTGAGGTGCAGGTTTGCGGTGCAGGTTTGAGGTGCAAGTTTGCCGTGCAGGTTTGACGTGCAGGTTTGACGTGCAGGTTTGAGGTGCAGGTTTGACGTGCAGGTTTGACGTGCGGGCTTGAGGTGCAGGTTTGACGTGCAGGTTTGAGGTGCAGGTTTGAGGTGCAGGTTTGACGTGCAGATTTGACGTGCAGGTTTGAGGTGCAGGTTTGAGGTGCACCCCCACTTAGCGCTCACTCACTCACACCAGCAGGTCCGACCACGAGGTCCAATGCAGGAGAGATGGGGAGTCTATTCTTGAAGCGCCTCGGAGAGGAATGTTGAGAGATGAAGGTAGGGAAGGGTTCGGGACTTGGGACGAACGGGTTGCAAACGAGGGAGCGATGCACAAGGAACCCCTAGGATTGCAAAGTGCATACTGTTTGACTCTCTTCCGAGTCTTCCCCCTCGCTCCAAACCTCTCTCCCCTCTCTCTCTCCTACTCTCTCGCCGCCCTCCCCTCTTCCCAGCCCTATCCCTCCTCTCCACCCTCCCTCTTCCCACCCCTATCCCTCCTCTCTCCCCTCCCTCTCCCCACCCCTATCCCCTGCGATCTCACCTCCTCCCCGTCCCGCCCAATGACCAGATCGTCCATCCATGACGTGGCATCGTCCGACCAATCAAATCTCCCGCCCACTGACTCCCCAGTTTGCCGCCCACTCCCGAATGCGCCCCTTTTTGGACTGATCCCCGGCCCCACCCCTCCCGCTCCTGCTGCTGCCCCCGCTGCCCCTCCTGCTCCTCCCCCTCCTCCTGCGCCCCCCATCCCCCCTGCTCCTGCTGCCCCTGCTGCTGCGCCTGCCACTGCTCCTGCTGCTCCTGCGGCTGCTGCTGCTGCCCCCACAGCAGCCCCTGCTGCAGCCTTCACTATGCCCTGCACTGCTGACTGCAGCCCAGCTGGTTGGGTGCACAGGAAGGGGAGCAGGGGGGTACCAGGGAGATGGAAAATGTAATTTAATACGACTCACAATTAGTCCCTGCTGCGGCCTTCACTATGCCACATACAGATTACTACAGGCCAGCTGGTGGTGTGTGACACAGGGAGGTACGGGCTGGAAGGAGAGGAGATTGACGGTGGGAGGGAGGAAGGAAGGAAGGAAGGAAGGAAGGAAGGAAGGAAGGAAGGAAGGAAGGAAGGAAGGAAGGAAGGAAGGAAGGAAGGGCTGCGCAGGAGAGAGGAGGGCAGTGAAGAAAAGAGAAGGGTGGAAAAGCCAGATGGTAGACTGAACTAATGAACTTGACAGTATATCTCCCCTCAACTCTGCTCACCTCATCCCACCTGCTTCACCTTTCAAGTCGCCTCCAGCAGCTTTGGCAGCAGAGGCGAGCATGGGGTGGGGGTGGTAGAAGGAGAGGTGGCAGTGGATGCATGCAGAGCCGGTCATCATCCCTTGAAGGCCATCACAACAAAAACCTCTTAAAGCCCTCGTACACAGCCCATCACTCCATTATCCATAAGAGTATAGGACCCACCTTTCAAGCCGCCCCCAGCAGCTTTGGCAGCAGAGGAGGCAGCAGAAGCGAGGGTAGTCTGGGGGCGGTAGAAGGAGAGGTGGCGGTAATTGCGACGCCAGTTGTTATTCCTCGGAGGCCATCACAACATAACCGCAACTTAACACTCTTAAAGCCCTTGTGCACAGCCCATCACCCCATGAGAGTATAGGACCCACCTTTCAAGCCGCCCCCAGCAGCTTTGGCAGCAGAGGCAGCAGAAGCGAGGGTAGTCTGGGGGCGGTAGAAGGAGAGGTGGCGGTAATTGCGACGCCAGTTGTTATTCCTCGGAGGCCATCACAACATAACCGCAACTTAACACTCTTAAAGCCCTTGTGCACAGCCCATCACCCCATGAGAGTATGGAACCCACCTTTCAAGCCGCCCCCGGCAGCTTTGGCAGCGGAGGAGGCAGCAGAAGCGAGGGTAGTCTGGGGGCGGTAGAAGGAGAGGTGGCGGTAGATGCGGCGCCAGTCCTCGTTGCGCTTCGCCACGCCCTCCATGTGGGCCGCGAGATGGCAGCTGAGGACCGCCACGCTGCGCCCACACACACTCATGCGCACCGCCACCGCTCCCTGGGGGGTAGAATTGGAGGTAGGTGTAGGGGAAAAGAATAATTCCCCTACAACAAACAGCACCAGTGCGCCATATTTGTGCAACTTTCAATATTTTTACTCAAAATTGTCTTACCTATGAGGTTTTTTTGCTAAGCGTCATTTCAAAAAAATGTTTTTTTCTGCTGCCATTTGCTCACCTTGTTGCCCAATGTGCGGCCAAACCCCCGAGGCACAGCCCCCACCTCCACATCCCGAATGAGATGGGCAAATGACGCCCTTGCCCTGTGTGACCCGAGAACAAGGGGAGTCAGGAGGGAGTTTGGGGAGATACCATGAAGGCATCAACCAGTGCTGCAACCAGAAATACTGTTTTCTAAGGTATGCTTGCTGGATAAACGTATGTGTGCTTTGAGGTAACCTGCTCTGTAGCCTACCCCCACACGAACTCATACACACTCAAATACACTCCTGCGCACACTCTCTCCCACACTCACCACACAGTGATGAGAATCCCCGCCATCTGCCTCGAAACAATCCGCACAAACGCCCCTCGGGACGCCAGAGCAGCGCCAATCGTTGCCACCCAGTGTGCCCCCAGCGCCGACCCCCGCTCCTGCAGCCCTAGGCGCACTGACTCCTTGGCCGCTGCTATGGCTATCGCCCCCGCATTCATCTCCACTTCCTGCAACCCCACTGCTATTATATCCGCTCCTCCCCCTCCTACCCCATTCCCCACATCCACTGCTCCCCCAGTCCCATTCCCCATACCTGCCCCAACTGCCTGGTCTAATCTATCCGCCCCTTCTTCCCTCTCTGGCCCTTCCCCTGCCACCTCCCCCAGCCACGCCTCCACACTCCTCTGCACCGCTCTCTCCTCCCCAACGTTCCACGTGCAGGCAGCCAGGCGGAATCTCTGCCGGGAGGTGAAGAGGGCGGAGGAGGAGGAGAGGGTGGCACGAAGGGCAGGGTCCACCGGGCCTGGGATAGCCACCAGCCATGCACTCACCTGCCCCGTGCGGGAGACACACACTATGAAGCTGCTGCACCGCGCCAGCTGGCGGATCGCTGCTGGTGTCGCCGCTGCAGCCGCTGCCGCTGTTGAAGCCTGGGAGGAGAGGGTTGTGTCATCCGAAGGTTGAGACAGGTCTGATGCGGTTCCAATGGAAGGGGAAGGGGATGCTGCTGCTGCTGCTGCTGCTCGTGCGGCCTTGGCTGCTGCCTTGGAGCATGGTGCGGGAGAGTGAGCCTGCCATGCCCCGATCACCCTCCCTGTGCGCACATGCAGCACTGTGATGCTTCCATCCGCTGTGCCCACCCATAGCCGCAGCCCCACCACACACAGACAACACACGCCGGCCTCCATCACCACCTCCTGCAGTTTGCCGCCTGCCCAGTCGTACTGCCGTAGCATGCCCGACCCGTGCCCGATCCACACCGTGCCGTCGCCAGCTGGCGCGACCGCATGGAGCTTGCGCTTGGGGGGGCGGGAGGAGGAGGAGGAGTAGGAGGAGGCAGAGGCGGAGGAGGTGGAAGACAAGGGTCCGTCGTCACCCGGTGGTGGTGGCGCTGCTGCCAACACTGGTGCTTCACCATTGCTGCTGGCAATGGGGGCTGAACCAATAGATAGACTAGAAGCAATAGATGCACCACCACCATTGGTGACACTAGCAGCGCCAGTAGCACTGTTGGCAGGGGCTGTGGCGCTGCTGGCTGTAGCGGATGTAGCGGCTGTAGCGCTGCTGGCCCCAGAGGCAACAGCGCCAGAGGAGGTATCCGCAGCAGCCCTCTCCTCGTCCTTCACTTTCACATGACACACCAGCGCTCGCTTCCTCGCGTCCCTGGAGGGGTAGTTTGACGGAAAGGTGGAGGCAGGAAGGGGAAACCAGGAGTTTAGAGAATCCAAGGCTGAGGGCAGAGAACATTGGAAGCAAGGGCTCTGCATGAAGACTTATGGAGTGTAATAACAAGCAAAAAAGGGGCTCGTTTGACTAGGTGCGAGCACATGAGCTCACCAGATGGAGATGGAAGCAGCTCCAATGCTCCAGACCTGCCCTGTTGCCGGGTCTGACACCAGTCGCCGCACAGACGTCACTCCGTACACCACGCCACCACTGCCTCCCTCGCTCTCACCCCCAGTCCCCGCAGCAGCGCTGCTGCCACTGCCCCCCCCACCACTGCTGCCCGTTGTAGCAGCAGCTACACTGCCACTGCTTTCTGTTACAGTGACAGGAGTGTCCCCTCCTGCCCCACGAGCTGCTCTAGAATCATCAGCATCACCATCCGCAGCAGCAGCTGAGGCAGACGCCACTGCAACGCAGTTCTGTGGCAGCTGGCTGTTGGGGGCATGCAGAAGCACAGGGACCGCAGCAGGCCGAATCACACAAGGAGCACGGAGGGGAGCAGCGTTGCTAACAGGAACAGTGGGTGGTAAGGCCGCTGGGCTGGGCGAGGATGAAGTTCGGGAGAGCTCGCTGCATAGGCTGGGCCAGGGCCACGCCTTGATGACGCCCCTGTCCCCCGCGGACCAGAGCTCACCATATGAGGTGACTACCAGGGCTGTCACAGTGGTGGTGTGCGCCTGCCACTCTGCCACGAGTTCTGCCCACACCTTCCACCCAGGCAACCTCTCCCCTCCCCCAACGCCTGAGTCGTTTCCGCCCATTGCTCCTCCTCCAAAACCCTGTGCTGCTCCGTCGCCCACAGCCGCAGCACCCTCTCTCTCTGCTCCCCTCTCCCGCACCCTCCACACCAGCACCCTTCCATCCCTGTGCCCCGTGAAAACCATCCGTCCCTTAACATCCGCTGCAATGCTCTTGGCTGCAGATACACCTGCCCCGAATGGCACCCAGAAGAACGCAGCTGCCTCTTCATCCCCTCTTGGGTTTCCTAGTCCCAAGGCCCCCTGTGCAGTCATCACATGTTGGATATCCCACACCCTGATCCCATCATCTGTAACCAGGAAAATGGAAGAATCTAGGGTAACTAGCAGGCATGTTCGGCTGCCATGGGGGGTCCCTTGGGGCAGGGTCCCAGATCGAGGGCGTGGACGGATCGACAGGGCGATTGGACGGCTGGGATCGACTGGGACACGCACAGGTGGGCCGTAGACAACCTTATCCAGCTTGGGAGGGCGTGCGGATTCACTAGCAGCGACTGGAACACTATGGTTACGAGCCATGCCAGGCGACAGGAAGCGCAAACCCCCTGCTCCCTTTTCTCCTACCCCTCCTCCTCCTCCTCCTGCTCCTCCTCCTGCGCCTGCCCCAACTCCTCCTCCCTCGGTTTCTCCTTTGCCAAAATCCTGAGAGGCAGCGCCAGAGCCTCCTTTTCTGTCTCTGCGCCGCCCATTCAAGCCTCTCATGAACGTGAATCCCGCTTCACCCCCCCGAGCCGACATTCTCTTGTCCACTGCCTTGGAGATTTTCGACTGAAGCCGCATCACTCCAGCACCTAACCCCTTCCCCCCCGCCTCCTCTTGCTCTCGCTCCCCTTCCTCTGCATCATCAATCCCCTCTGCTTTTGTGTAACTGCTCTGCATGTCTGGGGTTGGTGAGAGCGCTGACTTGTGTTGACCTGGTTCAGTCACGCACCGATCCAGCGCGTGTGGCGGAGAGCTAAAGTAGGAGTCACACGAGCCATCGCTCAGAGGGGAGAGGGGATTGGTAGGAGACGGCTGCCCTGTTGTGGCCTCAGGTATCACCTCCTGATTATGCCGCTGCTGCAGCTGCTGCTGCTGCTCCCTCCAGCTACGCGTGTCTGTGGTGGTTCCACAAGCAAAAGCCAGGGCCACCAAGTCACCACCAGGCTGAGGGGACCCTGCCTGCCTGCTATGCTCTGCCGCAGTGCCACCACCATTCTCCTGCAGACTGCTCGCAATGTCACTCGTGATGCTATCACTGCTGCTAACCACACCACAGTCATCGCCACCTCCACCACCATCAGCACCACCGCTGCCACCAGCAGCAGCAGCACTAGCACGGCTGCCCGTGCGCTTGTGTGGCTTGGAGGAGAAAAACCTGAAGTTCAGCTGAGGCGACCGCGGCCGTTGCTGCCGCTGATCCGCCAAAGATTCCGAGGCACACGAGGGATACTCCACAGTGCCCACCTGCTGATGCTCCCCGCTCTGTGTGCCATCTGTCGTGCGCTGCTCTTGAGTATTACTAGTGGCATGCTTAATGGTATGGTTGCTGTGTAACGGCGGCGAGGTTACATGTGAGGCTGGCTTAAGGGAGTGCGGGGGCTTGGCCGCCCAGGGAGGAGAGGTGAGGGGGCTGGGAGAGGGTGACGGAGGAGTGGTCGATAAAATCCGGGGTAAATCACCCTGTTTTGGATTTTCAAATGGATCGCCGAGAGTAGGCGTCTGCTGCTGCTGCCACCGTTGGTGCCCCTGCTGCGGCGACTGCTGCTGCATTCGTTGCTGCTCCCCCTCCGTCCCCTGTGGTTTAGACATGGCATAAGCTGCTGCACTTTCCCGCAGCGCCAGGGCCTCAGACTTGCCGGCTGAGTGACGCCTACCAATCCTCTTCAGAAACCGGAATGGGTCACTGGTTAGGCTCCCGCTCCCTCCTACTCCCTTCCTTTCAGCACTCGCAACAACACTGCTGGAGCTAGCAGTCACGGCTTCTGCACCTGCAGCATCACAGCGACCTCCATCATCAGCCTCAATACCAGCACCACTGCTGTCACTGACAGAAGCAGCAGCAAAGCGATTAGCGTCACCAGCAACAGAAGCACCACCAGGGCTTTCAGTTCCAGCAGCAGAAACCAACTCTCCTGCAGCACCGGCAGCAGCAGCAACCGCACCGGCAGCATCAGCAGCAGCATCAGCATCAGCATCAACAGCCCCATCCGCGGTACCGCTCCTCTTCGCCTCCCTCGCCTCGAGAGCAGCAGCGAAGAGCGCCTTCTTCCGGTTACCAATGACAATTGGCCCGCTGTGGTGCAGGCGACGCGGATGCGAGATGTCTTGCCTGGGCGAGGGCGATTGAGAGCCGTCAATTGCGTCCGCATCAGTAGATATCGGAATGAACTTCTGATATATTACTTTGCTCCTGCCTTCCAAAAACCCACAGCCGCTTGCAGAATCGCTGTGGGGGACGTCAGAAACCTGAGCAGCGGAACGTTCCTTCATAATTTGAACGGGTGCTGTCACAGCTCCTGCAGGAACAGCAACGGAATCAGAAGTAGAAGAATCTTTCGCAGATGAAGACAGGGAAGGCAAGTTGTTGTCTGAGAGGGTAAAATGGATGGGTCTTTGTCTGCCTGAAGCGTTCATGAGAGGGTCTGATGCTGTTGCCGCTAGCGGACGCTCAGTCACGCCAGACGGAGAACCGAAACCGTCAGCGATAACGACGGATTCTGGCAAGCTCGTCAACGCGCGCTCGCTCTTGGGCAAGGCTAACGAGACCCTTGGGGTACAGATGCTTTCCATGTCTTGAGTTGGCACGGCTGGTTTAAATGAAATGGCATCAAAACCCTCCTTTGGAAAATGCATGTTATCAAAAGCAGCAGGGTCAGGAGCCGAAGAGATGTTGGCGACGTCGCGATCCTTGGCGAAGGAGATTTCGCCAATGCCGCCGATACTGCGAACAGTATTAAAGGTCCCCTCGCTACAAGACCGGTTCATCCTGGAAATGTTGCGATCCGGTCAAACCCGTGAGCTTAGGCTGTCAAGCTTATTCTGAAAAATGCACGGATCAGAGTCAGTCTGCTCTACGAAACAGCTCGAATCCTCGTGGAAGTCTGAACAGCTTCATTCTTTAGGCACGTCAAAAATAACGACTGATTTGCCCTGGATTAAACCCGCGGTAGACTGTTAGAGTCGACGCACAAGCCTTAGCGATTGCCTGATTCCCTCGAACTCGTTTTTAGAGGCACAGGAACCTCGGCGCGGCTTGCAGTCCTGCTAGAGTCATTCATAGTCAGCGGTGCCGGCGACGATATTGAGGATGACGAACTGAAGAATCTCGTCATCAACTGCTAGACCATGAAAACCCCATATTTCCTGCAGCGAACTACACGTACTACTTTCTTACATTCCCTGACACAAATGACTGCTCAGGCACGGTGATTTTCGAACTGTCAGGTTAGCACCACGTCTTTCAGGGACGGCACGGCTGTGTAAGCTGGAGCTACAAACCTCTTTTCAGGATGGAGTGATAGGCGAGTCTGCTTTGTTCAGAAATATGCACGGGATTCTCAGAGAGAAACTTTCGTTTCTAGAGATTGTCGCCATTTCCTCGTTCCTTGAAGTTGGTTGGCAATTGCGAAGGGGCCAATGGTCCCAACTCCCGAGGGAACAGTGCGCATGAGGACGAAGACGGCACTTGGACTTGTTCACTGCAGTAACAAGCTCTTTAAAACCACAACGAAATACTAATTTATACCAGTAAGCCTCGCTTCTAAACTTCCCATATTTCATATTCAGCAGTGTGCCCCAACCCAAAGCTAGGTTAAGCCTGGGATGCGGCGGCATCACCTTTCTACTCTACACAAACTTACATTACGAGACGTATACAGTGATCGAGTGTTGACATGACATCAATCAAGCTTCCATTCCATCTACTTTGGCTTCTTACCACTACCATCTCCGCCAGCATCTGATTTCCGCTTTTTCTTCATCATTTTGGGAGTCTCACCCTTCTGTCCTACCAGTGGTACTTCCGCCTTATCAGCAAGCTTCTTTTGCTTGCATTTCTTCTTGGCAGACAAAGATTCTGTGACAAAAAACCACAGCACACAACGCTGAGCTGCAAAAGAATACCAGATTTTAGCGCAAATAGAAGAGAATTGAGTAGAGCAGGAAGTTGGCAAGTGAGTCCACTCAGCACAGAATCACTGTGGCTTACATCTGTCAAGGAAAATTCACCTTCCCTAGAATGACTCAAGTGTCAATACATAACCAAGACTGAGTACATTGCTTTGCAGTGTCAATCAGAAAGTGCTTGTGTAAGGAGGCGAGCTCACCTTGAGGGGGCGTTGGAGTGGACTCAGGCTGTGGCACGGCCGCAGCAGACACACACGTTACGGAGCGAGTGATTGGCCGCACTGGTAAGAGCACGAGGAAACGTGGTGGCGGGGAAGGTGAAAGGGTTGGGGAGGGAAGGAAAGAATAGTGAGAAAGACAAGGTCAGGTACTCAAGGCAACGAGTGCGAGGAGGGATGCAAAGGAGAATGTGAACACAAACGCATACGGCATGCACACATGCTCCCGTAAACCAGAAGCAGGCATACCAATGGGAGCGCGGCCGTCACAGCCAGGCAGAAGAGCCACCAGTGACACACATGCCCCAGTGACACACATGCCCCAGTGACACACATGCCCCAGTGACACACATGCCCCAGTGACTCACATGCCCCAGTCACACACATGCCCCAGTGACACACATGCCCCGGTCACACACATGCCCCGGTCACACACATGCCCCGGTCACACACATGCCCCGGTCACACACATGCCCCAACCAGTGACTCATTGGCAGGCATACCAATGGGAGGGCGGCCGTCACAGCCAGGCAGAACCGCCACCAGACCCCCTCGGGGCAGTGGGTCCGACACGAGTGCGAGCTCCTGGGAAGGTGAGAGGGTGCGGGCAGAGGGTCACAAAGATGAGCTTTGAGTCGACTCGAAGGCCATTACACACCCACGGGGCAGTGGGTCCGACACGAGTGCGATCTCATGGAAGGGTGAGAGAGTGCGCGCAGAGGGGCACAGGTAAGAGTTTTGACTTGACTCAAAAGCCACTAGACACCCACCCACGGGGCAGTGGGTCTGACACAAATGCGAGCACCTGGGAGTGAGAGAGCGAGATAATGGGGGCGGAGGGGCACAGCGCGAGACTGAGGCATGTGCACAGACACCCAATCCAATGTACTGCAGGAGTTTGGCGCGGTCAGTGCCCCATACAGCGACACGACTTACAAGCCCGCCACAACTTACAAGCCCGCCACAACTTACAAGCCCGCCACAACTTGCAAGCCCGCCACAACTTGCAAGCCCGACACACGCTGAGAGGTGACACAATCATATCATAGCCCCGGAGAGCAGAGTCGACTCACAACCAGCCAGTGCCCCTTGCAGTGAAGTGATACAGGTGCTCAAGGGTGACACAACTATAGCCCCGGAAGAGTTTGGGGGTAATCTGAACGATACTGTTACCCCTGTCGCAACTACCCTACCCTGCCACATCCCTGCACATCGCTCCGCACCTTCCCCTCCCACTTCCCCCCCCGCCCCCTTTCCTCCCATTCCCTCTCCCCCTCACTGAACCCAACCCCTCCCCATCCTGCTCTCCTCCCCCCCTTCAATCGCATCTCTTCCCGAGGTCCCCAAGAGCCTCACCGTGATTGGCTGGCCTCCCCAGACGAATCCCTTTCCCCCCGCTGCGCCTCTCCCCACTGCAGCTGCCCCTGGTGGCGCAAACCGGCACACCTCCACTCTCCGCGCATCCCCCTGTGCCCCCGCTCCCCCCCCCGCGCCCGCCTGCACGTGCAGCTGCGCGCCGTCGAGCGCGCGGAGGTCCAACTGCGCGGAGATGGGGGAAGGGGGATGCGCAGCGGAGGAGGAGATAAGCAAGACACGAGACGGGACTTTGAAAAAAAAAAAAGTCTCATCGAATTTCAAGAGGCACGCGTTACTGGGAGAAATGCATGTTATCGTAACGCGTACACTTTTGGCGTCTGGCATCTGAACGAGCCAAAGCTCCACGTCATCATCCTCGTTACTGCCATCTCCGCTTCTTCCGACTGCGCTAAGCAGCTCCGCGGCCGCCGCCATGGGCGGGCGGAGATTGTCGACGAACCCCCGCGAGGCGAGCTCCTGCGCAAGGTCCGTGTGAAGCACGGTTCCCGGCAGGACCATGTCCATACTCATCGCCATGGCGCCTGGCGCATTAAGTAACTGTCCGGTAATTAACTTCCTCGCGCGATTTATCAGCAGAAACAAGCGACGCGACGCTAATAGAAGAGTGGTTTGGTGGAGAAAGGCGACGGGAACAGAAATGCCAAAAAATCCAGAACTGTTTTGACTGACGGTTCAGGGTTGAAGGTTTTGAGCATCGTGTTTAGGTCTTCTATCCGTTATAGAAAATCATCCTACATATAGGTTAGGCTTCCATTTTTACTATATCCAAAACCAGCACATACGGTATAATAAACCAGAGGGATTGAGGAAAGAAATGCAACCCAGCTGTTAGAAAATTGATGGACTATGTTTTCAGCCTAAGCTGAAAATCTACACCAACAGCAAATTAAGGTGCTTAGGCTACAATTAGGGGTTACTAAACGTAACGGTTAAGGTCAATAACCACGTCTTTGGCTGGCCGGTAGATAAGGTCCAACACTCGCCACATCTGCACAAACCATACAACAATAAAACAAGCAAATAACACGTCAAAAATGCCACTGCAACTCAGCAATAATAACACAATTCTTCTCGCGGTACTCAACCTGTTGAGTCCGTCCGTCCTCCCATGGTGTGTTTCTAGTCGACTCAAAACCCATAGAAACATGCATTAACTACAAAACTACAGTCGTCACCCCAAGCTATCAGCGCTCACCTGTAGCGTGCCTCCTCCCCTTCTCTTGTTCACGTTGCTTGACACACTCGCAAACGTCCACGGGTCCTTCGGTGCCCACTGGAACTCAATAACTCGATCCCTAAAAAGGGCAACACGGGGAACAAGAACAACCATTTGCTTGTGGTAGTATCAAAGAACAGGGAGCAGAAGGAAGGATGACGGCAGGAAGCAGGAAGGCAGGAGGCATGAGGGCAGGAGATATGAGGGGAGGAGGCATGAGGGCAGCAGCAGCACTCACTGGTGGCCCACGTGTTGGAAGAGCAGTCCGGGCGGCACCCCGTCAGCTCGAGACGACTTCACCGCCTCCACATGCAGCTGATGGTGCAGGAGGGGCGTAAGGGGGGCAGGAGGGTGCAGGGGGGTGCAGGGGGGTGCACAGGGGTGCACAGGGGTGCACAGGGGTGCAGAGGGGCGCACGGGGGTGCACGGGGGAGAAAGGGTACACAGGGGACGCAGGGAAGGTACAGGGAGAAGGGATTTGCGGTGGTGAGGAGGGTGGACGGGGGCGGTTGGGGTTGTGAGCAACGGAAAAGGGGGCAGGGGCTTGCAATGAGGAGAAAGAAACACCGTGTGGGGCGCCTGTGAGGGACTCACCAGGGAGCAATCCCAGATGTTGACCAGGCCGTCCTCTGCACAGCTGGCAAACAGATGTTCACCGAGGGACTTGGCCATCCCAGCCCCAGCATGGCACCATCACCATCAGAGGCACATGTGTGGCGCGAACTCACCAGCGAGCAGTCCCAGATGTTGACCAGGCCGTCCTCTGCACAGCTGGCGAATACCGTGGGGCTGTCGGGACACCACTGCAGGAATACAAGCAGGGAGAGTGAAGGGATTAAGAGCGGTGGGAAGGGTGAAAGTTAATAATCATTGTAGGCAGATGTTGACCAGGCCGTCCTCTGCACAGCTTGCGAATACCGTGGGGCTGTCGAAACACCACTGCAGGCGTACAAGCAGGAAAAGGTTGTCAAATCACAACCATTCCAAGCTCCACTCACCACACCACAGCACCACTCACCACACCACAGCACCACTCACCACACCACAGCACCACTCACCTGCACGGACAGCACAGCTGCCTGGTGCCCTCCGCGGAACGCATGTGTAGCCTTCGCCTTCCCCCTCGCCTCCCCCTCCACCTTCCCCACCGGCCCTCCCCCGAGCTTCCTCACATCAAACAACCGCACGCTCTTATCCGCGCCCCCCGTCACCACCATATGCTCATTCCGCCCGTTCCAATCCACACAGTGAACATCACTATCATGCGCTTTCTCCACCCTCTGACACGGCCCCTTCTCTCCGCCTGTCCGTGCGTCCCACAGCAGCAGTCTCGAGTCGTCGCCCACGGAGCAGAACTGCTGGGAGTGCGAGGGGTGGAAGCACACGTCCTCCACGGTCGCTGTGTGCCCCTTGAACACCCCCCGGGGAGCCAGGCTTGTGGATTTCGGAGCGTATCCGAGCTTGAGTGGAGGGGACGGGGAGGAGGACCGGGCTGCAGCAGTGGGCTTGCCTGCAGCGTCTGCATCTGCCTCTGCTTCATCATCGCCAGGAGCACCAGTACCACCAGCACCACCACCAGTTGCCTCGTCAACAACCATTCCTGTTGGTGCCCCGTCAGTTGTTCCGTCTTCCTCCTTGCTTTTCCCCTCTTTCCTTTCCTCAACTGCTTTCTCCTCCTTCACCTCCTTGCTCCCTCCCCCAGCTTCCTCACCCTCTTCCCCCCCTGCCTTATCACTCCCAACCGCATCACTCTTCCTCCCTCCCTCGCCCTCCTCTCCCCCTGTCTTATCCACGTCCATGCCCTCACTCTCTTTCAATGCCTCTGAGGGTGCATCTGCATCTGCACCCGCAGGAGCAGCGGAGGCAGTTATTTCAGCATCATCACCACCACCCTCTTTCTTCCCTGCTTCACTCTTGCTCCCTGCCTCCGCCCCTCCCCCTGCCGCTACTTCCTTCCCTACGTCCCCCTCTACCTTCTCCGTATCTGTCTCCTCCTTTTCCCCTGTCTCAGCTGCCTTCACCGTTTCAGCTTCTTTTCCTTCCTGCACTGCCTTCCCCTCCTCGCCATTGCCTGTCTTCTCGTCACTCCCTGTCCCTTCCTCCGCTTTTACACCAGGCACAGAAGCATGATCATTATCAGCAGCACCACCTGCAGTAACTGCATCCTTACCAGCATCAGCATCAGAAGCATCAGCAGCAGTAGCATCAGCAGCAGCAGTGGCAGCTGTAGCAGCAGCACCATCAGCATCGGCCATTACCACATCAGCATCTGCTCCTGCGGGTTGTGCCTCTGCCCCCTCTTCTTCTTTGTCCGTCGCTTTGGTTTCTGTCCCCACGTTTTCTTCTGCTTCCTCTTTCGCTTCTGAACCTACTTTCCCCTCAGCCTCTTCTTTCGTCTTTGTCCCCTCCTCTGCTTTCCCTTCCCCTTCCACAACCTTCTCCTCTCCCTCAGTACCTTTCTCCTTAGACTCCTCTACTGTGGTACCCTCTTCCTTCTCTTTCCCCTCCCCCTCCTCTTTTCCCTCACCCCCCTTCTCTTTCTCCTCCCCTTCCTTCTCTTCCCCATCCTCCCCCTTCTCTTTCCCCTCCTCTTCCTTCACTACCTTCTTCTCTCCTTCCACCTTCTTCTCCTTCTCTCCGTTCTCTTTTTTCGCCTCCTCCTGCTTGCCCTCCCCTCCCTCCTTTCCCTCCACTTCTTTCTCCTCTTTCTTCCTGCTCCCTTCCAATCCCCTACCTCTCTTCTCCCCCTCCCCTCCACCATCCTCCTTCTCCCCTTCCTTCACTTCCTTCACTTCCTCTCCCTTCACCACAACTTCCTCCCGCTTCCGCTTCTTCTCTGCGTCCCCTACCGCGCTTCCCCCATCCCCATCCCCATCCCCACCCCCTCCCCCTCCCCCACCTCTACCCCCGCTACGAGCAGGGGAGTCAGCACGGGCACGGGAGGAAACAGAGGCAGAGGGGGCAGAGCGGGAAGGTGCGGAGGGCGCAGCAGCTGCCTTGGCCTTCGGCTTGGCGGCGGGGTGGGGCTTGCGGAGGGCAGCAGAGGACTGCAATGATGGGGAAGGGAGGGACAAGACAAGATTGAACAAGTGTTTTGAGACGTCTCAAAACACTTCTTCAAACACAGGGCAGCAGAGGACTGCAATGACGGGCAGCAGAGGACTGCAATGACGGGGAAGGGAGGGACAAGACAAGATTGAACGACCAGGGAAGGGAAGGGTAAGAGGGGCAATGATTCCTTCACATCCACAGCAGTGTGGCGTTGACATCATACAGCACAGCGTGCCCTGCTGGCTCATACGCAGCGATGAGACATAATTTTAGACGTTCCGGCGCGGCACCTTGCGGTCCAGGTCCTTACCTCCTGATTGCCCAGGTCCTTCTGTTAAGGCGATTAGCCTGACCTGGGTTTCTGGCAAATAAAAAACCTGATGGCTCACCTGCAGCGACGTGACGTGGTCCGCCACGTTCCAGAGCAGCACATTGTGGTCCTTGCCCCCGCTGATCACCAGCGGCGCCACCGGGCTGGTCGCCATGGCAAACTCCGCATCGTCCGTGTGCCCTACCAAGATCTGACGTGCGTGGGTGCAACAGAGGGAGGATGGTGGGGAGTGAGGGGAAGGGGGCATGCACAGAAAGCATGGCTGCCTCTCCCATTGCAAACTCCACATCATCCATGTACCCCACCAGGATCTGACGGGCAAAGGAGAAGGGGGAACGGGAGAGAAAAGGAGGTAACGGGGATTGAGAGGGAATGCAGCAGGCGTGCTGAAAGAAGGCGTGTTGAAAGAAGGCGTGTTGAAAGAAGGGATGGCGGCGCTGCAGATGCCACATCAGGACGTCAGGGCTGGCTGTTGGTGCGCGTGAACAATCTGTTACGGTTCTGCACCAGCTGTCATACCCTTCACTCATCTCCTCTGCCTTGACCCCATGCCACGTACCAGGTCAGGAGTGGAGGCAGGCGTCCCAGATCGGGGACTGGAGCTGCAGTCCCGGGTGGGGGACTGGAGCTGCAGTCCCGGGTGCGAGACTGGAGCTGCAGTCCTGGGTTGGGGACTGGAGCTGCAGTCCCAGGTTGGGGACTGGAGCTGCAGTCCCGGGTGGAGGACTTGAGCTGCAGTCCCGGGTGGGGGACTGGAGCTGCAGTCCCGGTTGGGGACTGGAGCTGCAGTCCCGGGTGCGGGACTGGAGCTGCAGTCCCGGGTTGGGGACTGGAGCTGCAGTCCTGGGTTGGGGACTGGAGCTGCAGTCGCGGGTGGGGGACTGGAGCTGCAGTCCCGGGTTGGGGACTGGAGCAGCATTCCCGGGTGGGGGACTGGAGCTGCAGTCCCGGGTGGGGGACTGGAGCTGCAGTCCCGGGTTGAGGACTGGAGCTGCAGTCCCGGGTTGAGGACTGGAGCTGCAGTCCCGGGGTGGGGACTGGAGCTGCAGTCCCGGGTGGAGGACTTGAGCTGCAGTCCCGGGTTGGGGACTGGAGCTGCAGTCCCGGTTGGGGACTGGAGCTGCAGTCCCGGGTGGGGGACTGGAGCTGCAGTCCCGGGTGGGGGACTGGAGCTGCAGTCCCGGGTTGGGGACTGGAGCTGCAGTCCCGGGATGGGGACTGGAGCTGCAGTCCCGGGATGGGGACTGGAGCTGCAGTTCCGGGATGGGGACTGGAGCTGCAGTCCCGGGTTGGGGACTGGAGCTGCAGTCCCGGGTGGGGGACTGGAGCTGCAGTCCCGGGCGGGGGACTGGAGCTGCAGTCCCGGGCGGGGGACTGGAGCTGCAGTCCCGGGCGGGGGACTGGAGCTGCAGTCTCGGGTTGGGGACTAGAGCTGCAGTCCCGGGTGGGGGACTGGAGCTGCAGTCCCGGGTGGAGGACTTGAGCTGCAGTCCCAGGTTGGGGACTGGAGCTGCAGTCCCGGGTTGGGGACTGGAGCTGCAGTCCCGGGATGGGGAGTTGGGGACTGGAGCTGCAGTCCCGGGTTGGGGACTGGAGCTGCAGTCCCGGGATGGGGAGTTGGGGACTGGAGCTGCAGTCCCGGGTTGGGGACTGGAGCTGCAGTCCCGGGTGGGGGACTGGAGCTGCAGTCCCGGGTGGGGGACTGGAGCTGCAGTGTTGTAACTGTATTGTTGTAACTGTATCTTATATACAACATACATAGGCTAGAATGGTGTAGCTCTTTATGTTCTTGGGGGGTTGGGTGTACACTCCAACCACATTTTGTGGTTGGTCAAGGTTGGGTTTGGTCTTGGTCCTTGGTTGGCACTTGCCAACTTTTGGTCCTAAGGCCTACCAATCACAACCTAGCAACATTGTGGGGTTACCTACCCCACAAGGCATCTCCCCCATTGGCCAACTTAGTGGCCAATAGGGTTTGCTCCTTCTTCACCCCTCTCTTGCTTGCATGCTTGTACTATAGAGCCTCAATGGCTCATCATTCAACTACTCTTGAATTCTATCATGGTATTCAGAGCCAAATGGCTCACGCCACCTTCCCTCGATCCTCATGTTGTAATTCCCTCCCCGCTCCCTTACCCTAGCGGACTATGACCTACATCCGCCCACCCGCTCCTCAGATCTAGCCTCCCGCGGCTCAGTTCCGCCTCCCGCACCTCAGATCTAGCGTTCCGCGGCGTAGATCTCCTCCTCCGCGGCCTCAATCCTCCCTCCCGCGGCCTCTATCCTCCCTCCCGCAGCCCCTATCCGCTCCCCCGTGGCAGCAATCCTTCCTCCCGCCGCCACGCCTCCATCTGCCCGCCGACGCGTCCGACCTCCGCGCCGACGCGGACGACCTGCGCGGCGACGCGGACGACCTGCGACCGCCGCAAACGGCCAGCGCGCGACCCCCGACGACCAGCGCGCTGCCGCGGACGGCCAGCGCGGCCTCGCCGACGGCCCGCGCGCTGACGCGGACGGCCAGCCCGGCCCCGCCGACGACCCGCGCGCTGACGCGGACGGCCAGCGCGGCCCCGCCGACGACCCGCGCGCTCACACGGACGGCCAGCGCGGCCCCGCCGATGACCCGCGCGCTGACGCGGACGGCCAGCGCGACCCCGCCGACGACCCGCGCGCTGACGCGGACGGCCAGCGCGACCCCGCCGACGACCCGCGCGCTGACGCGGACTGCCAGCGCGGCCCCGTCGACGAGCCGCGTGCTGACGCGGACAGCCAGCGCGCGGCCACGAAAGAACTGCGCGCCACCGCGAACGGCCAGCGCGCGGCCGTTGACGCCCCTGCGCCGACGTGGACGGCTGGCGCGCAGCCGCGGCTGATCTGCCCGCCGTCGCGTTCGCCTGCCCGCGATCTCCACGACCTCGAAACCCTAATTCCTCCCCGCACTTCCGCACCAGCCTCTCTTCCCCTCTACCTCCTCCCCCTACTCCACCCCTAACGGCACCAGCAGCAGCAGCAGCGGCATCGGCGGCAGCAGCAGCAGCGGCATCGGCGGCGGCAGCTGCAGCGGCATCGGCGGCGGCAGCAGCAGCGGCATCGGCGGCGGCAGCAGCAGCGGCATCGGCGGCGGCAGCAGCAGCGGCATCGGCGGCGGCAGCAGCAGCGGCGGCACCAATACCAACAGCAGCAGCGGCGCCTTCACCCCTCCGCCGTCATGGCGTCATCCGACTCCTCGGTCGATCTAGCGACCATTGACGCCCTCGAGCTGCTCGGCGACAACTCGGCCGCCAACTGGCACTCCTATGGTCACTCCGTCGAGGTGTTGCTCTCCTCGGTCATCGTCAGTGGTTATACACTCCGCTCCGTCGTGTTCCAGGAGGAAGGCGGACTCCAGCCCATCGCCCCTTCTGCCCCCACCGGACCTCCTCCTGATGAGCCCGGACCTGAGCCCGAGTCCCCTGGTGATCCTCCCTCCTTCGCATCGGATGTCAACAATCCTCAAAGCGTGGAAACTGCCATCCGTGCCTACCGCAACACACTCAACGACCACCTTCGCCGTCAACTGCGCTATGAGGACGACAAGCGCGCCTACGACGAGGCTGCTGCCCGTCACCGCGACTACCACGCCCAACTCACCACGTACACTACACGCCTCGCTAGCTACACCTCCGACATCGCTGCGTGGCGCATTGCTGACCGTCGAGCTCTCGCCATCCTCCTCGCCACTATCCCCTCCTCCCTCAAGCGAGAACTCTCACCCACCTCCTCCTCCCACCTGTGGCAACTGCTTGTCGACCTCTTTGACCGGCAGGACATCGCCACCCTCTATGCCCTCATCAAGGACTTTGGATCCATCACCATGGATTCCACTGCCGGCGCAGCCGCCTTTACTCGCCGCGTCCTTGACCTTGCTCGCCGCCTTGCAGCACTTGGTGTTACCTACCCTGACACCGTCATCTGCTGCCACCTCCTCGAAGGCCTCACTCCTGCCTTCGATGCCCACAAGCTGGCCTACATGCAACTCCTCTCCAAACATGACACTCCCGCTCAAGTTGCCCAGTGGATTATCACCACCGAGGCAGAAATCCTTCGCCACTCCTCCACTGCCGCGGTAGCACAGCAGCGCAGCGGCAAAGGCGGACGTGGAGGGGGGCGTGGAGGTGGGCGTGGAGGTGGTCGAGGCGGCTCTGGCGGTCGTGGTGGTGCGGGTCGTGGTGCAGCAGCGGCCTTCCCACCCTGTCAGTATCTTCCCCTTTATGGCCCCACCCGAGGCCAACGCTGCAACCAAACCACTCATGCAACTGAGACGTGCTTTAAGGCACTCAGCGATGAGTGGTTCGCTCGTGGGAACTCTGGCACCCCTCCTCGCTGGTCCGCCCTTAATCCCCGCCCCACTCCCCTCGACGTTCGCACCTCTCCCCTCTACGCTCCCTCCTCCTCCTCCCAGGCCCACCAGGCCTTTGCTCTCCCCTCTCAGCAGCAGCAGCAGCAGCATCAGCAGCAGCAGCAGCAGCAGCAGCAGCAGCAGCAGAGTGTTCAGCAGCAGGGACCGCAGCAGTACGGGCAGCAGCTTCAGCAGCTCCAGCAGCAGCTCCAGCAGCTCCAGCAGCAGCTCGACCTCCAGCCCCAGCTTCCTCTCCTCCCTCCTCCTCCTGTCCCCCAGCAGCAACCGTTTCCCGGCTGGACCGCAAGGAATGCAGCCTCTGCGGCCCACCTCTCCGGTCCCTCCCCTGCGCCGTCCACAGGTGGTAGTGTGACCCCCTTTCCCTCCTCTGGCTTTGTTGGTCTGCTTAGTCAGCCTCCCTCTGTTGCATCCCCTATGTATGCCCCTGCTACTAATGAAACTTCCATTCAGTACTCCGCCTCACCCTCCTCCACCCTTGAAATCGTCCTGGATAGTGGAGCCACTGACAATGTCTTTCGCGATGCGGGCAAACTCCATCCTCTCCCCACACCCACGTCCCTCCTCGGCGCTGACAGCAGCTTTTCCATCCCCTGTCACAACACGTCCACCCTTCCCTGTCCTCTCTTTCCCTCAGGTACCGTCACAGGTCTTCACATTCCCTCCCTTCGCACTAACCTCCTTTCCCAAAGGTCCCTCCAACAATCCATGATCACCACTGTCACCCCAGGAGGTGCTAACCATTGTGACCTTTTCCAAACCTCCACAGGTCGCTTCCTCGCCCGCATTCCCTACTGTCACCGCTCCCGTCTATACACCCTTCGGGTTCCTCGCCCCTTCACCTTCCAAGTTGCCTCTCCCCCCATCCTCCCACCCCCTCCCCCACCGCCCCCCCAGTCCCACGGTGCCCCTCCCTCGTCTGGTGACATCTTTGACCCGGACCCCCTGTCTTCCCCTGTCTCCCCCGCTCACTCCTCCCCTGGTACCCCTCCTCCCCCTCCCTCCCAACCCTCGCCTCCCTCCCCCCCTCCCCGCACCACACTCACCCGGTATCCCCACACCAGGTCGTGCGACGGTATTCTTGGTGCACCGCCCCCTGTTACCCTCTCTACCTCTACCCTCCCCCCTCTTTCCCCCCTTCTTCACCACTTCTTCCAGGCTGTCCTGCATCAAGCCCCTCATGCACCCGCCCCCTCTACTACCTCTCCAGCAGCGGCAGCGGCAGCAGCTCCAGCAGCAGCCACCGCAGCGGCACCAGCAGCGGCACCAGCAGCGGCAAGTGCAGCGGCACCAGCAGCGGCAAGTGCAACGGCACCAGCAGCGGCGAGTGCAGCGGCAGTGGCGGCCTCGGCAGCGGCACCAGCAGTGGCGGCACCAGCAGCGGCATCAGCAGCGGCATCAACAGTGGCACCAGCAGCAGCACCTGCGGTCCTCCGCGCCTTCCACACCTCCCTCTCTGAGGACTCCCATGAGGAGTTCCTTGACCTCCACCTCTCTGACCCCTCCCTCCTTCCCATCACCTCTGACCTCTCTGGAACACCAGTCCTCGCCTTTTCCTCCGCACCCTCCACCTTCATCCCAACCACGTATGAGGAGGCCATGGCTTGTCCCGACGCCCCGCTCTGGCTCGCCGCCATCATCAAGGAGCTCGAGGCGTTTATTGCCAACTCCTCCTTCGTTGATGTGCCTCGCCCTCCCCCCTCTACGAACGTGGTCAAGGGAAAGTGGGTGTTTCGCGTCAAGCAGCTGCCAGGAGAACCGCCCGTCTACAAGGCCCGGTATTGCGCCAAGGGCTTCACGCAGCGGTAGGGCTTTGACTTCTTCGAAACCTGCTACCGTTCGCGCCGTCCTCGACCTCGCCGCTCGCCTCAACATGGAGATCCACTCGATGGATGTCTCCAACGCCTTCCTGCAAGGCGTACTACGTGAACTGATCTACATGGAGCGCCCCGTGGGCTTCCACCTCCCCTTCCCCGCTGACTCTGTCTGGCAGCTGCGCCGCCCGGTGTATGGGCTCCGCCAGGCTCCCAGGGAATGGCATGCCAAGCTTGCTGCCACCCTTGTCGAGCTTGGGTTTCGCACCTCCCTCTTCCTCCGCACCTCCCCCTCCCCCTTCTACATCCTCGTCTATGTTGACGATATGATTCTTCTCACTGCCGATCCTGCCGAGCTCGAGACTGTCAAGACGGAGCTGGGCAGCCGTCTCAAATGCAAAGACCTGGGAGAGCTGCAGCACTACCTCGGCATGACCATCACTCGCGACCGCTCCGCCCGCACCATCTCTCTCTCTCAGGGCCACTACCTCCAGCAGGTCTTAGAACGGTTTGCAATGGCGCGCGGTAACCCCCAGCCCACTCCCCTTTCGGTCGGGCACCACCTCTCCCCACCCTCCTCTCCCTCTCCCTCCTCCCCTCCTTATCCTGAACTCATCGGCTCTCTCATGTACGCCATGGTCTCTACTCGCCCTGACCTTGCCTACCCCATCAGCGTCCTCGCTCGCTTCGTTGGCGCTGGCAAGCATACGGAGGAGCACTGGCAGGCCGCCAAGCGCGTTCTTCGCTACATTCGTGGCACCAAGGACTATGTCCTTACCCTTGGCGGCCCTTCCCCACCCCTCCTCAACGGCTACAGCGACTCTTCCTGGGCTGACTCTCGACCGGATCGGCGGTCCTCTCAGGGTTATGGCTTCTCTCTGGGCAGCGGCCTCATCAGCTGGCGGTCCACACGCTCCTCTGCCGTCGCCCTCTCCTCCTGCGAGGCAGAGCTCTACGCTGCAACCATGGCCGCGCAGGAGGCGCGCTGGCTCACCTTCCTCCTTGATGAGCTCGGAGCCCCCCAACGCTGTCCCACCATCTGGTGTGACAACGCCAGCACCATCCACCTCACCAAGGATGCTGTGTATCATGGGCGCTCCAAACACATTGAGCTCCGCTACTTTTTCATTCGTGAACTCGTTGAGGCAGGCCATCTTCGCCTTGGCAAAATCGACTCGGCGGCCAACCTCGCTGACATCTTCACCAAAGCCCTTCCCCAGGCGTCTCACTCCTTCCTTCTGCGCCTCCTTGGCCTCACCCCTCCTCCGGTTTTGGCGGCCTCCTGATTCCATTTTCTAGCCTTATGCCTGTTGGGGGGTTGTGTTGTAACTGTATCTTATATACAACATACATAGGCTAGAATGGTGTAGCTCTTTATGTTCTTGGGGGGTTGGGTGTACACTCCAACCACATTTTGTGGTTGGTCAAGGTTGGGTTTGGTCTTGGTCCTTGGTTGGCACTTGCCAACTTTTGGTCCTAAGGCCTACCAATCACAACCTAGCAACATTGTGGGGTTACCTACTCCACAAGGCATCTTCCCCATTGGCCAACTTAGTGGCCAATAGGGTTTGCTCCTTCTTCACCCCTCTCTTGCTTGCATGTTTGTACTATAGAGCCTCAATGGCTCATCATTCAACTACTCTTGAATTCTATCATGCAGCCCCGGGTGGGGGACTGGAGCTGCAGTCCCGGGTTGGGGACTGGAGCTGCAGTCCCGGGTGGGGGACTGGAGCTGCAGTCCCGGGTTGGGGACTGGAGCTGCAGTCCCGGGGTGGGGACTGGAGCTGCAGTCCCGGGGTGGGGACTGGAGCTGCAGTCCCGGGTTGGGGACTGGAGCTGCAGTCCCGGGTTGGGGACTGGAGCTGCAGTCCCGGGTTGGGGACTGGAGCTGCAGTCCCGGGTTGGGGACTGGAGCTGCAGTCCCGGGTTGGGGACTGGAGCTGCAGTCCCGGGGTGGGGACTGGAGCTGCAGTCCCGGGGTGGGGACTGGAGCTGCAGTCCCGGGTTGGGGACTGGAGCTGCAGTCCCGGGTTGGGGACTGGAGCTGCAGTCCCGGGTGGGGGACTGGAGCTGCAGTCCCGGGGTGGGGACTGGAGCTGCAGTCCCGGGTTGGGGACTGGAGCTGCAGTCCCGGGTTGGGGACTGGAGCTGCAGTCCCGGGGTGGGGACTGGAGCTGCAGTCCCGGGGTGGGGACTGGAGCTGCAGTCCCGGGTTGGGGACTGGAGCTGCAGTCCCGGGTTGGGGACTGGAGCTGCAGTCCCGGGTTGGGGACTGGAGCTGCAGTCCCGGGTTGGGGACTGGAGCTGCAGTCCCGGGTTGGGGACTGGAGCTGCAGTCCCGGGTTGGGGACTGGAGCTGCAGTCCCGGGTTGGGGACTGGAGCTGCAGTCCCGGGTTGGGGACTGGAGCTGCAGTCCCGGGTGGGGGACTGGAGCTGCAGTCCCGGGGTGGGGACTGGAGCTGCAGTCCCGGGTTGGGGACTGGAGCTGCAGTCCCGGGTTGGGGACTGGAGCTGCAGTCCCGGATTGGGGACTGGAGCTGCAGTCCCGGGTGGGGGACTGGAGCTGCAGTCCCGGGTTGGGGACTGGAGCTGCAGTCCCGGGTTGGGGACTGGAGCTGCAGTCCCGGGTTGGGGACTGGAGCTGCAGTCCCGGGTGGGGGACTGGAGCTGCAGTCCCGGGTTGGGGACTGGAGCTGCAGTCCCGGGTTGGGGACTGGAGCTGCAGTCCCGGGCTGGGGACTGGAGCTGCAGTCCCGGGCTGGGGACTGGAGCTGCAGTCCCGGGTTGGGGACTGGAGCTGCAGTCCCGGGCTGGGGACTGGAGCTGCAGTCCCGGGCTGGGGACTGGAGCTGCAGTCCCGGGTTGGGGACTGGAGCTGCAGTCCCGGGTGCGGGACTGGAGCTGCAGTCCCGGGTTGGGGACTGGAGCTGCAGTCCCGGGTGGGGGACTGGAGCTGTAGTCCCGGGGTGGGGACTGGAGCTGCAGTCCCTGAGGACATCGGGGCTGTCAGTGTGTGTGAAGATGATGTTGCGGCTCTGCACCAGCTCTCAAATACCATTCACACCGATCATCACCTCTGACATACCAGGTCAGGAGTGGAGGCGGGGGTGTTGAAAGAAGGAGTGCAGAAGGGGTGGCGCTCCACGTGCCACATGAGCACATCAGGGCTGTCTGTGTGGGTGAAGATGATGTTGCGGTTCTGCACGAGCTCTCGGATGCGGTTCACCTCCCCCGGGTGCACGATCGTCTTGAACTTGCGCACAAAGGGCGACCGCCTGTCGTACTTGAACTGCCATGGGCCAAGGGGAGGGCATGAGGAGGAAGGAGGAGGGGAGGGGGGAGGGGGGGAGGGGGGGGTAGAAGGGGCATCTTGCTCGTTACAGTTCACCTCGCCCGGATGCACGATGGTCTTAAACTTGCGCACAAAGGGCGACCGCCTGACGCACTTGAACTGCACATGGGAGAAGGGTGTGGAGGGGGTTGGGTGGGCCAGCCGATAAAAAGAGGACGTGAAGTTTCACAGCCATTCGATGCAGAGTTATCTGCCATAACTGCTACTCCATGCATGCATCACCATTGCCATGCCATGCATGCACCATCATCATCCATGCCATGCATGCACCACCCATGCATGCACCATCACAGCATAGCCTACCCGGCAGATATCCCGAGGGGCGGCTACACGAGGCTTGACGACATACGCGTTGGAGACCACAAGGGTGTTGGGCACTGTGCCGTCCGTCTGACGATGGGGTTCGGAGGGAAAGGGAGAGTGTGTTATGCGGTTTCAGAGACACAAGGGACGTTAGAGATTGTGGTTTTGCACGTTGAGAATGAAGGCGAGGGGCGAGGAGGCTTTTGAGTCGACTCAAGAGACACAAGGACGTTAGAGATTGTGGTTTTGCACGTTGAGAATGAAGGCGAGGGGCGAGGAGGGTGTGGAGAGGCAGGGGAGGGTGAGGGGGGAGAGGGTGAGGCGGGAGAGGGTGAGGGGGGAAAGGGTGAGGGGGGAAAGGGTGAGGGGGGAGAGGGTGAGGGGGTGAGGGTGAAGAGAGGAGGTGGGGTGGGGGAGGATGTGGGGGTGGGGAGGGGGGGAGTTCGGGGAAAAGCGGGAGGGAACAGAAGGTACAAGAATGGGTGGACAGGGCGAGAGACTAACAACAAAAAAAATACAAGAATGGCGTGAAGGGAAGTATTAGCTCGGGAGAAAAACAAAAATCCTGTTTGGTCAGTACTAGACTAAAAAAAATCATTTGATTTACCAGGAAAAAAAAAACACAAAAAAAAAAAACAAAACAAAAACAAAAACACGCACCTGCTCGGAGAGGTAGAGGCGTCGCTTGTACTTATGCGTGCGGTCCTCCACCAACGGACCCCACCTGCCGTCGCACGCGCATGCGAAAACATAAGTTGGATAGGGAAGGCGGAGGGCCTTTGAGGTAGTTATCAGGGTGAGCGGAATTAGGGGTCGTCATTCGGGGAATAGTGAGCGTTATTGAACGGAAATCACTTTTCATGAAACTAAGCCTATTCCGTTGACGTGTACAAACAAGGGCTATCGTAAGAAACGCCTTGGTTTGGTCCTAACCTGCACGAGAGCGACGGCCAGACGAGGTGGTGGTTGGCGAACCAGTCGTACAGCAACGGCATGTTTCGCTTCCACTTTCGCCGATCGTCGCCCTCCTCCTCGTCGCTCGACTCGTCGTCGTCCCACGGGTCCTCCTCGCCGCGCCGCTCCGCCTCCTCGTCGTCGCGCTTTCCCACGCGACGCTCGTCTGGGCCCATTGCGTTACGAAGGGATAGCGGACAGGCAGGAGACTCAAGTCTGGCTGTCGAAGAAACACGGAAATAGCAGCCTACACCAGAGCTGGCCTAGATATTGCCGGCAGCAGCAATACAAGCTTTGGCCAAGACAGTCAGCAATTAGATTAAAATAAGCTGGAGCTGTTCAATTTGAAGGGAGAAATTTGAAGCCCCACAATTTGATTGGGGGAATGAGTGCAGTACATTTTGTTTGTCCAAAAAAATTCTTATAAATGACAAACATGACATTTATTCAGCGACAGATACACAGATACACATCAGTGAACCAGTCATGAAGAAACTGCCGATGTCACATCAGCATTGGTAGCAGCTGGTCTTTTAGCAACCGACTCAGGCGGTGGAGCACCAGTGGCTTCAGCATACTTGTCCTCCAGATCCTGCAGCATACGACAGGTTTATCACCCGTTATTTTAAAAAATATTGCAGTGCAAAAGGCAGCATATATGCAAGCGAGGATCGACTACTTACGATGAGCTTGCTGCGAATAGTGTCGAGAACTTCCGGGGTCATTCGATCAAAGTAAAGGGTCCCCTGAAAACAAAACAAACATCAGCATGTAACACTCTCAGCCACAGCACCTTATTCGGGCTAAAGGCTCATTTGTGTTCGGCTCACACAATAAGGGAATCAAAGGTCCCCTCTGCTGAGTCACGAGGCATACCTCAAGGTGATCGTACTCATGTTGGAATATGCGTGCCTGCCACTCTTTCAGACTGATGCTGAATTTCCGGCCGTTGATATCCTGAGCATCCACCTTCACACCCATTGGCCGCTGCAAACATCATAGATAGTAGAAAACATACAAACAAACAAATACACCCACACACACACACCAACGCAATCAGGCTCCATCCTACTAGCACCAGCATAAACGACAGACAAATACTATATCCAACTCTGCAGAACTCCTAAAACTGACACACTCACCTCGACGTCAGCGTAGATCTTGACAGGGAAGGAGAGGCAGCCCTCCTCGATAACATCCCGTGCCTTGGCATACTTGACAATGCGCGGGTTCACCAGCACCATCTCCACACCCCCACACACACACTTCATTTCAGTGCATCCACTCGAAGCGAACTCACCTCAACATCAGCGTAGATCTTAGGGAAGGAGAGGCAGCCCTCCTCGATAACATCCCGTGCCTTGGCGTACTTGACAATGCGCGGGTTCACGAGCACCATCTCAACGCCCTTGCCCCTCTCGCCCACCGGGTTGTACACCATCAGGCGCACGTTCACGCCCACCTGTGGCGCTGACAGCCCCACGCCCTCCGTCCTGCCCGCATGAAGGGAGAGCGGGGAGGGGGAGGGCGGGGGAATTGGGAGTGGGGAGATAGAGGTGGGGAGCGAGGGGAGTGGGGAGGCGGGAGAAGGTTACGTCGAGGAAACAAATGAGGTCCTTATTGATGTCTCGCGCCTTGGCGACAATGCAGGGATTGACCGAGGGCTTGTTCCCCATTAGCCGCACATTCACCCCCCCTGAGGCGCTGACAACCCCATCCCCTCCGCCCCGACAACAACAGGGAGAAGAGGAGGGGGGGAATAGGAAGGGCGAGAGAGTGAGGTGGGGAGGAAGAGGGGGAGAGTGGGATAGAAGGAGGGGGGCTGTCAATGACACGCTCACCTGTACATGACATGAAACGGTCACTTGTACATGACATGACATGCTCACCTGTACATCACATGAAACGCTCACTTGTACATGACATGACATGCTCACCTGTACATGACATGAAACGCTCACTTGTACATGACATGACATGCTCACCTGTACAGGCCATGAAACCCTCACCTGTACATGACATCGAACATCTCCGCTACAAGCTTCTGCAGCGACTCATCAAAGACGTTCACTCGCTTGTTGGGCGCCCTCAAGCGCGGGTCCGGGTACAGCACTATGTCCAGGGGTGACTCATATGAGATGGGCCCCGCTGCAAGGGCGATGGGAAGAAAGATTAGGAAGGAGGGGAGGTGGGGAGTCGGGGGAGGGAGGGGAGAGGGGACCATGCGGTTGGTCATTGAGGAAAGAGATAATTTGATTCACGGGATGACCATGCGCAAGTACAATGTAAAGACAACACATGAGAAGAAATACATGCTTCAGCACGCGCATAAATGATGCATAGAGGACACATGCATGAGCGCATAAATGATGCATAGAGGACACATGCATGAGCGCTGAATATAGCCAGACGAGCGACGACAGGAGCATCACTGACCGACGTTCTCCTCATCTTTGATTGATTGCAGCTCCGAAAGGAACCCCCTGCGCGCCCTGGCGACGTGCCGAGGGGGGTGAGCTGGGAACGAGCGAAAGGGGAGGGAGGATGGAGAGGAGAGCAGCACTGACCGACGTTCTCTTCGTCTTTGATAGACTGCAGCTCCGAGAGGAACCCCCTGCGCGCCCTGGCGACGTGCAGAGGCGTGTGAGCTGCGGGCGGGAGAGAGGGGAGGGAGGGTGGAGACGAGAGGGGAAGACGAAGACGGATGCAAGGGAGGGATGGAGACGGATGCGTAGTGCGCAGCTGCGCGCGTGAGAGGGCAACAATGGATACAAGGAGGAGAGGAGGGAACGGGCACAAGGGATAGCATCTGAAAGTGCATTGAGCAAGGTGAGGAATTTGAGGAAGGCAAGGGGGGTTGAGGTGGCTGAGGAGGGGTGCAAGAAGTGAGGGTGGTGCGGGAAGTGAGGGTGGTGCGGGAGGTGAGGGTGGTGCGGGAAGTGAGGGGGTTTGCAGGGATTGAGGGGCTGTGGGGTGGAGGAGGGAGTGAGGGGGTTGAGGGAGGCAGAGCACGCGCATTCTACGGAATTTTAGACTCGGCAACGGAAACAAACCAGCAGTATTCTGCAGGATGGAAGGACGGGGAGATCCGAACACGGAGAGCCGTGGGTTTGTTCCCGCTTCCGATCTGGAGGCGTTGAAGCTCTCTGCAGCCTCGCAACACGTGGCATGTGACTTTAAGGAGCTTCGATGAGAGCGCGGCGATGCAGCAGCATTCAGTGCGGTCCGACAAGGTAATCTGCGGTTGAGAATATTAGTCGTCGTTGCCTCCCGTCGCAGTTGATTATCCAGTTGGAGCCTGCCACGTGGAGAGGTCAACGACGGAGCTAAGATTAACGAGAAGAGCGCAACGGAACGGGAAAGAAAGTAAACGAACTTGTGATTGCTGCACCGACGAAGGAACGGAGGGCGATTGCAGAAGCTGGAACGCGCTGCGTACGGCGAGGAGGAACGTACCCAGAGAGACTCCTCAAAAGAGGACCTCGACAGCAAAGAATATTAGCCATAGATTCGTCCGCTGCCGAAACCGACGCTTCTCACGAAAACTACTTAGGCGGGAAGCCTACGCGAGAAATACTTCGCCGGAGGTCTAGGAATCTGTAGAGATGCTTCGTAATGAGGCAAATGAGGCTTGGGAGTTGAGCAGGCATGGCGACGACCCTGAAGTGTGTCCATGTTCAGAGTTGGAGGGTGTGGGGGATTTCGTAAGTGCCCAAAATTGTACCTCGTTGTCTTTTGAAGCAACTCTGTCATTATCGGATCACTCTAAACAAGAACCACACTAGTCCCGTACTTGATATCTGAGACGTCCATCACATCAATCTCGTTTCCACAAACCTACCCTGGCCTTCCCGCACTTCACGCTTCAAATTTCAAACTCCCATCCCCACAAACCCATCACAATCACAGGGCCCGAGTCGCAATGTGCTCAATCCCACCTCATCAACTTCATCCCTCCACGAAATGCCCCTACACTGAATTTGTTCCCTGTCAAACGCTCAGACCCATAATACCACAGCAACGCCGCTTCTGCATCTGGCCGATCCGACTTCAGAGCCTCCTTCGTGACTCAATCTTGGTTCCTCATTCTCAGCAATAGTTTTTAGTCACAGCCGCCGTATGAATAGGTTGAGCACCGCAAATCGTTTTTTCTAGCATAAGCTGCTACCGTGGAAAATTTGGCCTTCATGTGTGGACATGGGTCCATGGCTACTACCATTACCTGTACGAACCCCGCCCAGCCTATTACTTGCAACCCCGCTCCAGAAAAATGGCGCGCGACCATTCGAATGTTTTGTTCCTGAAATCTCGTATCGCAAGACTCGTCAGTTGCGAAGCATCTCATACAAACACAGAGACTCCCCATGGGCCCATGGTGAATCAGCAGCACGAAAAACGATTGAGGTCGAGCCAATAACCCCGAGATTCGTTGGATGCCGTCGAAGGCTGCGCAAATCCCCACAGACGCCGCCTTCGGACCGAAATTCGCCCGTGGTGGGCAGGGGAAGCAGCGGAATCAGCGAGAACGACAGGAGCACCAGGAGCCGTACCGAAAGCAGCAAGAGGAACGAGAGCAGCGGGAGCAGCGCCACTGCATTTCCGGTGGATGTGGGGTTGTTCCCAGCGGACGAGTGGGGCCTGATCGAGGCTGCGATTGAGTCAACTCAAAAGAGGAGCGAGAGCAGCGGGAGCAGCGGGAGTGCGTTTCAGGTGGAGGTGGGGTTGTTCCCAGCAGACGAGTGGGACCTGATCGAGGCGACTGCCACCGGCGCCCAGGTGCGAGTGATTGGACCAGCTACCATGGTAACCCGAGGGGTAACCCCTGCAAGTATCATACCTTCTGCTGCCCTCGTGACTTGGAACTCCCAGGTTAAGTTAGCTGAGGCTGGGGAGGCTTTCAATCGGGGGAGCGCCATGGGATTGATGCATGATAGCAACGGTGGTACTTGGAGCAAGGGCCCTGGCTTGTCTAACTTGTATAATCAGGCGCCTTGTATCATGCAGACGTATGCTGATGGTTGTGATGCAACTACAGGGGTGGCCTTCCCACTGACTAGCAAGCTTCCAGGGCTGGGGAAGTTGCTTTTGCAGTGCGACACGGCAAAGCACGTGGTGCGGAGAGGTGAATGGGGAGCGCTGATCGCTCGCAGGTATGGAGTCTCTCTGACTGACCTCTCCCGAGCCAACCCGAGCCTGAGCCTTGGCACGCTGGTTCCAGGCCAAACCATCAACCTCCCTGCTACAGCCAAACCTCTTGCTAACCCAACTACTATGGTTTTCTGTTCTGGGGTGCGGTGGATGGTAAGAGCCATTGCCACTGTGAGAAAGCTGATCCACATGCTGTTACAGCGGTTGCTACAGCAACAACAACTATTGCAGCAGCGGCAGCAGGAATGGCCAGTGATGGGGAAGTTTCAGGAGCTTCAGGGTTGGGGGCATCGGCAGCATGAGCCATTGTACGCACGACAACAGCAAGGCAAGCCCATGCAGGATGACGAAGATGACAATATGGAGGATGGAGAGGAAGAGGCACTGAGTGAATGGATCGACGCTGACACCGACACGGATGTCAGCAAGAGCACAGTGTCTTCAGAAGAGGCCCAGGAGGTCAAAAACAGGATCACAAGTGGCAGGGAAGCAGTAGAAGAATTTTCTTTGCAGCCTTTTGCCAGCAAAAGTCAGCTGCTGATGGAGAGATGGACGGGAGGGAAACCAGTACAGCGGTGGGTGCAATCTGTTTCCATCAGCTCTTACTCCTCCATAACTCAATCGTCACTGTGTGGACCACTGTCAGTCTTGCAGACATCACTGGCACTGTCCTTCTACAGGCAGGTGGTACTGCCAGGAAGCCTCCATATCCTTCTGCTGCTCTCTGCTGCCATCCTAGTCCTCCGTGTGTGTAGGCGTGGTCCACCAGTGAATGGAAATAGAGAAGCTGGGTGACCACTGGCATCACAACGTTTTCTAGCTGTCAGCAGCAATACCACATCATTTAATGAATGCACTGAAGATGTTGAGTGGTCAGATGTGTTATCAGAGTGGTCTTTGTTTGTAGCCGTCACAAAAGGATCTCCACTCATGTAAATCCTCCAGTGAGGTGAATTCGGTGAGATAGGAATGACATGTAACAAGCTGGCATTGATAAAAGCATACACGTGACATTGCAGCGACGCACTAGAGACGAAGCCCCATATCGAGCAGCTTTGTAATACCGCAACCAGGCAATTGACGCTCTCAGAACAGACGGATGCTGTTGATTCACATACAGCTGATCCAACGGCTGTAAGAATGTAGGAAGAGCTTCGATTAACGCAGCCGCCGGGCCTCACGCTCGGATTCCATGAGGGTGAGGACGTCTCCTGCGACAATGAGAACAGTGATGGGATAGGAAACAGAAAAGCGGAATTGAAGTGGAAGCAACACGAGGCTATCAGAAATAAAGGCTGCAAAATCTTGTTGAGCACTCGGTTACAATCTCAGACTCCTGGATGACTTGCATGCATCTGGTATAGTTCGGGGGGGACGGGATCAGTAGGCAGAACTGTCAGGGTAATCACACCGAACACCTGAACGATCAGTTCAGCCGGTAACACTAAGATTACCCCCTTAAAAACCGCCCAACGCGCAAAGGACCGTGTGTGATTTGAAGTCAAGTGCTAACAAGTCAGTCTGGTTCCTATCGCCAGACTTACTGCCAACGGGGCAGCACGACACGAATGCTGCGGCGAGGCCAAGATGAACGTCACCCACGTATCTGACTGTATTATTCCCCTGAACGACACGGGCCGACCTGCACTCGTGAAGCGGGCCCGATGAGAAGCTGCTGCTTCTGTAAAACGAGGTGTAATACGCTCTCGTCAGACTATCACACAGGGTCGAATGGTCCGAACTCATAAGTCAGCAGGGAACGATTATGCATCCGTCGCGGGAGTTTGGGAAACCCTAATCTCTACATCGTGACTCAACCGTCGATGCTGCTGCTAGTCATGTCGGCGCACGGGGCGTCATTGCCACACACATTAGCGCACGGGTACCCTGCACTCACACCCCTTGACGCGCGGGGCCCACCACCTTCCCCGTGATCTTCACTAGAGAACTTCACGCGTAACTGAATACCGTCTCAATCACCTCAACAGCCACCTCGCGTTATTGTCACACACCTACGCGGACGGGGCCCTTGACGTTCCTCGGGAGGTAGCGATCCTCATCAAGGAACTTCACGCGCACTTGCGCGACCTTACAATCACCTCGCTTTATGGTCACACACCCGCTATATTGTCACACACCTACGCGCACGGGGCCCTTGACGTTCCTCATGATGTAGCGGTCCTCATCGATGAACTTCACGCGCACTTGCGTGACTTGACCGCGGGACCCCGTGCGGCCGACCACCTTCTCCACAATCGCCAGCTTCATGGGGGAATCCTGCACACCACGACGGCCGGAAGGGAGGTAATTACGACGTAAGTGGGCGGCGTACACCGACGGTACTCCGAATGACAGAGAAAGGAGCAAATGACAGCGGCCATTGAACGGGGGGAAAACATAGCGACGGAGAGGCGAGGACGAATACGTAACAACGACAACGACGACGACCACGGCAAGCACACAGAGAGGTAATCGTCGCGCGATCCGAGAGCGTGCAGGTGACAAATCGGCACAGCGACAAATGCGTTGGGACACGAGAATATCAAGCGGTTGCGACGCAACTATTATCAAGAGTTTTATTATCAGAGTTCCAGCGACTATCACGAGCGCCAATCAGCCAGAAAGCAGCGGAGGCTTCGGACCATGAACGTCTAAACTCCTCACTAAACCTCTCAGATAGAAAATCATGCTTAGAGAGATCCATTTTCCCTGTGCACTATTTGACAAAACGACGACTAAGTAACGCGACGCCGGCTCACCATGTTGACAGGAAGCGCTAGCTCTCGGTTTAAGAGGCGGTGCCGGCAAGGGCAGGCGGCAGCAGAGGTCTAGCGAGAGGAAGATTAGGGAGTATTGCAGGAAGGGAAAGGGAAAATGAGGTAAGTGCGGAGCCATGATGAAACCCTAGCGCTTCCCCTCCCCCACACCTCCTTCTCTCTGAAACTCCGCCCGCTCTGCCAATTTGTGCTGCTCCGCGCGCGGAGAAGCACGAGAATGTGGCGTTTGGGGGCAAAGGAGTCGGGGTTTTGCGGAAGGTTCGGCGGAGTTGGTTCATCACACGTCACGGTGATTGTCCCCCGCACCTGGTTGGGGGTCCAAAGTCCAGTGATAGTTTGAGATAAAAGCGTTGTAAGCAGTCGTTTATACAAACTTGATATAGAAAATGAAGGTTGAGAATTGTGATAGAATCAATGGGTTCTAAGCTTCCTAACCTCTAGGTCGTTATGGCTTCCCTAAGAAATGAAGCAGTACAGCAGAGACATAATATACATATTGCATCTCAACGGTTCAATTAGTATCGTCTCAGTCAATATCAGCATGAGTACCAGAACAGCCCACAGAATCAAGATCACCCCTGCGTTACCTACCCCCTTTAGCAATTGCACAACCCAGATAATTGGGTGGTACCCCTAGACATCCTTCGTGTCTCCCATTTCAACATCTGTCCTTTCACCTGATTGTGTATGGCTACCATTCTCCACACTCCCAATCCCATCATCAACACTTCGATCCGCAATTAGGCCTTTTGAAGCCCCAACTTCCCTCACCTCCTCAGCTACACCCTTACTCCCACCTGCGGCCTCTGGCCCTGCCACCTCTTTCCCCTCCGTTGCTTCTACAGCACCCTCCCCTGCACCACTCTCCACAGCAACACCCTCCTTAGTGGTAACCTCTCCAGTAACGCCCTCCCCTGCAGCACCCTCCACTGGTGTTGCATGTTCATCAGCCACTGGCGCAGCCTCAGCACCTTTACAGGCCTCAGCAGGTACATCCCCAGCTATGGCTTCACCGATACTCGTTGGTGCCATCACAGCTGTGCCTGCAACTGAACCATCCTTGATTCCCCCTTGCCCCTCCGTTCCTGCTGCACCTACACCAACCTCCGTGCTTTCTTCACCAACCTTGGAGCCTTCTCTGTCTCTACCTGCTAAATCAGTCTCACCCCTCCTTTGCTTCTCCTTTTCACCTGCTGATCCTTCAGCTGCACTAGCATCTACCATCTCTGTTTCCTCCCCCTCTGCTGCCGCCGCCGCTGCAGCTGCTGCTTCTAGGGGAGGCTCTGCACCTACTCCCGCACCAACAGCATAGCCCGCTGCAGCCTTCAGACCCTCTCCTTGCTCTTTTGTCCCTTCCTCCACTGGCTGAGAAGGCTCAGAGACCCCATGATCTGTCCCATCACTCGGGTGCTGCTCATGCTCGTTCCCTGCCCCTCCCTCATCTGCAACTGCCAATCCGTCTGGTTCCTTGGCTTCATTTTCAGGCTTCTCTTGCTGCGCCTCCACTATCCCCCCACCCTCCTGCCCCTGTGCAGTCTCGGTTGTCTCAGCCACCCCTTGCCCGCTCTCATTGTTGTCTCCCACATGCTGCTGCTCCTCCCCGCCCACCAATGGGGCACCCTCATGCCTCCCACCCTCCTCTGCTGCTCCATCCTCCCCCCCGTCCACCTCTCTTATCCCCTCCCCTCCAGCACCAACCACCTCTTCTTCCTTATGCTGCTCTAGCTGCTGCTCATGCTGCTCAGACTGCTGCCCCGTTTCTGGCTGTTCCTGCTGCTGCTGCTGCTGCTGCTCCTGCTGCTGCTGCTGCTGCTGCTGCTGCTGCTGCTGCTGCTGCTGCTGCTGCTGCTGCTGCTGCTGCTGCTGCTGCTGCTGCTGCTGCTGCTGCTGCTGCTGCTGCTGCTGCTGCTGCTGCTGCTGCTGCTGCTCCTTCACCTCCTCCTCTTTCCGATCCTCCCATGCTGCAGTTTCCTCCTCTTTCCCCTGATCAAACGCCACTCCATGCTCCTCCTGCTCCGCCTGTTGCGTCACCTGCACGTTCATCTCGTCCCCTCCCTGTGCCACCCCTTCTTGCACCTCCACCATCCCAGCCATTGCCTCTGCGCCTGCCCCTGCCTCAGCGCCCTCCACCGTATGAGGTACTTCCCCTCCCTGCTCTCTCTCCACCCTTGCTTGTAGCTCATCGCCATGACCAGATTCTAACCCCTCACTCCCCCCTTGGACCCCCAGCACTACTATTCCACCTTCCCCCCCCATCCCGCCTCCCAACCCTGGTTCCTCCCCCCCTGACAACAGCAGCTGCTGCTCCTCTGCCAAACCTGGCACCGGACCTACAAATTCAGGCTCGGGTACCTGAACTTGAAGCACAAGCTCAGGCGCAGGCTCGGGTACAGGCTCCAGTGCAGGTTCTGGTACAGGCTCGGGCGCAGGCTCGGGTGCTGCTTCAGGAAGGAGCCCCAGAGCAGGAAGGGGTGCAGGCTCGGGTTTCTCAGGCAGGTAAGGAGCAGCAACAGAGGCAGAATGAGGTGCAGAGGGAGGAGCAGGGAGAAGGGCAGTAGAGGCGGGTTGTAGGGGTTCAAGTGCTGATGAAGAGGGGGGAGGATGAGCAGGGGGAGGGGCAGTTGAAGGCTCGTGCGGTGGTGGTGGTGCATGAGCGGTACTGGGCGGTACGGAGGTTAGCTGATACTTGTGCACCGGGTTGTACGATGCTGGTGGGAAGGCCGCTCCTTCTGCTGATGGGTCTATGCCCGATTCTTGAAGCTGATTGGGTGGAAAAGACAAGGAACGGGCGGGAGGAATGGGAAACAGAGGAATGAAGACGTGGTGGGGGGGCGAAGAGGGCAACATGGGAACGTGGTGCAAAGCAGCATGCGGGATGAAAGATGGTGCTGATGAGGCACCAGGCAAGGAAATTTAGACCGTGGAGAATAAAGGAAGCGAAAGTGGGGAAGAAAAGGATGAGGGCAGGGCAGGGCAGTGCAGCTGACTGACCATGGTTCGGAGCTGGGCGTTCTGAGCACACAGGGAGGCGTACTGCTCCCGCACCTTTGCTAGCTCCTGTCCGCAGAGAAACGGCAACGTGAAAACAGAAAAAGTTGAAAGGGAGAAGAAAGATAGACAGAACATGGCGTTCAGATGGTCTCTCTGCTTCGCGTGGCGAGCAGCAATGAGGGAGAGGGGAGGGGGGAGAGGGAGGAGGGAAGAGGGGAGAGGGAAGTGGGTACATACATGCTGCGGCTAGCCCCATGCTTTCCATCTGCACGGCGGTCTGCCGCGCTATGAGCTCGTCACAGCATGGCAGGAAGAGGGGACTAGGAGGTAAGAGGAGAGAGGCAAAGGGGGTACATACCGCGGCTAGCCCCATGTTCTCCATCTGCACGGCGGTCTGCCGCGCTATGAGCTCGTCACACTCTGCCTGCTTCCTCAGCCGCGACCGCCTCGCGCTCTCCCTGTTGCTCTGCTTCCGCCTCTGCCTCTTCACCTCCCTCTCGTCCTGCAAACGATCACGGAGAGAAGCACACATTAGCAGGAACACATATGGAGAGGCACCCAAAAGCATCGTATCACTCGAGCGCGCACGACAGGAAGAACCACAACGAGCCAAAGAGAACAAACAAGGAGGAGGAAACGAAAGGACAGCGGGGTATTCTCACCCCGCGAAACGGCACCTGGTACATCAGACTCCCTCCCACGTCGCCCCCATCCCCTCCTGCCCGCGCCCCTACCGCTCGTGCCCCCAGCTTCCCCCCAACGCCCTGCCCCAGGGAGGGAGGCGGCACCACAGCAGCAGGAGCAGCAGCGCCAGTCCACATATCCGCAGCAGACGCACCCATGGGGTTATACGCCATTCCGCCACCCACGCCCCCTCTTGCTCCCCCAGCAGCAGCATGACCGCCCCCACCAGCACCCGCAGCAGCAGCAGCCGCAGCTGCTGCCGAAGCAGAGGGGCCTTCGGATGGGCTTGAAGGCATGGACGTGTACTCTCCCGCCGAGCCTGAGGCCAGGGCCAAGGCTTGGCCCGAGCCTGGTGCCGCCTGGGTGTGCGGATGGGCGAGGCTCGTCCCTCCAGTGGTAGCAAGAGCGCCATCTTGACCATGTGACTGCTGAGACGACCTTTTGCGCTTCGAAGGGGCAGCTTGGGCAGCAGGCGCAGCAGGCGCCGCGGCAGCTGCTGGTGGGGCCGACCCAGCAGCAGCAGCCCCGCCGGCAGCACTGGCGGCGGCGGCGGCAGCGGCAGCAGCAGCCATGGCATCATGGGAGTAGTCCATGGGCATGCCGGGGTAGCCCTGTGCTGCTGGCATGGCCATGGGGCCCATCGGGGTCATTCCCATCATCGCTGCTGCTGCTGCTGGCACCTCAGAGCCGTCCGCCTGGAGATGGGGAGATTAGCGAAGAGAAGGGGATTAGTGGAGGAAGACACGGCTCAATGAGTTGGATGTAGTTAGCAGTAATAGCAACAGCAGCAGCAGCAGCAGCAGCAGCAGCAGCAGCAGCAGCAGCAGCAGCAGCAGCAGCAGCAGCAGCAGCAGCAGCAGGAGGGGCAGGCATGTTCGTCACTAAATCTGAAAAGAGCGTACCGATTGAGGAGGTGGGTAACCGTAAGGGGATGGGGCCACTGCCCCTGCAGCGCCTTGGGCCATGCCAGGGTGAGGTGCAGCATACATAGCTGCATAGCCGTAGGGCCCTGGTGGTACACCACCGTAGTGCGCTGCCATCATTGGCTGAGAAGGCAAGGGGAGTAGGACAAAGGGGAAATCGAACAACAGAGGGGAAAGAAACGAGTGAGAGTAATGCGGAACATGAAGCGGAGAGACGATTGACGACAGGGCGCCACTACTTAACAACTGCTTGAATCAAATGATACTCAAATCGCATACCTGTGGTCCCCACATGTACGGATGGGGATGCCCTCCCATTGGTGCGCCGTAGTAACCTCCTGCATGCGCCGCTTGCCCTCCGGACTTGTAATACGCCTGCAGGCCACCATTCCACGCCACAAAATCGAAGGTTCAGTGACCGTTTAGCGGACGATAAGGACTAGGGCACTGAGAGTTTCCGTTCCGACTGCACCCAGTTCATTCGGAAGTCGACCTAAGGAGCAAAGCGGGACGCGCGGGAAAAGAAGGCTACTGGCGTCGTGAGGAACTGGGTAGGAAAGATCCGCTTCCAGCGCACAGGGCGCTAGACGACTGCAAGGACCGACGAAAGAGCGGGGAGCGTCGCCATCAGTCGGGATCAGAGCTTTCTGGCTTGAGATCCGCTGACTGAGTTGAGGTCTGCTGTCTGAATTGAGATCTGTCGAGTGGGTTAAGTACTGCTGGCTGGGTCGAGATCTGCTGATTTACTGCTGACACGGCTGGTCTCCTGACTGTGGGGGTCTACTGACTGGGATGTGATCTGAAGACGGTATTGAGGTCCGCTGACCCGTTTGAGTGAATCTGAAACGATAGAGAACTACCTTGAGGGCGTTACTCTGCGATAATCGCTCGGGTTACAGTACTCGCTCAAGCTGTCGTAACTATCGTGTGCTGCTGACGGCGTATGCTGCACCGTTCGTAGGTTTGAGCAGAAACGTGCTCCCCAGCATGACAGCTGCAACCTATTCCTTCCAGATGTCGCCAGATGCTGAGCTTCGTGGCTAAGCGTGCTCACCTGCATAGCAGCTGCAGCCCAATCGTTGTACCCGTTAGAGGGGTCCTTAGACACATCACCTGCGGGTGATAACGAAGGAAAAAGCGTGAAATCTATTGAACTAGTGTACCAAAATCCGAGAAAAACACGACAGAGCTCGACGGAAGCCGTTCCGAAAACGATTGAGGCCTACGACAAAGGAATGCTCAAGCGAAATAACATATGCTCGCCGTTAGGCGCGCGGTACATGCCTTGTTGAGCTTGCTCGTCCGCCATTGCCTCGGCAGACTACGTCCTATCGTTAACTTCGGCGAAGGGGAAAAACAGTCTAATCGCCTCTTTCTCTTAACTACACCCCACACAACAATTAATCTTGCTTTAGCAAACTGACAACCTCCTTGGTCGGAAAACTAACAAGCGTCATGTCGACCAGCAAGTTCGGTCGGCCGCAACCATAGCTCAAATGCGACGCAGCAAGTTTGCTAAATGTTCTTTCCAAATGCTTTGCTTCGTAGGCGACACGGTAGCGCGGTGTGGGAATGCAAGGAACGCAGGGGGGTAGGTCAGACTCAGTAAAAAACTGCCATATCATCCTAGGTACTGGGAAAGACTGAAGGGAAAAGTGTGCACATGTGGAGAGGGAGGGAGGACATGGCAGGCGGGGAGCGGCCATAGTTTGGATCCAGAAACCCTCGTCTGCTCCGACCTTCTACACGCTGGCCTTGGGTCTGACACGGAAGTGCTGGGCTGGAAACCCTCGTTCCATCGGACGGTTTAACGAGAGTAACGCTGCTATCGACAGCTGCAAACGAATCTATGAAATCCACGCAGGCAAAGGGGGTAGTTGAGGTTTCGGCGGTGATTCTGCCACGTTCAGGCTGGTATGTTGCGGACCGCACTTACGTGGCAAGAAATTAGTTCGGTTCGGACAGAGGCTCGTTTCTCGTGCGTCGCTACCTTCACGAAACATAAGAAGTTACCGTAACCGAATCGAGTCTCAATAAAGATGTGATGTTTGCGCTCTTCCCGATTCCTACGAATATTCCTTACAACTCATTGTGCAAACGAGTTTTGCATTATCTGCAACAGAAAGTATCATATTTCTCGCACTGCGTGGCGGTCGCCAAATCCAAACAGCAACTTCTTCTCATCGTCGTTCAGTTACACCCCATTTTGTTCGCCGCACGGATGTGTGCTACAATGGTCCCTCCATTATTCGAAGAGAGAGTGCTGGATGGTGTGCAGCAAATACTTCAGGTTCGTCATTTTGTCGTCGAGAGAGGCATGGCATGGCACGCAGTGCCGCGAAAATATGGAATCATTATGCGTGGCAGATGTGACAGAGCAATCCCAGCTGTCCTCTGCCCAACTGGGAAGAGGCGCAGAGCCCATTCGGGGTGCTCGCTCACTTCTACAGATGTTTCGGCTACAAATTCCGTGTCCCAGTCATGCCTAACGATTCAGGGGTATATGCCCTTAATGCCCTGAATATCTTCGGTTACATCGCTCTGAATTAAAAGGAATTGTTTTCAGTACAGTTCTGAATTCTAAAGTGCGTCATCAGAGCCTTTTCCAGATTTATACAGTCGGTGCTCATTTCAAGAACACCAGGTAGGCCGGCGGCATGTGAGTAAAACGTGTTTCGGACATTTCGCCACATTCACCCTTGTCGCCACGGGCAAAAATGTGACTGTAATATGAAATTGCAATGTTAATCGAGACACGGGCTTTAATTTCGTAACCAGGTAAACTTTTCTGATGACGGGCAACCGTTGTTGTTTATGAACCCTAGAGAAATGTACACCCTAAAGGCTAACCCACTGTAGCCTACAAAACAGAAACATATACAATGTTTGACACAAAGGTCGAACTTATTTTCGAACTTGGGGACGGAACGAATGCGCCCTAAGAGACAGGCTTGCGGCCCTAACAATGTGGGGGTGGGGGGGGGGGAGGGGGAGGGGTTGGGTGGGGGGCTCCATTGAAGGCCCGAAACTTGTCGGGGAATCAGGGTGGCAGAGCTTAGGTTCTAGACCTAGGACCACTTACCTAAGGGCCCACCGCTAGAAGCGCCCTCGAGCGCCGTATCGACTTAGCGCCCTCGAGCGCCTCTCTCCTAGTGCGCCCTCGTGCGCCTCTCCTTCTCCTGCTGCCCGTGCGCAGCTCGCTAGTGCCGCACACGGCCTTTATTTTTTTAGCGCACGAGCCCGCTAGCAGCCCGCGCGCGGCCTTTTCTGCGCGCGCGCCGGCTGTTAGCCGCCCGCGCGACTAGGGACGCCATGAGCAGCCCGTCGACCGGCCCTCCTGGCCGTCCAGAGCGCCGCAGCCCCACCCGTAGGCCGCCGCGTCGCCCTCGTAAGCCGCCGCCCACGCGCGACTGCAACCCACGCACAGCCACGAACCGCCCGCTACAGCAGCCCACGCGCAGGCCCACCGTCGCGCCATGCCGTGTAGCCTAGTCCTGAGTCGCGCCGCCCGAATCGCGCCGCCCTGATCGAGCCGCGCCGCCCCACGTGCAGCAACTACTGCTCCTGTTCCTGCTACTGTTGCTACTGCTACTGCTACTGCTGCTACTACTACTACTACTACTGCTACTGCTACTGCTGCTACTGCTACTGCTACTACTGCTACTGCTACTACCACTATGGCCAGTCCCACTGTTCTCACTTTTGACGCTGAGGGCCGACCGATTAAGTTTGATGTCTGGCTCGATAACCTACACATGTTCCTCCAGATCACTGCCAGGGACGACGTTTCCCTATATGACCACACGTCCGGCGCTGCCCCCGCACCTGCTGCTACTGCTGACAGTACTGCTCGCTCACTATGGCAGACTCGTGACGCCCATGCTCGCCGAGCCGTTCGCAGTCACCTGCCATTAGATGAGCGCGAGCACTTCGGCCAGCATAAGACCGCTAAGGAGCTGTACGATGCTGTAGTTGCACGCTACTCCTCCCCTGCTACTGCTGCGATAGGCCGTCTCTCACTGCCCTATCTCTTCCCGGATCTGTCTGCCTTTGCCACTGTCGCTGACCTCATCACTCACCTCCGTACTAGTGATCTCAGCTACCGTGCCGCGCTCCCCCCCGATTTCGTAGCCAAGAACCCCCCCCCGATGTACCTCACCCTCTACCACCTAGTCACTCGCCTCCCTCACTCTCTTCGCGCTGTCAGGGGCCACTTTCTCGCTCTCTCCTCCACAGACCTCACTATCGACCTACTCGAGAAGGAACTCCTTGCAGCTGAGAAGAGCATTGTAGCTGTAGGTGCCTCTCGTGGCGACCCTCGCACTCCCCTTCGCCGCGCGGCCTCGGCCGTACTTCGTTCCGCTCCTTCAGCAGGTTCTTGGTCTCCCGCCTTCTACTGGTCCTCCTCCTCCCTTAGAGTGTCCACAGCTTGTCCCGTCACAGTTACAGTTACAGCCGTCCTCCCCACTGCCTGCTCCTTCTCCCTACACTGGTCCTACTGGAGGTCTTGCTGAGCGTCGTGAGCCTGCGTCTCGCCCTGCGTCGCCTGTCCGTCCTGCTCGCACTAGTGGTCGTGGTTCGCGTCAGCGTCCTCCTCCTGTCCCTGGCACGCACCGGATGTCTCTACGTCCGTCCACTGCTCCTCTGCGTGCCCCTTTGCCTTCTCCTCCTGAGTCCTCGCTTCCTACTCTTGCCGACCCGGAGTCGGTCTCTCTTCGTGCTGCCAGTCCTACTGTCACGCGTCTCCTTGCTACTGTCGTCACTGACCCTTCCTTTGAGTCCACTGCTGCGTCTGCCCTAGTTGCTGAGCTCGTCGACTTCGCTGCTCGCTGTCGTCTAGACTACGCTGCTAGTCTTGTCGCTGAGTCTGAGTCTGTCTGTCCTCCGTCCGTCGGGGGTGAGTGTGCCCTTGGCACGGACGTCCTTGAGGACAGGCAGGAGGAGTTCCAGTGTTTGGCTGCTGCTTCACCTCATCTCGTGTCCGTACTGCTTACCCCTGAGGGAGACCTGGATGCACTTGACATCCCGACTCCGCGCTCTTACGCGGAGGCGATAGAGGGTCCCTACTCCTCTTAGTGGCAGGCAGCTATGGACACAGAGATGGCTTCCTGGAAGTCCAC